GTAAATTTTGCAGTAGCCCCCCCCTGCCATGATAGGCCCATGGGCAAATGACCCTCTTCCCCCCCCCACCTCATCTGCTAATGATTGGGATGCGTGCAGGACTCAACATGGCCGCTGATCTCAGCAGCAGCCCACACAAGCACAGGGGGGTAATGTGTGAATCGCTGTGAGATAACAGCCACACACTGAGACACCGAGTCGGCCGTGGGAATCACTGTAATACGGCGCCAGCTCTCACACAGTTTTCACACGTTTACAAAGCAGTCAACTGTAACACGCTTAATTAAACATGACATGCCATCGAGCTGAGAAAAGGGTGCCCCGTTTTATGGATTAAAATTACGTGTCATGCTACGCTTCCATTAGAAAGTACATTTCGAAATCTACTTAGGATTTGTTTAACCTTATTGCCAGTCATGCAGTGTTACTCCAAATTTGGCTGGCGGCCCACCGAAGGCGTCAGGAATAACGAAAAACAAAAGAAACACAGAGAAACACCAAAGGGAACATGATACATGCAGGCGCATTTTTGGTGAAGCCAGACCAACCTCACATGCTGAACAAAAGATGCTGCTCTGCCTTTCGCTTTGATCGCTGCCGTACAAAGAAAACAAGGCGGCAGGTAGCGGTAGGAGGAGTGGAGCGTTACAGTAACTCCCAAGGTGGTGACCTGCGACTCTCAGGTGCCTGTGTCTGACCCGGTGAAAACAGTCCTTCATCACCTAAAAAGACAATTCCTCTGGGGGTACAGGAAACACACACTGATCCTTCTCGAGGTGCGCCGGGGAGACTCCGAACCACGCCCCCCAGACGGATTGCCGATTCCTCCTGCAGGAACCTGAGTCTCAGCATGGCTAAATGGCAAGGAGGAAATGTCCCAAAGAACCTGAATCTCATGTTGACTAGAGGATTCAGAGAAATAGGAGAGAACGACGATGTTTAAACCCCATAACTTTTTGCACCCCCTCCCCTTTGTATCAGCAGGGGCGCTGTATAGGGGGGGGGGGACAAGGCTGGGGGCTCAGTATAATATTCTTTCATGGAGCCCAAAACCCCTGCGTCACAAGCTTTAAAAAATATCCCCAAAACAGTGAACTACACCCACCAAAAGCAGCAGAATGAGACACCATTTTACTATAGACTCCTCTGAACAATTTCCCCTTGACATGAGCATGGCTATTCGTGGTGAAAGGCCCCCATCTTTCTCTTGCTAAACAGTCACTGAGGTAAATTAGCAGACGTTTGCTTTAAGGCTGAGTCGAGTTTCATGAATCATCCCGGGAAGACCCCCCCCCATCCTCCTATCCTAATGTGGGAACACATTTCCCATAATTCCTTCACTGGTGGCCAGTTAATCCTATAGCATTCAATGAGGCAGCCACAAGCAGCGCCATCCTTCATAAATCTTATTCATGTGGGTTTCAAACCTGCTGTCGGTCGCTTGGAAAATATGAAGAAAAACAAAAACAAAACAAAAAAACAAACCAGATTGTCTTAGATCATCCCACATGACGCCACTCTGGTCAGTAAGCATGGAAAAAACAGTAAACAGCATTATTATTTGCTTTTTTTCAATGGCTGGTGATTTTAAACACTTTCCAGTGTAAAAAGTACTACAACAGAGGTGTATGATGCTGCTCTTCCAGACCCTCAAACTGGGAAAACATATTAATTGGCATGTGACTGACCACTGCATGGGAGACCAGGAGTGGTGAACTGAACCCCGTGTAATTCTTTTGATAATTAACAAAACAAAGCAAAGGTTCAAAACCAGCTCATCTGGCAACCTTTAATTGAGTATGGGGGTGGGGTGGGGTGGGGGGGTTCTGTGTATTTCAGGTTAAGTGTCCTGGCCAAAGTTTTTTAAGCAGAATCTCAAAGTCCCCTCCACATCATGAACATTGAATGTAGAGAGAAACAGGAAGACAAATAACAATAGGCCTCTTAATAACTGATTATTTTGCTTTCTTGACGAACTGATACCTAGCTATTAAATAACACGTCGCTTGGAGAGAACTCATCCCCATATTCCGGTCTCCGCTTAAGTGTCCCTACGGAGCAGCCAGTTAGCAGTATTGTTCATGCAGAATCTTCTAATACTCCTATATCCCAAAGATGACTGTACAGCTCCACACACTTACAAGGACAACAAAGTGGCCAGGATCGAGTTTCCGTAACTCTTACTGACATATATTCACCACATATACCAAATAGAAAAAAAGTCTTCTTTTTATACGCGTTATAAAAAATACCGCTGAAACTGGCATTTGAACCACGATGCAGAGAATCTCAACAATGCACAAAAACCATGTTCACTAAAGCAGTGTCTTTCTGTGTAGACCGTTTGACAGAAATACAACACACATTGGATCGTTTAGTCTTAGGGTGGAAGGCAAAACAGAAGCTTATCGCCTGTTTACTAAACTGGATCCTATTGTCACGAGATTGTGTAATGTGTGCAACCTCAATACCAGCTAATGCAATTAAACTGTGCCGATGTTTGAGGAGATATACGAGGCAAGAGAGAACAACCCATAATATCATTTTCTGAAATGTCGATCGTGAGATGGCGCTTAATATTTTTTTAAAAGGCAAAGAAGAAAACAATGAATATGTATTGAAATAAGACACCAAGACTACACAAAACTGTTAGGTAGATCCTTCGGTGAAATTCTCACAAAAATTAAGCCGAAAGACTCATCGATTTTTTTTCTAGACAAATCAGAACAGCAAACGAGGGATCGGTACTTTTTTCTGTCCTCAGAAAGGTTGTTTTTATTGTATGCATGGGTGTGGAAATGTTAGCGCCTCACAAAAAGTTTACCAACAAACCCGCCCGCACTGCACTGGCCTGATATCATGCGCTTGAAGCTTATTCTGCAACTGAAAACAAAGGCAGCCGCAATCCGCCAAATTTGCATATGAAAATCTGCATGGACTGAAACTTTCAACCCTGTACTGCAAAAGCGGTTGGAAGATAGATGGACCAAATCACATGGGGTTTTATTATTGAAAAATAAAAGTGCTCAGAGTTTGCGCATGGAAATGTAGATTCTGCAACATAAACGGGATCAGATCTAAACGAGAAGTTGTTCTTCTGTAGAAGCGCTTAGTCGGTACTGTGCCGGTGTGAGCTAATGCAGGAACTGATTAAACGTGGACAGGGTCCTATACATCACAATTAGAAATTTAGCCAGAGACCGTCCAGGGGGAACCTGTGACAAGCGGGCGAATTTACCCGGGGGGGCAGAGACAGCGGAGCTTTCATACTGCAGTCACGAAACATCTACGGTGGGAATTGGGGGCAGGGGCTTCGGCTAGCTGAGTTAATGACTTAGTAAGTGAATAAATTAAAGTCTGTGGGACTATAAAACAGCGCATGGCTCCGTTTCACAGGAAGCCCATAAGTGAAACAAACGGATAGTGTCTGTTGTAGCGCTCACAAAGCATGCAGCTCCATCAGTTTTAAAAATAACGTCTCCCTTTGGCCTTTTGTACTCTTTAAAAAAAAAAATCATTATTAAACTAATCTGCAGCCACATCTACCCATCGTACCGCAGGGCACAATGCGAGGCAGATAAGACATCTTGAGAAGCCCGTTAACCTTCTCCTCTACATATCCAGAAAACATCTAAAAATAAGAACCAGCTTTAACTCCCACAGCACGAGACCTTAAAGGGCACAAGGTGGCCTCAAAGTCAAGGCTCTGAATCACATGTCAAAAGGAAATGCTGACTCAGGAGGGAGTCTCAGGCAGGGCGGAGAATAGAGAGACAGACAGACACCTTTGTTTTGTCAAACCATCTTAGGTTCTGCAGACTAAAAGAAGGAATATTTTGTTAAAAAGGAAATAAAAATCTACTGAAAATGTCGCAATGTCACCCATCCTACCCAGGGAAGCTTCACATCACTATAACCATAAATTAATTAAATGATTATAAGACAATGACATCATTTTATTTAGCAGTTCCACCTATTCAAAGTGATTTTAGTGCCATTTATTACATTTTACACCATAGGATGTTTTTATTGATAGTCAAGAGTTAATTATGAGCACAACAGTGGGGCGGCTGCATGGTCGTCGCTAGACTCCTTTTACTGGGGTACGTGGCCCAGTACAATCTCACGTTCAGCTTTCAAAAACCACTGGGTAATGTGTGTGTGTGTGGGGGGGGGGGGAGGGCTGTGCCCCAGCAGAGTTTAATATCCAGCAATGCCCCAGGCCAGCTCACAGGGATACAGTACTGGCGAGTCGTCATCGCTGCAGGGACGGAAGGAGACACCTCATGTTTTAAAGTCTTTTCCCGGAAAGTGATGGCAGAGCGGCTAGTAAGGATGGAGGCTGTGAACTCTGTGAAGCTACAGAACACTGTGTTCTTCCCATTAACTGGACACACATACCAGTGTCCACCGCCACCCAGTCTGGTGCCTTAAGATACTTCTGTAGGATATCCCTGTCCCTGGAAGACACAATGACAGTATTTCCTGTTTCATAGGAAAGAATCTATCCCTCCAGTTACTCAACTTCCTTACAAAGTATTAGGTCATATCAACGCACACAAACATACACACTGTCACCCTGTCTATGCTGCCTCTCACTGTAATAAACATAAAGCAATACGCAAAAATCAAATGGGATATAAAAAAGCGTAAGACATTCATTCAGTCTTTTACATTCTTTAAGCACGAGCAACTTCTAAATTATGTAAAGTTCAGACATTCTACAGTAAAAAAAATAACCAGTAACTTCTCAGATACTGACAGAACAACCACAGCGTGAAATAAGTATTACTGTAAAAATTATAAGAAGTTGCGAGATGTGACAATTAAGAAACAAAAAAAAATGAAAGTATCGCCTTTAGAAGACAAAAGAAGCGCACTTCTCGCTGCATAATGCTCCTTCTTGCCCAAAATCGTGTGACATCTCCATAGCACACGTTTTCTGCCTATGTACATCCCACAAAACTGGCACGCAGAGGAAGAACGTGCATTATCATTGTTTAAGAGGACTTAGTTTAGCTCACGTCGATGCGCTTAGAAAACAGCATTTTCCCAGTCAAGTGAAATGTCCTTTAAAATCGTTTGCGTCATCTCTATTAACGAAATAGGCCAGGAGAATAACAGAATCTTAGAGGGTCCGCTTAGGCGGTCTCCTTTGACAGAGGGTAGGAGACCGGAGATGGAAGACCTGCCCACTTCAAGTCTAGTCCTGCCTCGGTCTTCTGTAATGTCAATTCAGTTCCTCTGCGAGCTTTTTGTGCAACTTTTGAAAACCATCTGCTCTGCACATGAAATACTTTTTCAGATCGTGAAAGGTATGTATCACCTTTATCCGAATAACACATTTAGGACAGACCATGTTGTCTTTTGCGATTGATTATTGGCACCGTGCGCACTGGAGTTCAACAATACTGATGTACTCAAGCAAGTTTTGTGTTTTTGGTTCAGCAGCGGTAGCCTGTAATAGCCTGAGCTTAGATTAATAATGCAATAACAAACGATAACATTGCTCCGATAGGCTACGCTGTTTATTGTGCAGCGAAAATGAAGGAACGTATTTTACATTTTTATCGAATCTGTTTCAGACTTTTAGGAAACTACTAACCCTTCCTAGCAGAACTTGATTCCAGTTTGTCCATTAACTGACACAGAATAAAAAAAACACATCTGGAACAGAAGAATTTGTTTAGGCATGTAAGATATTTATCGCTTTAAAAAGTTTAGTCTAATTTCAGACACTATGCTAGAAAGGTTCCTCTTGCAATATACACGAAATGTATTCTCTTAGTAAAATGTTGAAATTTAAGACTGCTGCAATTACATGGAAAAAAGACTCCTGGCCAGGTTAATTTGAGCCTATTTAAATCACAGGAAATAAATGATTAATCTTTTCATTTAAAATCGCCGCTGGTTCAGAAGGTTTAAAATAATTTTTACATTACCGTATATTAAATAAAGTACTTTAAAAAAAAATCTGGGGGAAAAAACTTTAAACGATTTTGCTGAATGCTGTTGAAAGTTGAAATGATCGAAATTCTGAATTTATTAAAGAAAATGCGATTTAAATTTATGATAGAATATGCCTACTCGTTGTCCATTAAAGGAAACGAAAGAGCTGCATATTAACATGTAACTTGTTGAGAAGTTGTTTTTAGAAGTCTGTTTTTAAAAGTATGCATCTTTCTTACTTCGGTCGTAGGTGTCCTAGACTCTGTAGATTCTAGCCCTCTGGTGGACAGAAGCCCATCTACAATCCAAGCAAGCGGACAGGCGATGCATCTTGGTATGAATTTGTCCGGCTTCGTCCGAATCATATTTCTGTCCCCGTGCTGAAGTCTACAAAACGGACACCTGGAAATTGTGTGGAAACTGCGCGCGGATTTATGATGGAACAATCGTTGATGATGTCACGATGACCAGAACTAGTGGGAGAACAATTTTCACGTAAATAACAGGGTTCAGCCCCCCTACTAAGCAATGGCTTTTACCCGCCCCATCTACTGTACTGATCCCCCTGCAGTCTTATCCAAAAATCTTCCAACGGGGCACCTGTTCCGCGTGTTCCGCGAGTACCACAACAACTCTGTCATCATGGAACACTACAATTTCACCGGCAAGCTCAGCAACGACAAGTACCGAGACGGCCTGAAGCCAGAAGCTATTTCGTTTCTGATCATCTGCCTGCTGATTGTGCTGGAGAACACCATCGTTTTAGTCGCCATTTGGAAGAATAAAAAGTTCCATGTACCCATGTACTACCTGTTGGGCAATCTGACGTTCTCCGACCTGCTGGCGGGGTTCACCTACATGGTCAACATCGTGCTTTCGGGTGCCAAGACGCTCAGACTGACCCCCCTGCTATGGTTCCTTCGCGAGGGCGGCGTCTTCATCACCCTGGCTGCCTCCATCGTCAGCCTCCTGGCCATTGCCATCGAGCGCCATGTCACCATGGTCAAGATGAAGCCATACCAGGGCACCAAGAGGGGACGCATGTTTGCTCTGATCGGGGCCAGCTGGCTGCTGTCTGTCTTCCTGGGGGTGTTACCTATAATCGGGTGGAACTGCATAGGCAGCCTGAACAACTGCTCCACGGTGCTGCCGCTTTACGCCAAAAGCTACATCCTCTTCTGCATCAGCGTGTTCAGCACGGTGCTCCTGGCCATCACAGCACTGTATGTCCACATCTTCCGGATCGTGCGCGCCAACACGCAGCGGCTGGGTGCCCTACGCGCTGCTCAGGCCCGTAAATCCCGCAAGTGCATGGCACTGCTGAAGACGGTCACCACCGTGCTGGGCGTCTTCATCGCCTGCTGGCTTCCGCTCTTCGTGCTGCTGCTGATGGACGTTTGCTGCCCGGCGCGACACTGCAGCATCCTCTTCAAGGCGGACTACTTCCTGGGCCTGGCTATGGTGAACTCACTGCTCAACCCCATCATCTACACGCTCACCAGCAGGGACATGCGGAGGGCCATCCTGCGCCTCCTCTGCGGCCACTGCTTTGTCACCAAGGAGGGCCACATCATGAGGATCGCCCTCCCCTTATTTGAGTGCAGCACCAGTAAAATGGAGATGACCTCTCACCGGCAGGAGGGCTTGGAGACCACCATCTCCACAGGCAACATCAACACATCCCCAGTGAAGGACCCCCAACCCGAATCGTGAGTCTGGTCCAAGGGTGTAGATATGGGTATGGACAGTAAGGACCATAGGGGGGTGCGGGGTTGATTTGTTCCCTTCCAATGTTGAAACCAAACTTATGCCCTTGATCTGGTCCCCCAGTGGATTAAAATGCGGGACATGGGGCAAGGACTCGAGGCAGGGACTGGGGATCACTCACCTACTCTTTGTTATAATTTATTTGACGGAGTGACTCACAGAAGACTGAATAACTGCAGGAATGTTTTTAAAGAAAGGAACAGTGTACCTGCCATAAACAAACTTCAGTGTTTTAAAAGCGGGACACTTGACCATGGGCGTCGTTAGGTCCGGTCACCTGGGGCTACAACCCTGAGTATTTCAGCCCCGAGTATTTCAGCCCTGATGCCAATCTTCCTTCAGAAAAAACAAAAAGTCAAGCTGTAGGTAAGCCTGACAGCCCCTGATCTTTTCAATACCTCGAAACGCCCCTGCACTTGACACATAAGTGCCGAGTGAACAAATAAAAATCATTGTGCACTGTGAAAAAGTGAGAAAGAGACTTTGGCTTCATACAGCTGGGCTTCGATTCATTTTGGTCCTTTTCTGATCCCACAGACCCAGGGACACGTGCAGGAAAAAGGACAAATTAGCAGCTTTACATTCTATTACGACAAAGGACAGGACTGAATGTAGACGAATAAACAAAATCATTCCTCCACAAAGGAAAGAAAATGACCAAGATCAATAGAGCAATAATTAGCTTGTGTTATCACTTCACCATCTCCATACATAGCAAAGTAGAGAGTTCACACCTCTATTTTCTGATTCAAATTAGGCATAAATGTACACAAATTTCCATGCACTTGTACGAAGTACGGTGGCGTCAGCCCTTGATGCAAAGTTTGATCTTTTATTGCATTACACAGAATTTTGCAGCAGTTTGTGCCAGAACCAATTCTAAGATGTTAGACTCAGTCCCATGAAGAAACACAGGATACGAAAACTCCCCTCCCTCATCCCACACAACTAGAACTTCACCAGAAGTGTGGGGGTTCCCCACCATACATTTTGCCAAACTGGGGGGGATGAAATATATTTGAAAGTACAGGACAAATCGCCAAATGGTTTTAGAAAAAAAAAATATTTTTCTGGTCTGAGGGGAAAAAATGGCTAGATCAGAATCACCTCTGGTTTCAGTCTTTATGTTTGGGTGTGTGTTACAAAACTGAATTACAGCATTACTCCATCTGTATATTTCCAACATGATATGTAATGTGGAATTCGACGTTCCGGATCCCTGTGTTTGAATACAACTAGATAACGCTTATAACTGTGTAAATAAAAGTTTTATCTTTTCGTTCATAATATATTATTTTCATAGTAAAATATTTACAAAATATTTACCTGTTATTGTCTTTTTCATTCATGTGCACCACGACCGGTTTGGATAAAGATTTTCAATCATGACATAATTTAGCCTAATTTATAATCACTGAAATTCAAAAATCCATTTTTGAACGTGTCAAGTGTTTATGTTTTAATTTGTTTTCTTTCTTAAACAGTTTGTTTTGCTGACTTTGTCAGAGTTAATTTATTATCAATTAATACATTTATTTGACTTTTCATTCTACACGCAGAATGTAGTTTCAGGGTAATGATGTACTTTTCCTATAACTTACTAGTGTTTTAAGTATAATTACGAGCAAGAGAAAGTGAATGTTACAGCTTCAGAGTAAACATGCCCTACCTGAGAACTCGCTCCATACAATTCGGTAACCTATCTTCTACACGCAAGCTTTTTTTGTTTGATGATAAACTTCTTGGTAAATGAAATCGACTATTATTATTAATACTACTAGCATACTTGTGGACACCGTAAAACAGCCTACAGACTCCCCCCAACTTACAACACGTGGCTTACGATAACTCGCACATACGGCCGAAGTTTTTTAAAAATATAAGTAACGCATAAATGCACGTGAACATAAATTAATGGCGGCTAAACCCCGCAGCTCCGCGGGACCTATTGCGAGGTGCCCGCCGTACGACGGTTGCTACGGGAAAGTACAGCACTTAATGGCATCGCGACCATCCCAGCCGCACACGCATCTTCTAGTTTCATTCTCACACCTAAAAGTCAGTGTGATTATCCTGCTCTGACATATGTCCTTTTCGACGCAGGACCTGTTTGCAGGTCGGAATGGAACCAAATCTTTATAGCTGTTCATATGTTTTGTGTATATTGTAGATGTCCGTGGAAGCCTATGGATTGAAAAATAAACGAAATACCTCCTAATCCCGGACAAAAATACATATGCTAGGCCAGTAAACATAGGACTACCAGCAATTTTCAGTAAAAATCTTTTTGATGGTCCAGTTTTCAAGTGTGCACTCGGAAAATGCATATAGGCCTATTGCATTAAGATGAAAATAAGGCACAATAAAATATGACGCCTTATAAGCATGAGAAGCAGTATGTTTTTGGCTACTTGATGAGGTCAAGGTTATCGTAAATTACTCCGAATTTCTGCAATCAGATGCACCGACGGGTTTCCCCTCCCTATCGACACCCAGTTACACCAAAACCGCAGGTCGCGATGCGTTAAACACATGGCTGCCTCGCGCTGGCCGACCGGTGCCACGCGCCTCGCTACGAAAAGTGCGGCCGCGACGCCCACTTAGTTTTCAGCTAGAATACAAACAACTGCTCGCATTAAAAAGCCACCAAATCGCACCAACAGAGCCCGTTCTCATACCTTCAAGAGATGCGAAACTTTCCCCCGCTTCACCACAGCTAGGTGATGCTGGCAGAGAAAATCAAAGACCTACAGTCATACAAAAGAATGATTAATTTATGGAAAATAACTTCTAATTCACACGGACTTACAGGCGGCATCCCGTAAAGAATTACTATGGTACAATGAAATGACTAAATGCATAACCCTTTTTTGTAAGGATAATTTGTAAGATACGTATACAATATACAGTGCATTTTATTTAAACAAAATATGAAACAACTATAGAAATCCTAAATATTTTCTAAATACCAGCCAAATAGTACGCCTAATATTTGGGAGTGAACAGGCATATGAACAGGGAGGCTACAGGAACTGATTTTGTTCAGAGAAAAGGCAAAACATGAATATCACACACCTCCCAACATATAGAAAAATCTTTATATTCTAAAGGCATCAGTAATATATATTAAGCTTCTGTTATCTCATGCAAACCCTGAGTTTATTTTGTAGTGTTTAGTCACTTCAAAGATACATGAAATGAAACGGCAGGTTAAAAATGGCCCACGTCTGGAAGGGCGCACCACGCAAAGCTGGCTTCTCTAAAAGCCGACTTAGGTGGTGGTCCGTGACAGTACCCATATACTTTTTCGTGTACAGTATATGCGATAAACTCAGTTTATTGCAAGTGATAAATTTCATAATGCACAATGTATACCTATATGTTTAGCCCTATATTTTTCAAACCGTCATGTTCGGGAATTCCATTGGGCAAATAAGTGAGGCTTTGAAGTCAGTTTATTGGTCTACACTAGTTACGAAGGATCTTCTGATCAGAAAAATACCTAGTGGTACTGACGACTACGCAATAGCCACAATAGACGTTAGAAATTGCATAGAAAGTATCATGAAATCACTGTATTGCCCAGGGCATTTTCCAGTATTCGCACGTCATGCACAAAAACACTTACTGATCTCTTAACGATGAAGTTTCTGCAGTCACTAGACCCATTCGCGTTGCATAGGCTACATGACTAAAAAGGTATTATTCCAGTAAGAGCGACCAAAAGAACAACGACAAAAACAAGTACCATAAAATTTAGATTCTGGTGCCCCCTTGTGGTAGAATTCAGGAAGCCAAACTCAAGATTATCTGACAGCTGCGCAGACGTTGCAGTAATTGGAATAAACACAAGGAATAATCTAGGTTTGCTCTCACCCCGCATTTTAAAGAGGAATGATGCAATGTGCAAATTAATCGATTTATATCAAGATAGGATTAATGTTATGCTGTGTTCTTTTCTGCTCTTCAATCTTTAAACAGATTTGTGACATATTGTTCGGTCATTCCTGTTTCCCTGTGTACTGGATTCCACTTCAGTTCTGCATTGAGTATAAATCGTTTCTCACAGTCCATTACAACCCTCTCAAGCACTTTGTTCACAAGGAGCAGGCTGCCTAGTAATTCCTGAAGTTAAAATGTCACAACTGGCACCAAAGCGCTTCTTCACACAGATGTGTTACATTCAAACCCACTCACAGCTTTCATATCTAGATTAAAAACTTTTATTCAAGCCTTTAAACATTTACATAAGCCTACACAGCCTACACCTTTCTGCTCTTGTCAGTAATGAATACATTGCTTTTCTTTTTGCAGTGTAGATATCTCTACGATCAGAGGATCAGTTCCCCTTTTCGAGCTGTGGGATCTCTCAAGCTTCCGTTCTACTATACTATACAGAATGTTTTTGTCACTGTCACCTTTGGCTTGTTCTGGTCCAAAAGCACCGTACAACTAAAGCTGAAACTGAGATCAGTCCAACAGCAGCAATTAAAAAATAAAAAAAAACATTAGTGACTTACACCTAGTTCATATTTGGAACATAACCTCAGAGTCTGAAGGCAGATATGTGGTTTCCTGAAGAGCAATGAACTATGACATTAATTCCTATTATTACCACACCAGCAAAATCTCTTACACATATAAATGGAGTTTGTCCTTGATGGTATTTTCTCTCACACTATCATCAGTTGCCAAACCATCTTGTATTTATTTGGCATTATGATGTTCAGGATGTAATTTTAATTATTTCGGGCTATGTAAACAATAATTTATGCTACATCATTAGGAAAAAAGCAATAAATTCTATTGTCCAAAAACAATATTTGTTCAGCCAAAACAAAAGACACCCCCACTGTCCAGTAATTCATAAATAGGTTTATTTAGGTGAAAAGAACAGAAAAGGACAAAACAGAAACAGTTACAAAGTGAAAGGAGCCGTTGTGCCTTTACCACTCTGCACTGACAAAACTCCAGAGGTAGCTGCTGATGGCAACTTTTGATTGGCTGGTGGTGTCGATATTGATGGGAGTGGCGAGGTCATCGCCATAGTGCACTGTGGGAAGAGGCGGGGTCAATGGGCCCACTTGTATGCATCTCTACCAAATATTATTCCACCAAGACACTTAATAAACCGTCTTTCTTTGTGCGTCCAAAAGTATTCTACACATTGCACAAAGAAAGACAGCAAAGTAAAACTTGATGAAGCTGACAGGACCCACAATAAGCTGACAGTGACGCACAATACCTCCTTTGAGAATGCCGGGCTCAGTGCCATACTCCCACTTTATCTTGGTCACCTTGTGGTACAGCTGAGCCAGGTATCTGCCAAGACAGGAGACTCTCAACAGCTACGAAGGGTGATGACAGACTGTAGTCTTAAAGCCAAATAACCATTCTGCTCCATCCATGAGAAAAAAGCCCTTCGCTTGAATGGCTGCAGGAAAAGGCATAAGGTGCTCTGGCCTCATCACGTGAACTGTACCAGTGAGAAGCGTAAGGTCACATTTGAGCCACAAGAGGCAGCATTGCTGAGCAGGTATAATGTTTCAGGCGAGCAACATAACAGTATTGCGTACAAATGGGAGCAGCGTCAACAATGATTCCACACAAAGTTATGGAAGACAAGCAAGCAGGTGGAAAAGTGTCTGACCTCCACACACACACACACACACACACACACAGGACAATGAAACAAACATCTGGCCAGTAGTGATTGGGGTTTCATGCCTATATATGCGTAGCCTGGTCGTCAGTCTTCACTGACTGCACATTCCAAAGTAAGAGCAGAGTGTGAAGGTTGAATTAGCAGAGCAACAGCACAGCTGTACATAAAATATTGCAATCCACACAACATAGTGGGAGACATTTCAGAGTTCAAAAGAGGACAAACTGTTGGCGTGCGAATCGCCAGCGCATATTGTGACCATGACAGTAAGTCTTTGTGGTGTTTTGAGAGCCATGGTATCAAGGGTAACGTCAGTATACATCCATGAAGGATGGACCACAGCCAACACGAGTAACTGTGGATGCAAGAGGAAGCTGTCTGTGAGGGATGTCCGGACATTAACCCAGATTGTGTCCAAAAAACATTAAACCACAGCTGCCCAACTGCAGAATTAAATGTGCACCTCGACTTGTGTGTTTCTACAAAACTGTTTGTTGGGAGCTCGACAGGGTCAATATTCAAGGTTGGGCAACAGGTCTTTTTTAAATTAGGGGTTATAGCAGCTGTTTTCAATGAAGGAACAAAACCAGAGGTAAGAGATGAATGTACAATGTCAGCTATTGAGGAGGAAAGAGAGGGTAAACAGGCCTTTACCAGGTGTCTAGGCATAGACTTAAGCTGACAGAGATTTAGATTTTTGAATAAGATCAGAAATTTCAGAAACAGAAGAAAGCTAAAAAGAAGGAAATAAGTAGATTACAAGAATAAGTGGCTTAAACAATGAACAGTATTTACACCAGAGATCAATTTCTGATAGATATTATTGATCTCAGCATTAAAGAAATCACAAAAAATGTTACATTGTATGGTGGAACACAAATGAGATGGTAAAGCATCCAGTAGCCTAAGAACATTAAAAGTAGATAATAGGGTGCTGGTATTCCCCTTACTCAACCCGAACTGATCTGCAAAATAGACTGACTGAGCTGTATGCAGGCACCCTCATAAATAAGTAAATGATCATTACACATTTTCTCATACAGAGCAGGACCAGTCTTTGCGTTCCAGTCTACGGCTCATAGCTTTAAGTTGTCGTAACTCAGTGGGGAACCAAGGAGCAGAGTGATTAAGAGAAACAGTCCGAGTCTTTAGAGGAGCAAGATCGTCCAAAAGATCCTGCAGTCCATTATTACAGTATGAGACCAATTCATCACCTTTGGTCACCCGTGCCGATGCCAAATGTTGGTTTCAATGGAGCCAGCAGCACGAATTTTGTGCTGTGGACAACATGAATCTGTTCTCTGTTGAGTCCACCTTCACCGTCTTTCCCACATCATAGAGAGTTATGGTGTGGAGACGCCCCAAAGAGGCTCAGCACCCGGATCACTGCGTACCCAGAGTGCCGCATGGGGGTGGATCAGTGATGGTTGAGCAGCAATATCATGGCATTCCTTAGGCAGTTTCATTGTTGAACCTTTGTATATTCCCCATCATTGTGGGGACTCTCCATTTCTATGGGCATAATCCTAATCGTAACAATGACAACCTTGCCCCTTACCCAGCCCTAACATTAACCTTAAGAAGCAAACAAGATACTAGCCTTTTGGTAAGGATCATGCACTGATTACAGTGCGTAAGGATCATGCACTGATTACAGTGCGTAAGGATCATGCACTGATTACAGTGCGTAAGGATCATGCACTGATTACAGTGCATTGCTGCACCCACCACATGACAAACCACCTCAGGGATAAGAACCTGAGTGCAGCCATGTGGCAGGTGATACCTCAGCACCACACAAGTCCAAATGGACCAGTGTGAGTTTTTTCTGGTGGCTGGAGCGCCAATCCTGCCACCAACCCCCAAGTTCTTCCCTGTAAGTTGGTGGATCTCCTTATAGGGCTGGATGTAGATTAACATCATACCCAGGACAAAGTCATTGCAGGTTAAGGGCCTTGCTCAAGGGTCCAACGGAGTAGAATCACTCCAGGCATTCATGGGATTTGAACCAGCAACCTTCCAGTTGCTGGCACAGATCCCTAGCCTCAGAGCCACCACTTCGCTTTGCCTTTTGGCATTTTTTAGTTTTTTGATTGTATTCGGATTAAAATTGAGGTTTATATTGTGGGGACCTGAGAAGTCCCCATAAGCTGAAGAATAACAGTGTGGTTTCCCACAGTGTGGTAAATACAGCCCCCCCCCCAAACACACACACACACACACACACACAAAAGGCTCTAGAGGGTGGGAGTGGCATAATTACAGCATCTTCGTACATGGCTGAAGGTATGACCTCTGTGGTATCTTCATCCACCTCCTGCTGCAGGGTCTCGATCTCCACCTCTGAGTTCTGCAAGCTCTTCAGCTCCCCCTGCAGAAATCTGATGGTGCAGTCAAGGGAGTCGGTGCACGAATCGGGCCAAACCCAGCAATGAAGTGACGAGAATACATAGCACTGTGCAAAAGTCTTAGGCAGTCAAAGAAAATGTTTAAAGCGATTTATCTGGGTAGTATTTATTTGTTCAGGAAAAAAAAAACCCAACACCAACATTAGAACATGAACACAATAAAAGACAGGAATTTCTCCTGTTCTCCAAAAAGTTACTGATATCTTGATGGACAGCTAGATGAACACCGCTTTGGTTCCCAAACCTCTCCTCAGGGGCACCTTAGTCATTCCATGTATTTATTAATATCACCACAAGCTCAATTAACTTAATTCATTAAATAACTCACTGTATTAATAACTGACAGGTATTAATTAGCCAAATAAGGTGGGGTAGCGGGTCAAGTCAAAAAATGCATGTGTGTATTGGACGGGTGTACATGGGCGTATTGCTGCAAATACCGGGGTGACTAGTAGAGGTTATATAATTTTAACAGATATAAGTTCACCAACATGAAGATCATTTAAGCATTTTCTCTGACTGCCTAAGACTTTTGCACAGTACATTTATTAGTTCTGTTACCAATTGTATTTTTTCCTTCATTTTCAGTATTAACCTTAAATGGTCTTCTTACCAGTATGAAGCACCATGTTAGCGTTACATTAGCACTGGTACGGCCTCCAGCTGAAACCCTTAAGTTCCTCTGACCGCCATGTCACAGATGGTGATCTGACCCAGTCTGGCAACCCTTCATAGAGGATACTGCAGCTCGGCCTCCATAGTGTGCTTGCGGGCCCGACAGCGCTCCAGCTCCTGCTGCAGGCTCTCCAGCTCGCGCGCCGCCTCGCTCTTCCGAACCTCCGTGTCCAGGAGATTCTGCCCGACCAGCTCCTCAGTCCGAATCATATCTAAGAGAAAGCATGGAGGAGAGCTCTGAATGCTGCCTCACGGTCAGCTGGAGAAATCCAAGCAGGGATTTGATATTAATCACCGATCATTATAACACGGCATGAGTCCTAAATAAAAGGGAAATACTGGTAAGCCCCTTTATAATACAATTTAACGAAATGATTACCATTTAAAAGCTGGGAGGTGGTTTTCCTGGTGGTGATGAGGAGGTCGAAGAGTTGCTGGCGCTTCTCGACCACGGCCCGCGCGATGCTCTCGGCATTGCTGCTCTCGACGATGCTCACCAGATCCTCCCCGGTCTCCTCCAAGTGCTGCAGTCCCTTATCCAGCGACACCATGACAGCGTCCTCTCCCAGAAAACAGGCGGCTCCCTGTTCTTATTCAGACACAATTCGAAACTCAGCAACTGACAGCCTAAACAGCTGTAACACATAACAAATGGAACATTTTATTATAATGCAACCGACTCTACCTGGTAGTGAAATTCAAATTCGTCCCGTTTACCCGCCTTCGAAGGACCACGGGGTCCTAAAATAAGTACTTAAAAACTTCATCATTGTAACCTATATTAATAACAATAATGTGTATGATTATTCCACATACATATTTTATACATATACATGATATTTTCTTTTGATATTAAAAATCTCCATTGTCTCGTATAAAAAATTATTGTCCAGGCACTTGTACCGGCTACCTAAAACGTTTTTTTTGTTTTTTTTTACACGCCCCGTGCTTTACGATTACATTACCGTAGGGGGCGCTAATGCACAGCTCTTTGCTGGGATTTAGGGATCGTTATGAGATACCTGCTGCTGTTAACATTCAAACGGGAATGAAGACTACATGACATGTTGAAGGTGTGGGACGAACCATGAATTTAATTAACAAACACCTTCTCTTATAGCAGTTTTATTTTAATTATTACCCGCAGTAATACGTGGGGAAAAAAAATAGAAGAGCAACACTAAGATTCACCCATTTTCCTTAATCCAAATGAAGTGGAGAAAAAAAATACTAACCATCTATTGTGTTTTCATAAATTCAGGTTGGCATTTTGTGAGCTTATTTACCTCGGCTGCTGTGCATGTGTGCATGCAGGTGTTTCCTCAAACCACTGAACTATCTGTGTACAATCGAGATATACAAAACGAGAAAGCAGAGTTGGCCCTTCCCTGGATCAGGGGCCCAGCGGTGGGATTAGAACCTGTAACCTTCTGATCACAGTCACAACATCTTAACCGCCAGAGTGTATACAAGAGCCGGACTGGGGCGCCTTACGGCAGCTATCCCAGCACGGTGCTTTCTGTTGTGCCATTAAGTGACAGCTGTGAGTTAATCAGCAATGCAAAGGAGTATAATGTAACCTGCTTTGTAGATCTGCTTTGAATCGTTAAATGCAACAGGTCAAATTTAAATGACAAAAATCAGAAAAGATTTTTTTTTTACTTAATGTTGTACATTCCCAGTAATAAAATACTAATACAGAATCATTATATAGGGACATCAAATATATTTCCTTGAATTACCATAGAATTTAATAAAGACAACATACCAATTACAAAAATGTAACAAATATTAACAAAATGCTTATTGTTCGACGTGTCCTTTAAAGTCACCCATTTAGAGTCAGCAAGGCTACACGACAAGAATAAACCTCATTCTATCATTGACAGAACACAGTAATTAAAAATCCCTTCTGACTAAATGCGGAGCACTTCTGCTTTAATATAGCTGAATTGTGTACTGAGGTTATGACGTCAGGGGAGAAGTTCTTATGTTCTTCATATAATGGAAGACAGCTTTCATTAGGAGACAGACCGATGGCTTGATCAGCATAGCCAAGTCAGTTTGACACCCAGTAGGTCCACATCCAGGGAACAGAGGGTGGGGGAAAAAACAGCAATCCAGCCACCTAGACTTTCATTCCTTATGTTTTTCCATCTTCTTGCCCTCAGCTTTTCGCTTTTGTCGGCTGAGCTGCTTGTATCTCAGCCTTTTAGGGTTTAGCCCATAGGCCTTAAGTCTCTGCCCACTGAACTCCTTGCCACCCATCTTCACCCTGAAGGACCCCAACAAGAGGCGTCCACCCGGGTGCCTGTGCTTCTTCTTGAGCCACTGTGGCTTCTCAGCAGAGTGCCCTGGTTTAACCTCACTAGCACCCTCAGTACTCTCCTCCATTTTTGTCTTCTTCTTAGGTACCAGGAACTCGTCCCCTTCGCTGTCTTCACCTCCTGTGTCTATCAGTGTTTTGAGAACATCTCCTTCAGCTTGGTCTGCCACTGGCTCCTGAACAGGCGTGGTGTCCTCCTTGCTGATATCTTCCTCCTCCCTTGCGCCGTCCGCCTTCCTCACCCGATCTCTCCTCTTCTTCCCCACCTTGGCTTTTCCCTTCAGTTGTTCCTCAGCTTCATTCTCACTGTTAAAAAGTTTGCAGATATCAGGTCAACGCAACATTAAAAACAACAGAGTCAGTATGACAATAAATACTCTGCTTTATACATACTCCTTGAAAAGGGAGCTCAAGATATCCTTCTTCTTCTTGTCATTCTGGGCCTTGATCTTGTAGTTTTTCACATCGCAGAGCTCCTCCCTTTCGGACCTGAAGCAGGGACAGGGAAACAGTGTCAGCACCTTTCTGCTGCACCCGGAGCCCTCAGGCTGAAGCTGAACCGCAGAGCTGCCGCCACCTGAACATGCACGTCTTCTTCAGCGAACACCAGCGATTCAGCTCCTTGTCGTCGGAACCCAGGACCTGCAGAGCAGAGGGAGGGCAGGGCATTATAATTAAAGGGCATGAGACAGTTAAATGAAGGGTTTTGATTTGTAACCTGAAGACCTACAGTCATCCTGAAGACCTACTGTCATCCTGAAGACCTACAGTCATCCTGAAGACCTACTGTCATCCTGAAGACCTACTGTCATCCTGAAGACCTACTGTCATCCTGAAGATCTACTATCATCCTGAAGATCTACTGTCATCCTGAAGATCTACTGTCATCCTGAAGATCTACAGTCATCCTGAAGATCTACTGTCATCCTGAAGACCTACAGTCATCCTGAAGACCTACAGTCATCCTGAAGACCTACAATCTTCCCCTAGATCTATCTTGGTGCAGTTGCAAGTCGTTACATTTATCAGTAGTAAAATGAAGCTTGCAGTTTGTAAATACCAAGTCAACACACAATGAGAATGTAACCAGCTGCAGATGAGCTAATTTATGTGCAGAGTGTCAGCTCAGAGAGAAGATTACAGTCTTCAGGTCCTGGTCAGAGCCTATAAGTGGGCAATACCAGGTCAGACTATACTTCCGTTCATCAGTGCTACAGCACTGCACAGTGATCTGCCTTCACTCCCTGCAAGGTCCAAAAGAATCGGTCTCACCTCCTCTGTGGTCAGGCCAAAGTCGTTTGGGACGACCTGCCGGTACCGAAACCTGCAGGGCAGGTCATCAATGATGTCTTCATAGTCCAGTTGGTAATACTCGTCTAAGTACTGCTGAAAAGTCTTCTCCTCTGAAACCCAAAGCACAAGTGTGATGATATGCAAACACGGACGACAGTATAATGCTAGAGGTCATCACACATTTAAGCAAGTCTATGAAATATTAGATCCAACCCCTAACCACTACTAGATAAACTGGCCACATGTACGCAAGCTTATGGGAGTTTTACTGAGGGCAGAACAAAAAATGTTTGGTTCAGCCAATCAAATGTCTTAGTCCTGCCTCCTCTAGTTGCTTGGACCCACCTCCTCTATAATCTGATTGGTTATCTCTCTGAAATCATGTTTCTTTCTGCCCTCAGAACATTTTTGTGTTTGTTTGGAAACGTCTGCTACATACGACTCCCACGAGCCGTATGTAACCGACTAGCAATGGATATGACCTTCATGACGGAGTATCTATTTCTGATGGAGAGATGGGGTGCTGGTGTTATTGAAGCAGGCAGTGATCCGTAGCCCAAGTAATCCCACTCGCAGTGGCTTTCAAAGTCATACCTCCCATTCCAGCATCTCTGATTGTCTAAAATAATTCTGATCACCAGATGTTTACAGATGGCATTTTGCGATGTGCTGTTCTCATGGTCAGTTCTGGTTGCTAAGGAAACTACACCTAATTCTTTGAATCTGAAGGAAGGTTGTTGAGCTTCCCCCTCATGGTGCATATGCTAGATCATATCGGAGCGCCAAAGGCCGGCAGACTCACGGGGGTCAAAGATGGGCTTGCTCTGCGCGAGGACGCTGCCAAAGTGAGATTTCTTCTTCTTCTTCCCCATCAAGGGGACGTCTGCCTTGGTCATCTGACTACTCTTCCTCTCTACCTTCTCCTTTTTCCGTTTCTTCTTCTTGGAGGCCGACTGCTGGCTGGGGTCATAGTCCGCGTCCATCTGTGTAAGGTCACGGTAAGTTGCCTACATGCAATCTCACAGGCAATAATTCTTGATCGAAATATTACCAAAATCCTACTTCTACTGGGAGGGAAGCAGCGATGTACGGATATAAAAAATGCGAGTTGGGCAAACGGAGAATCTTACGATAAAGTCTGTGTCTTCACAGTGAGGTTGGTAACCCTCATCTACCTCTTCATCCTCTTCCTCATCCCTTTCACCTGTCCAGGTGTCCCAGTTCCAATGCTCTGAGGTGGTTACAGGAGAATGATGAGCATCAACCTCCCCCACACACACACGAAAACATATATGCATACATGCACATGCATTTATACACACACACACACACACACACACACCTCTTTGTGCTTTTCAGTTTTCTGCATTACTTACCATCCATATCCTCTTCCTCAAACTCAGGTTTTTCCTCATCTTCTACATCATAATACTCCTCACCAAAGAATTTCTGTACAAAAGGAGAGAGAAAAGAGAACAGCAGCTGAAGAGGTTTGCTCTCTTTCCGTTCCAGCATTCGCCAATTATACTCATCATGAGGGTTTACACCTATCATGTAATAATAACAGCGTGGTAGTCATGCTCTTTAGGGTAAAGTGCATTCTGCCAGGAGGCTGAGATCTCGCCTCGCCCACCACCCCCCTCTCCCACCTGCATGAGCTGATCGTGCTGCTCGGGGTCGAAATCGCCCTCCAGGTCGGTCTGACTGAAGGCCAGCTGCGCATTTCCCGTCAGCTCCTGCAGCTTACGCAGCTTCTCCACGATCTCGTTCCGCTTCAGATTCTTCAGCTGCTTCAGCTGCTCCCGCTTCTGCTCTTTCTCCTGCGGGCCGTGGGGAGACCGAGGTCAGAAAACCAGCACTGGGCAAGAATACGGAGAGCAGCACACTGACAGCACACTCACAGCACACTGACAGGCGGACGCTCGGGCAAGTGTCCAGAAAATCCAAGTTGCTTAAAGTCAATGAGTAAGCAGAGGATGAATATCTCACCTTCTTCTTCCTCTCCTTCACCTCCTCCCTCTTGTGTTTTCTCCTCTCATCCTTGCTGCGGACAGAAGTGGCGATAACACGGGGGTACGTCTTGACCTGGGTAGGGGACACAGAGGCAAGTCATTAAGTTTCCTGCACGTCCCACCCGGAACCACTAGGGGGCAGTAGGGGGCTCACTTCTTGGGCATCCGGCTCTTCGAAGCGGAAGTTGTAGCACCTCTCAAAGTCCTCCTGCCGCTCCAGGAAAGAGTGGCCCTCCTCCTCCGAGTCCTCGACCTCGTCCTGCACCACATCGTCATACGTGGGGATCCTGCAGGGATAGGCCAGTTGCATTGTTTTAAAACACCTTATGCTTAAATGCACGCTGAAACGATGATTTATTTTGAATCTAAATACCAATGACGCTCCAGCTAAATATTCCCTTGAGCACCATCCTACTGTGACCGAAATTTTAGCCTGATTGTACGCAGGAAGAAGTTTAGCTCACTGCTCTTCGTCTTCCTCCAGGTAGCCCTTATGGAGGACGTAGTCTCGCAGGAACTTCTCCTTCTCATCCAGCTGGGGGTCATTCCAGTACTCCTTCAGGTATGTCTGTCTCAACACCAAAGCCCCACGATGTAGTCAGTCATCAGCTTCTTTAAAACCCCAACCACTCCCCTCAAAGGTTCCCTTCCCCAAAACACAGCACACTCACCATGTCCTGCACCTCCTCAGCCGCCTCCAGCTCTGCCTGTCCCTTCAGCCACTCCACATAATCTGCCTCCTCTTTATCCTACAAGTCATTTCCACACAAACCCAAACTCAATAACAGTTTCAACAAGCAAATAAGCAAAAACACACACACTACTAGTCAAAAGTTTTTTCCACAAGCTGAGATTTTCTACATTTGCCTGTTACTCACTTAACATTTACTAAAAATACACTCAATATTCTTACTGCTAACAAATAAATTTACAATATGTTCATCTTTTGAGTACCTTCATTACCAAGATAATGTCATATCTTTCATTCATCAAAGTAACCTCCTTTACCAGCATTTGAGACCTTCTTTCTACAAGGGACATTACATACTGCTCTGTTTCATGGGATGAAACAGCCTACAATTTGACTCTGTCATCACCACACAACCGGTTAGCAGGATGTCACACATGCACTGTTACATACTCTTTCCGTGTTGACTGATATCTTCATTTATAGTTGTTCACTCAACCTTCCAAGAATAAACCATCTGCAGTTTATGAAATGAGGCCTGTGGTGTGCAAAGCCTTGACTGGTACTGTAAACAGAACTCTGTCCATTTTCAAACATCCTAAGGACCCTCAGTGGACAGACCCCACTGTCCCTCACCTTCTCTTCTTGTGTTTTTTTCCTCCGCATCAACAGCTGAGAGCATCCCTCCCCCTCACTGCTGTCCTCATCACTGTCATGAATAAACTTCCGGAAGCTTTGGTGTGAGGGGGCAAAAAAAAGTATGAAAACAGAGCGAGGAAGACAACAATCATGGGCATCGCTAAATGCCACAAACATCCCCTGGATCTCGTGCATTGGTCTCCGTGGTCGTCTCTACACAAACACAATACCTTTACAATGCTCTAAGAACTGGTGTCTAAATCTCACCTTTCCTTCAACTGCCTCTGCTCCTGGATGTAACTGGGTGAAGCGGCTCTCTGTTACAGAAGCACAAACAGCCGATAATCCTCTTTATGAAAGAAAGTGTACAACATCATCAGTCGCAGTTAATTTTATTAGTGGAGAGAGAGTACTGTAATACCTCCATCCTCTTTGAGACCTCTTCTTCATCACTCTCATCGTCGTCATCCTCATATTTACTGAAAATACGTGAGTGGGATAAACGTCAAGGTCTGACTATGAAAAACACGTGCCGTTCCAATTGAATGATGTGACCCAGATGCAGGGAAGAACCATTCGCTCACCCGCCCCTCTCTAAGATGACTTTGCGCTCGTAATCCTTAAGGAACATCGGCTTCTCACTCCTCTTCGATGTTGATGGCTGGGGGACGGCAGAGGAATCTGAATCGTGAAGAGAGAATGACGCACGTTTATCTGAACTTAATCAGAATGCTTCCAGTTGTACTTGAGGGCAGTTGTATGGCCCACAGATCCTTATATTACATGCGAAATTGATGGGTCCAAATGACAGGAAGCTTTAAATATCAAAATATCAGTTGGGTAACCAATCATTATAACAGTGATGATGATTCTGACTACCTTCTGATGTATAAAATGTAGCATCCTGTTGATAAATCTTGGGGTCCTTCTTTTTCAGCAAAGAAAGGGTTCTGTAAAAATCCCTTTCAATGTTGGTGTCAAGTTCCTGCAATAAGAGGTATGTATGAACCTACACACCATCAACTGATTAGAAAGACTGGTTAAAATTAAGACACCAACAATTTCATATCACAGCCGCAGAAAATGACAAGTAATATGTATAAACAATCAGAATGACAAGTTACCACTTCGCTGTCGTCATCAGATTCGGACTCGGAAGAATCGGATTGATCGTCATCCGCCTGCTCTCCATAGCGATCTTTCACTTTAATATATTTCAATAAAATATTGCAACATTATCATTACGTGATGGGGACATTATGGAGAAATGGTTAAAAACAAAACACTGAAAGGTTCACCAAGGGAAAAAAATATAGGTAAACATCTGGCACCAGAACTACAAATATGGTGAAAATTGTAGCCTTCTATCTCTCAATAAAAAGCCCAAGAAATTCATGGCTTGGCTGTCTGATATTTGTGCTGGATCTTGACAGATTAGTTTATTAAATTCTAAAGAATGTAGATAATCGGAGCTAAAAAATAAGTCATGAAATCGTACACAGAATGTGTTGTGTTGCAGTATTATATTGATACAAGCTGCTCATGATTATGTCTTATTTTTATGAGAAACAAAATGCCATAAATCTATGTACAGTATCTATCGTAAAATACAAAAAACATACGGCCGCGACGTTAGCGAGGACGCTTAAGCTGCACACACTTACATCGCTGCAATTCCTCTCTCTGCCGGTACCGTTCGTACTTTTGAGCGAACTTCTCATTTATCTTTAACTCTGCTTCTCCCGGCATACTTTGACTGCAGCTGCTACTTTTAATATTTGATAGCGAGACGAATTTACAGAACTAAAACAGTAAACTCAACCCACATGGAAACAACTACACCACGTGTCCACGTCGTCTGGGGTTAAAGGTCAGAGGTTAGAGAGTTACGGGAGCCGGGAGTTACTTGTGAGTAAACTGAGAAAGGGCTCGCAGTTCTGAATATGAGAAGCTTCCAGAAATCATGAAAACTGATAATTTAGTTCATAAAAGACATGAAAGATGTAAGACACCATTTTGTAGTACCACTGTAGGTCTTTGTTTGGCTTCCACCTTGTGGACGAAGTGAGAATTGCAGGAGAGAAGCAAATAATGACAAAGTCAAAATCATTAATTTTGCATCAACAATCGAAATTAGTGTTTTATATTAATTTGTCAGTATTTAGGGGCTGTCGCATATAACATTTTACCTTTAAAGCAATTTTTTTTAAAGCAGTAGTCGGATTGTCTTCCCTAGGCGATTTTTACAGCACTATTATTTTGTATATTAGCACACTAATGATTAAAAAGTCAAACCATGCTTATCATTTGTGATCCATTTGCACATAATATCGTTTTGTTTGTGTATATATTTTATATAGCTGTTAAATAACGCACATTAGGGACCGGTTTCAGATCATTTATTCTCATGGTATCTTTAAATAACCGATGGAATATTTGCAGGGTTATTTAAATTCAAACCACATAGCTACACACAAGGCCAAAGACTGGAAGTTTTAAAAGTTGTTAGGTAAATAATTCATTTTTCACAAAGCTTAAAATAAACACTTTACAAGGATCCAACTATAAAATTTATCATACAAAACTTATAAATACGTAGTTTAACAAATATACATCGATTAATAAATAATTCAAATAAATAATTAGGCATTACAATAAAGTAAAAAATCACATTTTCTATTAATCACACATCTTAAAGGCAAATATTTCATTTCAGAAACATGGCAATGAAAATAGATACATTAAAACGAGTTAAAACCAATACATTTGTAACGGATATTAATCGAAACAATATCTAATCAGTAGCTTTCCACTTTATTGACATTTTAAAATGACATTGTGACGTTTATTTTGCCTTTAAACACATTTTAAAGTGTGTGTGGCACAAATGGCTGACCAATATGTCAGGAGGACTAGGTTAACCTGGAGTCCAAATGACGCTCCAGTATCTCCGCAACATCCGAAGATCGAGCCCGGGCCAGATCCAGCGCCGTGTGGCCGTTGTGATCGCGGTGGCCCAGGTCCGAGAGCGGGGCTAAGAAATCCACGGCGGCCGTGTGACCCTCCCGGATGGCGACGTGGATGGGCAGGGCACCGCTGTGGTCGGGCACGTTGACTGAGGCCCCGAATTGCACCAGAACACTCAAAGTGTCAGTGAAGCCGGTCCGAGCGGCGTCGTGCGCTGGGGTGATGCCCTGCTGGTCCCGCACATTGGCGTTGGCGCCATGCTCAAGCAGAAGCAGAGCCACACTCCTACTGCCCATCATCATCACCTGCTCATCAAAGGAAGGCAGAACATGAACTTCAATTTTCGCAATTTCAGTACGAACTTAGTGGGGCATTGCTTTATTTAAACTAAAAATTCGGTAACCTATATGCAAAGGGATAATTAAATAAACACATGCGGAAAATACGTCATACAATTTGTTTACACTGTGCCATTTGTTTACTTGTCTGCACTTCGATCGTCTTGTTCTGTACTATATATTGGTTAATCTGCAGTTTACGACCTTTACTGCTGTACGCACTATTATTTGCCCCTGGGATCAATAAAGTAAATTTTTTCTTATCAGTTTATTCAGAGCCAGGTTTACCTGCAGAGCGGTCCTGCCGAATCCATTAACTGCATCAGGATGAACTCCATCCTCTTCCAACATTCTTTTTACGGCTGTTATATCTCCCTTCGCCGCAGCAGACGTCAAATTATTGCCAGAATCCCCGTCGGTAAGGATCATGTCTAATGACTTTGTTGTCCCAAGAAAAATAAAAAATAAAGGTGCAAAAAGCTAACTCACGTTGTGGGGCAAAAACCCCGGTAAGGAAAATTTAAGTTTTAAGATTATCCAGTTATCGCTTTGGAGCATCTTGACAATTTAGTTGGTTGACGGTTTTATGGAATATCACGCGTCTTAGATGAAGTCTTCGCAATTTTACGGAACTCAGCCACAAAGTAACTTATATTAGCAGAAAGCGCTGGCGATAAGCCGCTTACAAAAACCGTAAACACGACCGCCGGGACAGTTTCTTCAACTCCTGCGCTTCAACCACTACTGTCGAATTTCTGTTAAGTCCTAGCTGTTCTGTATAGGTATTCTTTAAAGCCAAGCAGAACATACAAGTAATTTTCTCGCTTAGAGGACTGACTTTAAAAAAAAAAAAAAGTTTAATTTGCGCGCTGAGAAACCAGTTAGGGGTTAAAACCAATCATTATCTTAAAAAGAGACAAGAGGAAGTTCTCCACCAATCGGATCGAGTATTTCCCCATGGGGGCGGAGACAGTGTGGCGTGTGGCGGTGATGAATATACGAGTCCACCAATGAGATTTAGGTAAGCGAAGGCGGGCTATTTGACGAACCCTCTGTTTAAAGAACAGTTCATTCATTTCCCTTCATGGTTTGACAAATGTCAAAATAACACGGGAAGGCGGAACACCGTGTCCTTGCACATTTGCTTATCTGTCTGGCATATTACATGCTGTGCAGTTATATGATAAGCGTATGATTCGTAAATAACACATAGTAAAGGTTTTATTTTTAGTCTACTGGCAGTCGTCTGTCACACGTTAACTACTTCGAGTAATTGAAATGTGACTGAATAATTTCACTGGCTATAGCGTGTTCTGTATAATAGGCAAAATGCAAGATTTAGTGCGGTATGTAGTGTTTCAGATAACTTACAGTAATGGCATCATTTGCAGAAAAAATTCCGGACACTCCTTAGAATTATCTCAATTTACGCATAAGTACCTGCTTAAATGTGAACTGGATCGTCATCTAAGCTGCAGACTTATTTTGGCCCATTCCTTCAAAGAAAACTATTTCAGTCCATGCGTATTGGAAATAACAAGGTTTCTAAATTTCTCCCATTTGTAAACTATCTGCTTAACGTGAATTTTCTGGAAATTCTGAAATTTCTTTTGATTAAATCATACTTACCCATAAACGGAATTACTTCAGAAGGAGAGGTATACCAAAATAGTGTTGCTCTGTGTTTATTATCACATAGATGAAGGTCAGATCACATTTTAGGAACCAATCATGCAGAAATTTAATAATGCGTGGTACCCCGCTTGACTACAATCTTGCGTTGATTATCTGTTAAACTATAGATCAGATCACGGTCCTCAAGGGTCGAGCACTGCTCATTTTCCAACCTTCCTTTACCTGTGAGTCAGGTATGAAGTCTCTGTGGCCAATCAGAATCAATCATTATTAAACTAACTACCTGGGAGAACTGAAAACAAAGCCTGGATTTAGAAAGCCCAGCTGTAGATGACTGATGTCATTGGTTTTTTCCAAAACCAACCACTAGGGGACAGTGTACCTTCATTTGACATTTTTTTGTACAAAAGACTTAATGTGATTTTATTTTTTTAATTTTGAAATTACTTGCCATACTCTAATTGTGATAAAGGAGTGAATGTTCAGTTATGGAGAGTCTTGAAATGCTCTGAAGCATCAGCAGAGACGTCTCCTGTAGCTAATTGGTCACTGCCCCCGCCTCCCCCCACCACCCACGCTTGTCATTGGTCCGTTGATCCAGGTGGAACCTGTTTCTCATTGGAGTCTTTCTACATCATATATTTACGGGCATATCTAACAAGAAATTTTAATTAATTTAAGTTTAATCCATTTGCAAAATTGAGAAATGTTGCTTTCCTGTATTGGGAGGATGGATTTAGCTATATTAAGATGAAAGTACTGTAATTTCTTTTTGACTGAGTAAGAGTTCATCAGCTTTCCTGTCCTCTCTGTCATTCCATAAAGTGTCACTTACCAAGACCACACCCTGTCATTTATATATACATAGTGGTGTGATAGCTAGACTCCACCCTCTTCTCATGACACCAGCCAATGGGAAGTGTCAGAATTAGGCCAGGCAGATTGCGTATGCGCTCATATGTATAGTGTTTTTGTTTGACTTAAGTGTTTTCCTACAGTGTCTTATCAGCAAGAAAATGTTTTTTGGTAAAGTGACCTAGCATGCATTGGTCTAGCTTTGAATTTGAATTAAATAAAAAAATAATAATTTCTGTCACCTACATACACACACATACATAAACATACATACATATTGACCGAAAAACTGTGTAGGTTGAAGCTTTAGCTTATTATACCTTAAATTTTAAACTTTACATAATAAATATGCTTTCTAACAGCAGGATTAACTCAACAGAAATAATTTGCATTGATGTTTGTAGGTTATCAAAAGTTCCTGATTGTTCTTTAATTTGGAAACTTATATACTGTATACGCAGATTTAACAAAGACTATATATATTTGAAATGTCTGATGCAGCGAACAGAGATCCTAGTAGAAATGTCTTTGGCTTGTCTAGATTTCACAAGCCCCCCTCTAGTGGCTTCAGTAACCTGAAACAAAATCAGTCAGCAAAATAATTGCAACCTCTTACGTAGATGTAGAAATATGCTGCCTTTGCAACTGAATTGTAACCGAGTACTGAAATGATAGGACTTCATACAATAAAACAACTGTACTAGATTTATAGCAAACACAGTGAATTAAAACCATTTCATAACACTTGTCCACTCAAGGTTTTGCTTGTCCATCTATGTGTAATTCATCATAATAGGATTATATGAAAATTATATTTCTTAAGATGGAATTTCGGTGTGAAACCGGCAATATGTATATTTTCAATGCATGCAATGAACTTCTGTTCTGCTGCACAGAATCAGTGGTGATCCAGTTAATATTTGAACGGGCCTTTTTCCAAATGATTAACTTCAGAGGCTCGAGCCAAATGCAGGAAACATGGGGTGTTTTTCTGACATGTAACCGGCTGGAATGCTAATCACCTTCAGAGGAATCGACAGGGACTTCCGTGGTAATTTTAGCAGCTAGTTGGACGGCTTATTTTCAGTTTTACACCTGTAACAGCTCTGCTTACAGCACTTCCTGATTTCTGCCTATGTTTGCCTTGTAAATCCAATCATAAACAGTCTCCTACATTTCAAAACTTCATTGTTCATTGTTGGTCAGACCAGTACACAGGAAAGTCTTACAGGCTCAAACATACAAAGCATCTACTAGATATATTAATAATGCTGAAGTGAAAATGGATGAATGATTGACTTTCCTTTTATTTCAGCAGTATGATTGCAATGGGGTGATTGGAAACAAATAAAACTGGCTGAGGAGAACAGGATGGATGTCTGGATCTTGATCTACAGCAGAGCACAATGTGGGAAAGATGTCCTGATTCTGGCTGTATATAAAAACACCAAACTAGGGGCCTGTGTTGCCAACCTAGACTGACACAGCCATTTTTAAGTCAATTTTGTTTTGATATTCGTTGATCAAGTGGTATGGGCAAAAACGCTCGAGTGCGGATTGTGGGTGTATGAAAAGACTCACGAGTCTCTGTGTCCCTCCCCTTATTGGTGTTAAATCTGGGTCTTTGGCCTGGAGGAGGTGGGCGTCAGGTGACCACAGAGTCACATGGACGGCTGACCGGCACGGTCTAAGTCCATCAGTAGTCCTTCAGTCCACATGCTCGATTATAACACTATCATGCTGATTATTTCTCACCAAGTACTGTCGAGAAACACATATATCATGCCACCATTGTGACTGCATCACCTGAGGTTCCCTGAGGTATATTACTGACTGAAAATTAACCGACAGTCATAAACTTTCAAATTAAAAATATTGGCGAAAAAGGATACTGTTACAGTGGATCTTGGCTTATAAAAATGTTCACAATATGTAACTTGAGAATTTGTAATTTGAGAGACGACATTACATGCATTCCGAGAAATAGTAAAACATTAATCTAGCATATATAGATGTCACCTGCCCCAGAATAATGTCAATGATCCTCATTGAAAGCCTACTGATGACACACTTGGATCAATCAGTAAACTCTACCTCTCTGTGCAAACAATGACTGTGGGAATGAGGCAGAGATGAAACCCTCGAAGCTCTTCTTCTGATCTATCACTGCAGCCAGACTCGGGTACAATATGGCTGCCAAAATACTTTCCACTGCTACTTTTCAATCAATAAGACTATTTGAGTTATATATCTGGTTCAAGGTAATATTAAAAAACGATCATAATGCATTATGTCAATTAACTGAACACGTTCCTTTTGAGCTTTATTGTATTGAAAAGTGGGTGTGTATATGACACTTATGTCTTGTATTAGATTACTACTGTAGTACAACACAGGAGGATACAAAGCACGTTGGAGCAAAGCTACAATGTACTGCTAGTAGCTGTTAATGAGAAAGACCACCTTAAAAACCTTCCACCTTAAAATTTTTCTTTATTTCCAGAGATCCTTTAACTTACATGCGTGTGATACCGAACCTTACAGATCCTGTAAACTGTGACCAAAAATCACAAACCTTCATGTTGACACCCGTTTAAAATAACATTTTAACAGATTTTAAGCCAGGGTGGAATAACTGTGTATGTGTGTGTGTGTGCATGTGTGTGTGTGTGTGGTATGTCAATCACATCAATACATGAAAGGTTTAAGGGTGATTTCTCATGCAAGAAAGACCCAAATGACATTAAATCAAACTTAACAAAGGGTATGACTCTTGCAATAAATAAAAAAAACCCATTTCGTTATGTACAACATTTAAAATTCAGAAACACACCTACTAACCAAGGTAACAGAGATCTGCAATGGATTGTATTTACATATAAACATATTTACACATATGTATGTCACTGGGAAGCAGCTGGTCTTTGCATTGCTTTAACATGGCTTTGAGGTTCAACCCACTGCCCAGCGATAAATAAGGTCATCAGATACAAAAAGGAGGGAATGGAGACTCTGTGCTTAGTCACACCTCACAGGATCTGGTGACCGTCCACACCAATAGCAGGCCACTATAGCAACAAAACCATATCTATCTATTCGGTATACCGCTGAAGTAGGGATGGACAAAATGATACTTCATGAACCATTTGCTGTATTTTTTGACCCCACTAGATGGTGCTCTCTGTTCAAAAAAGGGTATGAAAAAATACAGCAAATGGTTCATGAAACGCCATTTTGTCCATCACTACGCTGCAATCGTTCTCTTTCGAAGGTATGCTGTCTAAACTATGGACTATAACAAAAACAAGGCAACTCTGACACACTTACCCTGAGGGAGCTATTCTGATTGAGCCGCCAATGGGATCTGACTGATCGTGGGAAGAGGTGCAAGGATTACATACATGTTTCATGGCTTCTCGATTTGCACTATTCTGTGCGTTCAGAAAACCAGGGCTCAGCCTGGAGCACGTCTGAAAAATCGCTGTAATCCCATCGTAATCATAGCAGATGTGTAAAGTGTAAAGGTAAAGCACCTCTAAATAACATTAAACTGCAAGTCATCATTCGTAGGGGAGCAAAGGAAAGGTTACTTGTTTAAATAAGTCTGTTTGAACACTTTCAGCTTAAAGGCTTCTCATTCATGTGTCCGTTCATAGCCTAAGCATCAGCCTACTCCAGTGTTTCCCAACCCGGATCTCAGGGACTCCTAGACAGTCCACGTTTTTGCTCCCTTCCAGACAGTCCATGTTTGAGGGATCCCCCTCAAAAATGTGCACGGTCTGGGGGTCCCCCAGGCCTGGCCTGGCAATCACCGGCCTACTCTGAACCTGAGTTTGTGTCAGTTAAGGCACTAAGAAACAAACGGTGCTGATGGCTGTTTCACTCTCAGTGCATGACATGGCTTAGAAGGCCCTCGAAGGCAGCCACAGGGGGGCTACTCCCAGTCTCCGACGGGTCCCGGTCCCCAATGCACAGTTCAGATTCAGCATAAGAGGTCAGATGGTTACGAAATCCCTGCTCCGTGTCAAGTAAGACATTCAACTACTTGCTCCTTCACTGCAAAAATTCCATTTGGTTCAAATATCATTGTGTATAACCACATACGATATGGAAAAACAACAGTTACAATTAAATAATATACCATTTCATTTGGTCAAAGAATAAGATGCTTCACCTCAACTAAATGTAGTGCAAATACAATCAATATAAAGGCTGACAATCAATATAAAGCTAAATTATTTACAAAACCTCAAAAATCTATACAATTAAACCACAACATACTCCTTTAGAAGTAACATTCAGTGACTGTAGTCAGGCATTAAGGCCATATTCACACACAAAAAGACAAACTTTCTCCCTAAAAAGTGGCTTTTGCTTTGTTTTTCCGAGAAGATCCTTTCACAGTACTCTCTATCAGTCCTCCCTCACTTATTTACACGTGTGAGGTTTTGGTCACGATTGCCAATAGGGCCCAGATGCCTATGAGCTGCACAGCCATACGTGCAGGGTTACTGTACAGTGACAGGCTTACGTGGGTCTGTTTCCATTCAGAATAATCTCTTCATCCACTTCAGTCTTCCTTCAGAATTTGCGTATCTTTTTAATTTCTTGGTTTAGCTCAAAGGGTTCTCCAAACCTCCTTCTGGAGATTTGGACGGCACAGTGGTTTCAATCTTTTCTTTTTAAATCCCAATAGTCAGTGAGCAGCATATCAAAAAAGGCCTTCACCCATTTTCGCTGTTTCCCTTTTTGTCGGTCTCGCTAAGCCCTGTAAACGCTGAGTTGCAGGTCACGCCATCTCGTCATCGGGGCTTAACATCTGTCGCTGCAGGAATTCAAAGAGTGGAAGAAAAATCGTTAAGATAGTAAAAACCTTTCAACGTCAGGTACAGATTGCCTGGTGCTACCAACAATGTGTCCCTCAGGCAGTCGTGTGGAGGACTGTCACAGTGAAAAGCAAGACGAGCGGGAGATGCTGCTCTCACCGAGGGGTAAGTGTAGCCGTCCGGACTGTGATTCCTGCATATGTGCACCTCATCTTCTGTGGTCTTCTGATAGACTGGGTTTTCAAAGTGGATGCTGTTGGTATTCCTCATCCTCCAGTTCCTCCACACCAGTAAAGCGCCAAAGGACATCAGACACAGGACGGCTGCAAATGTGGGAGGGGCCACATCAAGGGTCAGCGAAACATCCTTGAATCACATGAGTCGTCATTATAAATAAGCTTAATTACGCTGACATGAAGATGCGCTGTACTGACCTATAGGTATCACGAAATACAAAGCAGTCGGGGTGGACTGTGGATGGTCCTGCCTGGCGACAAGCACAGACCCCGTGGTGGGTTCTGCTCTGGTCCCAGGGTCTGAGATTCCTGTTGAGAATGAAACCACAATGATACAACTAAGAGGTGTGTTCTTCAGTCGGACCTTTTTCGTCTCCCAGTAAGATGAAGTTATAAAATTCATAGCAGTTTCCTGTAGATACTTCTAAGAATGTACCTTATATAAGGGTTTTATGTAATATTGCTCCTACAGTCCAAAGCACTATATACCAAAGGCTACCCTCATTATTGGGGGCAAGAGGAACGGATCTATTAAGTGACTGATTGAAATCCGTCCTCGCATCATCCTGTATGACCTTGTATATTGTACCTATGTAGTGGCTACATAGGCATGACTGTATATATTTGCTTATGCAACTGAAAAGTTGTTTCCCCTGGGTCAATTGGCTAGATGACAACAAAATTCTCCCAACAAATTTATTCATATTTTTAAAGCAAAATCCTGGAAAGCAGTGGGTGGACAAACACCACTGTTTTGAGTATTGGATGGGCAGGGCAAAAAAAAATGGTTCAGAAAGATAACCAATGAGATTGTAGAGGAGGTAAGTCCAAGCAATTTCTGACTAAGACATCTGATTGGTTAGTCCTGCCTCCTCTAGTTGCTTGGATCCACCTCCTCTGCAATCTGATTTGTTATGTCTGTGAACCAATCATTTTTTTCGTTCTGCCCTCAGAACATTTTTGTTTAAATAAAATTCCTACAAGCATAATTGCAGAGCCTGGGACTCAAATGGGCTAGCAGGCTTTCAGCCACTGCTTGACCGGCTGCTTTGTTGCCTACCTGTCAAGCACTTCCTCATGTCTGGGCCCAGCGTCATGTGATCAGGGCAGGCACAGGTGTACTTGGGTGAGTGACTGTTAACCTGAGGAGCAGGCAGGCACAGGAACTCGCAGCCTCCGTTGGAAATATTACTTGCCTCACACCAGTTCTTGCCTAAGGGATAAAAATATGAGATCAGCCATTTTCCTCTCTCTGCTTAATTAATAATTAATACTCCTGACAGCTGGTGTAACATAGGTGACTTATTTTCCTTTTGTTAAAAAATGATTTCCTTTGCATACGAGGTACTGGTGTATGATTTCAGTACACTAAGACTCATCTAAGGTTCCATACCGATGGGCTGCTTGAGGTTGTGAAACAGCACAATGTCCTCGGGGGAGGCCAAGTCCTGTGCCAGAAGGGTGATGTCACTTCCTGTCTGGCGATTGGCGCTCAGGATGGCATTGTTGCCGACATCAGTCCAGAACACTTTCTCCTGCAGAACATAACAACCATGTCATACAACATACAATTAAAGAGTCCAAAGATAATGAAGTCATACTCAAAGAACTCAGAGAGATGTCTTGAGGTGTACAAACATTAAGTAGTTTTAGGTCTATTTGGACTGAATAATGCGCCTGAAGTCAAAAATCCCCCACCTGACCCTGTAAGGACTAGGGTTGGGTACCGAAAACCGGTATGTACCGGACCGAAACAAAACACGAATTTCGGTGCCACTTCGATGCCTGAACTGTCGATTGAAATATTTGTTCTCTGGGGCTATGATGACACAGTTGTAATAAGCATAAGATTAATCAACACACACGTGACATAACATATATTGTTCAATTTTAAGCATTCAATTTTTTGTTCAATAAAAATGTATTCTTGAGTCATCCACCATCATTTTGTGGCTTTTGTAAAGTATCGGTTCAGGCACCGTTTTGGCACCGGTACCGTTTTAAAAGTATCGATTTGGCACCGGTATCGAAAAAACCCCAAACGATACCCAACCCTAGTAAGGACACAGGTTTGTACTCTGTACAGATCCCTTATGGTGCACCCACCTCAAAAACAGCCAGAGAAAGTGGGTGGGCCAGTTTCTGTTCGTCGATGATGAGAGTCCGACGGCCCCCACCCTGGACATCGATGCTGGAGAGGGTGTGCAGCTTGGAGTCCACCCAGTAGAGCCTGTGGTTTAGCATGTCTGATGGGGGATAAAGAAGCAAGACAAACTGGTCAAACAAATCCAAGAGACTTAACCTGCAACTGTTTGACCGTCTGCTTAGGATGGGGATCTAGCTGACCACCCGTGACATGGTGCAGCTCTTACCAAGGGTGATGCCGTTGGGCCACACGATATTGTCCGTCACCAGAGCATGCCGGTCGGCACCATTCAACCCTCCTTTCTCGATCTTAGCTGGGTTTCCCCAGTCAGTCCAGTACATGAAACTGAGGGGGAAAGCAAGTCAAAACACTGAGTCAAAACCTCTGAATCAAAACACTGAGTCAAAACCACTGAATCAAAACCGAGTCAGAATCAGTGAGTCCTCGTCTTCCCCTTCTTAGCTCAACGGCTCCTACTCACAAAGGATTACAAACTAAAATCCAAATTAAAGGGCAAATGATAGTCATGGTCCTTTAATGGATTCCGGCCACCTCTTGTCTGCCACCTTCAAATCAGTGCTTACTTGTGACGAGGGTCGACCACAATGGCACGAGGCTTCATGAGACCCTCTTTGATCAGCGTCTTGCGCCGAGCCCCGTCGGACGTCGCCACGGTGATGGTGCCGTAAATGCTGTCGGTCCAGTACAGGTGTCCGTGAACCCAGTCGACAGCGAGGCCCTCCGCGGCCATGATTTGGTCCTGGATTATGGTGCTGTGGTGGGAGGCGTTGCCGGCCTTGTCCATGTGGGAGCTTTGGAAAGCCGGGAGCGCAGAGATTAGAGCGAGGACAGGGGACAGGTGGCATGACCGCCAGTTTTCCTTGGAAAGCAATCCTCTATGCAGTTCCAGCTGCTAGTTAATCATTAGCGATTTCTTTAGCCAAGCACCAAAAATTCGGCATTTCCTTAACGGATTTCCCATTATAATAAATTACGAATTATAATAGACGTCTGATGTATCAAAATGATGGAAAGAATCACATACAAATTAGGTAACATCAAACAAATCATAATAAATTGCAGTTGTCATGGAAACGAGGGGAATGGGCTGGGAGGCAGGGGAAAGGGTCTCACCTGTAGATCTTCTTCTGGGAGAGATCTGACCAATAGACCTTCTTGGTGGGGATGTCCATGTCCAGCGCCACCACGTTCTTCAGGCTGGGGATGACGCGCGTGTACTCGCTGCGGTCCAGCGTCATCTTCCTCACCTCATGCCGGTTGGTGAACAGCAGGTATGCCACGGTACCTGCGCGATCTTGGGGGGACACACACCGCTTGCTGATTGGACTAAACATACCCACATACCGCTAAGAATACAACCCAGGACTACGTTATAGTACCGGTACTAGTAGTTCTACAGTATAAAATCTTTCCACATACAGAAAGTCTTGGGATGCTTGCTTACATCAGTAAAAATATTGAAAATGTAATGGTTGTATAACAGAAATCATTACATTATTCATGTGTTTACAAAATGTTTATATATAACCTTAGAAACAACCAGTTGTTTTAAGTCAGTGGTGGCCAATCTTATCCGCAAAGGGCCGGTGTGTATGCAGGTTTTTGGGATAACCTTTAGGTCAGCTGTTCAAACCCAGGTGTGAGGACTCCTCAGCCAATCAGTCCTTTAATTAGTAATATAATTAGGGAGCTGCAGCAAAAACCCGCACACACACCGGCCCTTTCTGGATAAGATTGGCCACCCCTGTTTTAAGTAAAACATTCATTTCAAGTAGTAATAAACCGAAACCCAAATCATTGACAATAATCACTGGGTGCTTTTTAATTAGTAACACCTTTACAGTAACATAAAACACCAGACATTCATGCTCTGTATCACTTTCACAGCCAGGGTTGATAATTGCAATAACAAAATGGTAAGAACAGAATTGAATGAGTCAGTGAAATAAATTATGATGCTTAATAAAAAGAAAATGTCCATGCAGAAGATATGTGCGGGTATGTTAAATATTGCTTGTCAATGGACTTTTGTTACGAAACCTATAAATTCGCAACAACTTCAGATAGTTACGCAAGCGTGCCAAAGACTTTCTGTGAGCACTGAATTTGTGTAAAAGTTTGGGCGTGTGTTAGCAAATTAATAGAAAATTGTTAACGGAAACTTCAGGGAGTGGTTTTACTTATTAAGAGCAGTTTTGTTGCCAGTTACGGGTGTGTTTTGCTGTCCATGGGGGCTGACGGAGAGGGCTGACGGAGGGGGTGACGGAGGGGGGTGACGGAGGGGGCTGATGCTCACCCACAGCCTTGCAGGCCCTGCTCTTTAGCTCCAGCAGGTAGCCGTCCTCGCACTCGCACTTGTAACCACCCGCCGTGTTGACGCAGATCTGGCTGCAGGTGTCGGGGTTGGCACACTCGTCGATGTCTGTGGGGGTCAAAGGAGGGGGGGACCACAGTGAGCTGCCAGATATACTGCTGAGTCACAGGAGAGACGCATCCTGGGGGCGTTATGGGACACAGTCCGGCGAACGGAGCCTAACCCCACTACGGCAAACAAGTGTGCGGACAGAGCACTTTGCAGTCCAAAGTCTGGTGGGATTCTTCTCTCAGATATTTAATTTAATTCTAGAGCTGACCAGTTGTTGTGGCTGAAGTAGAGAACTGCTCTGACAGCACAAAGATCTGGGTCTGAATCCCAGAAAGCACAGAAATTGTAGCCTTTCCCTCTGCTTTAAGTTCCTTTGGATAAAAGTGTCAAATAAATAATTTATTTCTACTGCCTTCTATAACGAACTATCAGATTAACACCTCAGATAACCAAACTCCACCAAATCGCAAGTCAGCTCAACTCCTTTACCTTCACAGCGATTCTGTTCCTTCAGGGAGAACCCAGATGGGCAAAGGCACTCGAAACCGATCTTCAGGTCGTTACAGGTGTGAGAGCAGCCTCCATTGTTGGTCAGGCACTCATTGGTGTCTGTAGGGGAGGGAGTAAGCTAGTTACGGGGGTGGTCAGTCTGTGTTTTTGGGTGGAGAGGCCCGCTTCCTCAGCCTCGCCTTACTTACTGCAGTCCTGGAAGGGCTCGTCAGAGAAATCCCTGCAGTCGGGCTTGTTGTCACATAGCTTGTCCATGCTGATGCACTCGCCGCTGCGGCACCGGAAGTGGGTGGGGCCCTCGCACTTGGTCACTGCAGCGGGACATCGGCGGCACATTAGGGGGGGGGGAGTGGGCAGAGACGGGCCAGGAGGATGACGGGCGCAGGACATGAGGGTGGCACTCACCGTTGACACAACTCTGCTCATCGCTCATGTCTTTGCAGTCGTAGTGGCGATCGCACTGCCGGTTACCATGGATACAGGATCCGTCGCCGCACTGGAACTCGTCGGGGCGGCATGTGGATTGGACTGCGGGCGGGACAGCGAGTCGGACATGCAGCTTACAGACATGCTGTTTCTCGACATGTCTATGGAAATGTTGTTTACGGACATGCTGTTTACAGTAAAGTTATTTACCAATATGCTGTTTACGGGAATATTGTTTACAGATATGATTTTTACAAACATGCTAGCCTATCAAACAACAATAAACTGCATATCAAATGTAATGCAAAAGAGTACGGAGAAAGGTGGCCTGCCTTTCACTCAACTCTTAATTGCATGTCTTGATTGCTTTATTAACTATTTACCGTAATAAAAATCAGGCACTAATTGAAAGGCGTAATAATATCTGCAGGCTGCACTTCCTGAGGGATAAAAGGGGGTTTTCAGTTGGCCCTTTCAGCTTCCTGGCGCTGCAGCGGGAACAGAAGGGCGGACTTACCGCATCCTTTCTCGTCGGAGCCATCCTGGCAGTCGGGGCTGCCATCGCATCTCCACATGCTGTGGATGCAGTCCCCGCTGTCGCAGCGGAAGTCGTCAGGCCGGCAGGAGGCAGCCTCCTTCCCCGGCTGGCTCCCGGCGCAGGTCTGCGGCCACTCGTCGGAGCCGTCGGCGCAGTCGGCGTCGCCGTCGCAGGCCCACAGCTGCGGCACGCACACGGAGTTGTTGCACTGGAAGGCGTTGCTGCTGCACGTGGCGGGACGGCAGGAGGCCTCGTCGCTGCCGTCGGCGCAGTCCTGGTCCTCATCGCACACGAACACCAGCGACACACACTGGCCGTCGCCGCAGCGGAACTCGTCCTGCGTGCAGTTGACGGGCGCTGGAGAGAGGCAGCCATTGGCGGGGTCAGTTGGGGGAGGGGCTTCTGGCTTTTTTCGTTTGTTTTTTTTCTTTACAAACTCAGGGCCGGTTTAAATGGAGAGGAGCGTACTAGTGGGAACAGGGGGAGGAACAGGAAGCCGGCTCACCGCAGTTTTCTTCATCTGCACCATTCTCGCAGTCAGATATGCTGTTACAGCGCCAGGTAAGGGGAATGCACTGGTTCAGTCTCCCCCCACAGCTGAACTCTGAGGGGGAGCAGGTCTTGACCACTGTAATATTGGTAAAGGCAGAAGGACACCATCAGCCACAAGTTAAAATGTGAGACATATGCAGTGGAATATTATCGCTGAACAATCTCACAACAGCGTTACCGTTTCAGGAAGTAAAATCACCATAAAGCAAACACTGATAGGCAGTAATGCTCAGCACTGCAGCTTATGCAGGTGGACATTCACAGTGAACAGGAAGTGCATGTGATTCATTGTGGGGGGGCTTTCACTCACAGCAGTTGGCCGGCAGCTCGTCCGTGCCGTCCCCGCAGTCGTCCATGTCGTCGCAGACCCACTTTGTCGTGATGCACTTCCCATTATCGCACTGGAACTGCCTCACCCCGCATGTCGCCGCCCCTGTGGACAGAGGGCAAAACACATGCCTTAGCCACGCCTCCCCTGTGATATGTCACTAATGACACTAATCAATGTCACTAATTCCATTGTACAGATATGAGAAATCCGCCAAGTGTGTTCATACCACCTGAAATATGATTAACCCCTGAATACTGAATAAAACAATAGCTGATCTACAGCCATAATCACACCCAAATGCACCCATCAGGTGGAAGAATACATAAAGCCATAAACTAACAGCTCTTTTTCATTTAGAAATGCAATGTGGCCATAGATAAAGAAGAGGAAACAGCAGTGAGTCACTGATTAACGAGGCACTGAAGCACTGGCAATAAACTGCATATGCAAAGGAGGTAGTCGGAGTTCACATCCTCATTCAGTAAAGCCGGAGCTCACATCCTCTCACATCCCTGCTGGTCACATCACACCACCCCGCGCAGAAAAAGTTAAAAAAAAAATACCACATTTTTTTCCAAGGACAGAATTATCATAAGTAAAGAAAAAACAAGTTTTTACCTGTGATCAGGGGACAAATTAGGGTTAGGTGGCACACTTACGAAATGCGGAATCTTTGAGCCTTGGTACGGTGCATTTGTGGAAGGGAATGAAGTTACTTTTACAACCCTCTCTTTCACATCTGCCCCAAAAGCACTTACAGATGTACACAGTGAACAAAACCTGGCAGACACTGCACTCACTGAGATGACCTCATCGTCCATTCATATGCGTCTTTAAGTCCTGAAACCGGCCGGCAGGAGAAGCGAGAAAGGCTGGAGTGAAGCTATTTCATTTTCATCTGACTATTTGCAACACTGCTTCATCAGAAAGCCATGCCGACAGAAGTCGAAAAGTCCCAGACTAATTAAACCACAACAGTCAATTCAACAGAGACACGGCTAATGAGCTTTCTGTGTTCATTAAGTAACCAGCCAATGCTTTAATTTCTGTAATAGACCAGATGCGATGAAACACATTAAGAAAGACACCGCAGTCATGTTCAGCCCCAAGGCGAACAGAGCACTGCAAGTACACCAGAATCACACCTTGTTTAATACAAGTTTAATCGCAAGTATTTAACGTGATTCTCCTAAAAAGGACCTAATAAGTGTTATCCTATATACAAGCGGAGGGAAGACGCAAGATGGGGAATAGCATTTTGAGGTTTGTCTGACTCACTGCTCAGCAGAAGCTATTTACAGTGTAACAGAGAAATCCGAGCCGTTGCCTCACGCCCTTCTTAAGAGACAAACTCCAACGTTGGCCATCAGATGCTCAGGAGTCATTCACACTAGTATTGAGAAAATGCCTTTGGGCCCATGATGCAATCCTCTAACCGCTTATCCATCAGTGAACTATGAGCCAATTCCAACCCAGGGGGGGTAACAAGCTGGTACTGTTGCATGTTCTCCAGCGGGTGTGACTCTCAATTGCCAGCTCAGCCCTCTCTCGACTGAGGCGGACTTCCACACCTTTCTGCGACTGGTGCCCCGGCACCCCTTCTGGATCATGGACTATCTGACCAACAGGTGACAATCTGTGAGTGTCCAGCACTGGGCCTGAGAAGGTGGTGATCAGCACTGTAGCGCCTCTGGAAACCGATCCCCCTTCCAGTTCACCCTCTACATGATAGACTTGCAGCACAACACCCTGTTACCTAGAGAAGTTCTCAGATCGCTCCATCATAGGGTGGATCAATAATGATCAGAGTAGTGCAGTGCACCTGTAACTCAGCAGCAGTAAGACAGGTCCAATTTAAACAACAGCCTGGACTGGTCAGATAACACAGGGATCCGGTCTTCTGGGGTGTGCAAAAAGCTGCTCGTAATATTTTTACCAGCGAATAATGGCCACTGTTGGGTCATGAATTATTCTGCTGGTCCCCTAAGAGGCGCTACTACGGATCACAAGACCACCCAATCACGTGCCAGGACAGCACTTAAAGATGGGAAATATCACCCATTAAACCCTATATGAATGCATCTCGCCACCAAATGTACATTACAGGTATTTCTATACAACCAAATACATCATTGCAGTATGTATACTGCCTTCACACTTTGCCTTGTGTCTGTATGCAGACATTATCTCTCTTTGCTTCTGTATGCAGTTGAATTTCCCCTTGGGACCAATAAAGCACATCTGCTTTTCAGAATAGCAGAAGCTCAGTTCATAGCAAGTTTACTTTCCTGACCACAGTTAATTGCGATATTTAGCATTTCCATTTAAAAGGCAGAACGCTAAGCTAAGTACACGCATTAATAATAAAAAAAATTCAACCACCAAAATCATGAATATCGCGAATATCAACCACCTGTTCAGATACGTGTAAGACAGGGAGATTCCTGTTTCCGGAACTATGCACCACATTACCGAGAGCAGGGCGTGCCCCGCGCAGGCTGACAGCCAGCCACCGGCCCCGCCTGCGTCACGAACGCTCCTCTCTGTGATTGGCTGTCCCGCCTCACGTTACTCCCAGGAAAACCCGTAATCATTCAGACAAGAAGAACCGTACAGCCCTTGAAATGCATACCGGTGATTTTAAGAATGTTTATGCAACCTACATTCCTTCTTATAATTATACTACAACTGATACATCTTTAAATAAATTACTGTTTAACGCCTGAGGGAAAATACAATTGACCATTTATTTAAATACCTATCCACACATAGTTTTGCCTTGGTCAGCTCAGTTGATTTGTACAGAAAGACACTTATATAAATTTAACATATCTTAAATACAACCCACTACATCGGCAATGTACTAACATGTGAAGCACGTTATTGACGCGTTTTAAATTAAAAATTAAAATTAAATTATATTAAAACATATACCTAATTTGTATTGTATTGAAAAACCTATTGGTCAAAATAATATATTGCATATGACAAACGCTGAACGTTATAATGTGACAGTAAAACAAAACTTTTTAAGTTACAAAGTACAGCCGCTTATGCTAAAGCCAGCACTAAGCCACTACATATTATGCGGTCCGTTATTTTATCTCTTTAACTCAGTTATAGAAATAAATCCATGCTTAACTGGCAAATCAATTATTTTAAAAGTAAAAAAAAAATAATCAACTCACCTGCATGACAGACATAGCAAACCAGGATGATCAATAAAAATACCAGGTCATTTTTTCCAAGACGTGTAGTTAGCATCATCTCTGCTGTAGATTTCACTTTTCAAGTCAATAGCAGCTTTTACAGCCCCGTAGGGAGGATAAACTTGCTATATGACGCAAAGGCACTGAAAACGGGTGAGTCCCTGTACCGTGGACGAGGATGCTAACTGTAATAGAGAAGTAAGGCGGAATATGACAATTTGAGCGTGGCCGGGGAGGGAGGCGTGTCTAGCGAGTGGTGTGATATTTTAAATGCGCTGCCACAGCCTTTCTGCGACCTTCTCTGGTACTACTCTCAGCCGAGGGCGTGGTTTGCCGAGCGCACGATATTACACATGCATTTCAATGCCGAAACTCCGCCTAGCTTTCCATTCCAGTAAGGAACACAATGATAACCGAAGGATTTGTATGATTCATGATGGGGGTAGAGTGCAGCATCATGCAAAAAATGCGAATTTACAAAATACGTTTTGGGAAAGACATTTTTGGTGAAGTCATGTATTTCACAAATATGCTTTGATAAAACGCTTCTATATCCGCGGAAGATTTCTAGATGTTTCCTTCGCGTTAAGGGGGGTTTGCATCCTCTCCCGTGTGAGTAGCTGGGGTCCCTACTTATGACGCGGATTCCTGTAACAGGGTGTGTGTGTGTGTGTGTGTGTGTGTGTGTGTATATATATATATATATATATATATATATAGCAAGCTTGCAGTAAATAGCGCGTAAGTGCGTTAGAGTTACTGACAGCCTTACGTAACTAAATCGACACCTTACATGCAGTCAGAACTAGATGAAAATCGGGATTCAAATCCTTGTTTTTCATTTCCATGGGAACAAACTCTACTCTTAGACTTGCATGCGTCAAAGAATGTTACACGTTAAAGGGTACGTGTATATGTAATTTTGCAGTTTGGTTATGTAATACCGTAGGGCCTGCATAAAACGCATGTACTAAGTTGTAAAGTCCAATGACACATTACTTTTGCAAGAAAGCTGACATGTTAGGCCTGTCGTACAAAACTGAATTAAAATCTTTCCTGCATGTAAAACAATACATCAATCTATCCTTCCCTGCTTCTAATCTTCTCCTAATCACTTTTATTGATCAGGGGCAAAATTATAAACTCAAGGTCTTATAAAATTATTGCCTTCAAATATCCATAGAGGCTAATGTAGACAGATGTCTTCCGCCAGAGGGGAAAAACATACAGAACGAAGATCAGAACACTAGCCTTGAACCAGGATGCCAGTACAAGCGTCACCGTGATATCAAATCTTTAAACAAGGCCATAGATATTTCTTAAACTGGTTACCTGGAGTCTGTGTCTGTGCAGATACTCTCACGCAGCAGGAAGTGTTAGTGCAAAAGTACAGGAGAGATACACATTTAATCAAACGAGATGTGAAAATCCATTCAAAGACGTGGTTTAAATTTTTCACGAGACACTGCTTATTGCTGATGGATAATGGGCATGAATAATGTATTGCGAGCCAGTGTGTGTTTTCCCGACTTGAGAACCACCTCTCAGCCATTTGGACTCATTCAAAAATCATTACTCTACCTGCTCACACATTATTTTTGCTCTGATGTTTACCATCATCCTGTCCAGGGGGTACCCCAATCTTGTGCCCTGCGTTGCCTGGGGAAGTCTATAGACCCCCCCCCCCAAACCCAGACCAAGAGAAGCGGTTAAAAGATGGATGGATGGATGGAATGTTGACCTTTGTCGAAAAGATTGATGTGTCATGCAGAGCCAGTAACGTTGCCCTCCAGCATGTACCATCAGAGACAAAATGAAATTGGGTGATGAAATCTGTCTAGAGTCCCACATGAGCTTTGACCAGCACTGGTCTCCCGACACGTCCAATCAGATGCCCCAAAGGCAGGACAGGTGACCCTGTGACACATACACTGAATAATCTGAAGCTGACACACATGACATCACAGGTCAGGACATCTCATCCACATCTTGTATGAGACAAAATCTTATACTGCAGTCAATCAGCAGTAAAAGATAAAATCTCTTGAAAGGGGTTTTTTGCACTTGTAACTATGTGCAATATTTTTAGTTGAAACAAATCCAGATCTCTGGGCATCTAAATCATGTAGAAATGGCTGTTAGACTGCATTCTTCACATTCTTGTGTTTCAAGCACTCAAACAGACTTTCAGAAGAAGGGTGTATGAATGGGCGGCTCCTCGATACTCCATTGAAGCTGTCTGTATGGCAACATGCGCCGTAGACTCTCGCTCCACAGCATTGGATCCCGCTCAGCACACAGAGCCGGCCCCTCCTCTGAGCTCAACGAAAAAAAAAAAAAAAACTTGTATATCTTGTTTCCCTAGTTTCTGTATCGCAAAACACTGTCTTCTGAAACGCTACAATTAATTAAAAATTACACATATATCTTCTAACCACCCAGCAAGACATCAATCACTTTTGGAGAAAAGAAGTAATTCGTGTTAGTTTTTATTGTGTTACTGTTTGCTGATGTTCTAATATTAAATCAAAGCCTTAAAAATTCTGACTTCCACCTTTGACTGCCTAAATCTTTTGAACCGTACTGTACGTATGTAGTGGATGTACTATTAGGGTTCTAACAGACTTCACACAGGTTAAAGTACACTAGCAGCATAGGTCCCACACATGCATTAGCAATTTAAGGAAAGACATGATCTATCTAAACAGCAACACAAGAGACAGAGGAGGGGGGGGGGGCATTGTTCTTAAACTTGGTTTCGATGCATCTTCAGAATCAGGTTGTGGAGGCAGGAAAATAGGCATAGCACCTGTATCAAGTAATTAACACACGTAACAATAACACCCATACCGAGCAAGGACCACTATGCAATTAGCGCTGACCGAGGAACCGGAACTTTCTGCATAACCGCACTCGCGGCCGTTGTGCTAACGATTTACGATTCGGCATTAGCATCGTGTCCTTCTACAGCACTGAGCTAATGTTGCATGAAGACTATGTTTAACCATACTGGAGTTATCCAAACGTTCATGACACCTCGTATTAGACGCCCGATTTCCCATCTGAAAGGCAGAGCAGCACAGCAAAACAAATGCAGCTTTCAGATTCTCCTGGGAAATTAGCAACAGATTTGTGACAAACAAGCAGGCTTGGAGGTCGAGAAACATAGAACATTCCTTGGTTACGCTGCTCCTTTTAGGAGTGGGGTGGGGTAAAACGGGTCACATTAGTAACTGAACTTGTTAAACGTTACTTTAGTAATTTTAAGTAATTGTATGAATACGAGGGACAATTAAAAAACCTTAACAAAACTGAAGCTTTAAAATTAATCTCTGCACCCTCTGAGGAGGACCTGGATGAATGCAGAACATTCTCTACAAACCTGGGAGTTGTAAAATGTCAAATGAGATCAAAGTAGCTAATCTGCATCCCAAAGTCAGTAGTAACACGACCGTCCTTAACTTAGACAAGGTCTCCCTCTAGTGAACAGGAACATGTTACACCAACAGGAAACATGATGTATTCACGAATAAAGCTCAACTTTACAAAAAATTACGAAGAAGGGCAGGGAATTAAAGCCGTGACCTGAAGAAGGAAGGAAGAAAGGGAGGTCAGGAGAAGAGGAGACAGCCCCGACAGCCCAAAAGCTGCTCATTCCAAACACCCTAATCAAAGGGACACAATGACTTTGTGAGATGTCTTTATTGTGGTTTTGAAATCCAGTGATACTGACACAAAAATAAGTTCTAGCCCAGCCTCCCCTGCTCCAGTCCAGGCGTGAATGAGATGTACGGTGACCACATCTGTTTATGCTTTTTAAATTTTATTTTTAAATTAAACCGTGAGAGAGGGTGGATGGGACGTCTGAGAGCACTTCTACAGACACACATGCATTCATGTCTTTGGGACAGCAAATCCACATATCTGCCACCGAAGGGGAAATTCAACAAAACAGATTCACAAAAAAAAAAAAAGGTCAAGTAAACTCCCTGTGGTCCACAATCCATCCGCAAAAGCCCTTTCAAACTTCACAGCGCTGGGGGGGTGGGGGGTGGAGGGACGTTAACAGTCCTACAGTCTATACCAAGATCGCTGTTTAAATATGGAAGTAGGATTTTTTTTTGTAAGTTTTTAAAGTTTTATTTCATCATTTAATAACATTTCACACTAAAAATCAGCTTGTCTAGGCACAACTACCCGCTCCCCTGCCCGCAAAAGTACCCCGTTGTGATTCTGCTAAATAAAATATATGCTCCGGCCGCTGGGACCCCATGGGGGAAATTGGTCCATTCCGGTGTGGCTCAGTCCTCTTCACTGCCGCTGGCTCCTGAACGCTCCTGAAAGACGAGATGGGGGGGGGGGTATGGGGGAAGACCACCCAAGCAAAGAGGCGGGGCAAGTCAGTCACCTCACAATGAACAATGAACGATGCAGTTCTCATGCACAGGCATAACTAGTCAGACTACATTATCATTCATGCCGAGAGACACAACAAAGGCTGTCAGTTTTGATCATGACATCGGTAGATAATGGCTAATGGATTCAGTCCTGCGCATCAGTAAATACCGGACTTATTTAACCATTTGATATCGGTGTATCGTGTACCATAATGTAAAATAATTAGCTTCTTATACCCCTACATATGCAGGAATCCATCTAATCACTTAGCCATTAATTTTATTTGTATTTTTTTTTTTTTTTTTTTTTAAAGTTCTTCAGACACATGTTTGCAGGGTAGATCTGTTTGGAAGTCAGGAGTATCAGAAAGAAAACGTTCATCCTGAACCACGCCGGAGCTTCTGAAACACATCACTCATAAAGCAAACCACCCTGGCAAAAGCAGATTCACTTCCGACCAATCAGGACGCCGCACACCTCACTCACTCGCCAATCACAACCAGACTGCATTGCAAAACATCCAGTCAAGTGCTGAGGCTGTACTGAGAGGCGGGCATAAAAGCCCTGCTAATAGCACCAAGCTCACTAAAGCCTAGTGCTAGGATAATCGGTCATGGTTATCTGTCAGGGATGACGAGCCTGGCGACACACCGGTCTAGAGCGAACGGCCCAGCTGGGTGGGTACCCACCTCCTCCTGCTCCTCTTCGCTGTCGTCGTCGCTCACCACGGGCTTGGCTCGGGGGCCCCGGCCCAGCCGCCTCCGGCCTTTGCCTCGCTCCAGCCCCTTCTCCTTGCGGCCCAGCTTGATCTTCACCTTCACCGAGCGAGCTGGAGGTCCAGAAACGCAGCGAAATGCAGAAACGTAAGACGGGCCTTGGCCTACAGCTAGAGCCAGGATCTCGGGTCGGGCACTAAAGACGGTGGGCACCGAGGAGGCCATGAAGGACACTCACACTCCGACTCGGACCCTTCGTCCACCTCCTCCTCCTCTTCCTCACTGTCGTCTCCCTCGCTGTCCTCTTCTTTCTCGATCTTCTGCCGCACGCTGGTGAAGACCGACTGCAGCACGATGGAATCCTCATAGATCTGAGGAGCGTAAGGAGCAGGAGAGAATGGTGACGTTAAATCCACGTGGAACACTGGACTGGGGGAAGGGGGTGAGATCAGAAAGGGCTGAGGTCACTTCAGACACCCACCAGCGAGCCCTCCAGGTTGAAGGTCTGTGCGTTCTGACACAGCAGCATCACGTCCTTCTCTAGGTCGTTAAGGCTGCGGTACTTGTGGCTCCGGATCCTCTCCTGGGGGAACAGAACAGTGTGAGGAGCAGATCAAGGGCCAACAGAGGCACCACAAAGGGAGGAGGAAACCCACCAACTGAAGAGGGGGTTCTTACAAACAAAACTTACCGACCCAATTTCAGTCCACAAAAAAAAGCATAAAGACCCAGAACATCCATCTTCTCCAAGCATATCTAACCAGGCCCATTTAGAGCAAGATGAAACTCTTTTGCAATCAGACATCGATACATTGGATCAGTTCTTCCCAATCCGGTCCTTGGGGACCCACAGTCACTACTGGGAGAGTGCAAAAATGTGGACCGGCTATGGGTCCCCGAGGACCGGATTGAGAATCACTGCTCTGGATAATGAAATGACAGGAGCTGAGAGATGCCCCGCCCACCTTGATCTTGCGGAAGTCGACAGGCTTGCGGATGAGCTCGTAGTATTCAGGCAGCTCCTTGCGGGAAGGCAGCTGGATGAAGACCTCGCTCAGCTGCCGGCCATTGCTGTCGGGAAAGGGAGGGGGGGGCAGGAGGGGGGTCCCAGTTACACAGAGCAGTGGCCATTAGGAGCAAAACTTGTTCATTGTACATTACATGAAACGATAGCATATTTCATAATAAGCTTGGGAAGGTCACTGAAATGTCACACCTGTCCTTGTACTTGATAACTGCATCCACTATCTTCCTCATCTTTTTGGTCAGCGAGGGGGGGTTGGGTGACAGCTTCTCGGCAGGGGGGCGCCCACGCTTCTTCTGCTTCTTGATGTCGTCGTCCTTGTCGCGGCTGCGTGCGCCACTGGCACTGGGTGTGGCCGGGCCCGGCAGGTCCATGTCCCGTTCCCTCTTACGCTTGCGGGTGGTCTTCTTGTGCCGGACCTCTTCCTCAATCTCCTCCAGTGTGCCCTCCTCGATGGCCTGTGCAGACAAGAAACAGGTCTGCTACTCACGGGCAAAGTAATGTACATTAAAAAAAAAAAACAAAAAGACAATGCCCCGAGGTGAGCCCCGAACCAGGACCCCTGACCCCTGACCTTGAGCCACTGCTTCTCAGTGAGAGAGTCGCTGTAGTCCACCTCCTTGCGCTGGCGGGAGCCGCGGCCGAACATCTTCTCCTCCTCCTCCTCACAGGTGAGCCGCTCCACCTCGGCATCGTCCTTCATGATCCAGGTGGGCAGCTCGTCCTCCTCCATGAGGCGCGGCTTACGCTTGGGGTTGCGCGCCTCCTCCCGGCGGCGGTCCAGGTCCATGCGCTGCGCGGGCGGGATGGCACAGCGTCAGCGGCTGAAGTTCCATGCGGGACAGAACCGGCCGGCGCCGGAGATCGGCGGTCAGCCTCACCATGAAGTGGTCGAACTCTTCCTCGCTCCTGGCGATCATCTGGTTAACAGTCTCATCGTCTGGCACCTCGTCCTCCTCCTACGCACAGGTCAGGGGTCAGGTGAGTGCCGCGCCCCTCCAATAAGCACCAGGTTAACAGAACCACTAGCTGACCAACAGAATTTGTTAGGCAGTCATTTTAAAAGACCCAGAGCACCAAAAAGCCAAAGAGATCAATGTGGGATACCAGGGCATTCCATCTTCATAAAGGTCCCGTTTGGAGGCCCATGCACCTACACCCCAGATTTCCCTACCAACGTCAAGCCCCCCCCCCCCCCCCCCCTGAGAGCCCCCACCTCGTCTTGCTCCTCGTGCTCCAGGATGGCCTGCAGGAAGGCGCGTCGCTCGTGGCTGGACGACTTCTGGTCGAACATGCCGGCCTGGATGACCTTCTGGTCCACGTTGAGCTTGTACTTGGCGGCTGCCAGGATCTTCTCCTCCACGCTGTTGACGGTGCAGAGGCGGAGGACGCGCACCTCGTTCTGCTGCCCGATGCGGTGGGCGCGGTCCTGGGCCTGCAGGTCCTGTGGGGAGAAGGCGAGGGAGACGCGTCTCTTACGGAGTGCTGCACAAAATACACCGTCGCACCAAAAGAGTGAGGTGAACGCTCTCTGGGTGAGCGCATTCAGAAACAGCCGGAGATCTGGGAGACTCAAGCAGACCCTCCCACTGTTCTGATCAGCATGAAATGACAGCCGGCAGTGAGAGATGGGTGGGCCGGCTACCTGGTGGGGGTTCCAGTCGCTGTCGAAGATGACCACGGTGTCGGCCGACTGCAGGTTCAGGCCCAGGCCACCGGCCCTGGTGCTCAGCAGGAACACAAAGTACTGGGAGGAGGGATCATTGAAGGTTTTCAGTAGCATGCCACGATCCTCCGCCTTGGTGGTTCCTGGGGAGGGAGGGGGGACAGTTGTGGGAACATGGTCTAAAGTGAGAGGAAGGACCATCTTCAATCAAACCATCTCCATGATCTCGAAACCCAAGACTTCAGCTTCTGGTCTGACTGGATCATTCCGACACAGCCCGGCCCAGCCATCAGCTCACCGTCAAGACGCAGGTACTTGAAGTTGCGGTAGGCGAAGTAGTCTTCCATGATGGTCATGAGAGAGGTCATCTGACAGAAGAGCAGCACTTTGTGGTTCGTGGCCCGGAGCTTGGGCAGGATGCGGTCCAGCAGCTCGAACTTCCCAGAGGCGCGGTACAAGTCCGGCCTGGGGGGTGGGGCATAGGGGTCAGAGTTCAGTGGTAAGGCCCAGAACAGAAGGTTCATGCCAGACTTGAAATAGGACACTTACCCTTGTACTATCCCTCCGCTGAATCCTAAGTGCTCAGAGAACGACTCCTGAGAAAGGAATACCACAGCATTCAGCTCCAGCGTACACATTACAGGCCATGAAACAGGAGGCAAACAGGAGCAACAAACCCTACAGGCAGACCAAGGCCTAGCTTAGCTTAGCATACACGCTAGGTGCGCCTACCTCAATGTGCTGGAACATGTACGGGTGGTTGCAGATCTTCCGCAGCTGCATGATGGTGTTCATCAGGGTCTTGGTGCCACCTTTGCCCTGGAGGTAGTGAGACAGGGACATGCAGATGTCTGAGGACTCTCTGCTGTGGCCTGTGGCCCTAACGCCGGCAAGGACACCCAACATACCTTCTTGTCCTTCTCCGATCCGTCGGTGAGCAGGACCCCCTTGGCCTGCATGTGCCGGTAGAGTACCCTCTGCAGTGCTGACATGTCACACTTGATCACATACTCCACCTGAGGGCCAACAGGAAGGGACACCAGTGGTCAAGCCCAGCATGCTCGTCTGTGCCGTCGCTAAAACCCGTTCATTCTCCTAGCAACCTAACCTCAGCTTCAGTATCCACACAATGGTGTCACTGCCAAAGGTGTCGAGTCTCACGGTTTGTCGGTGACTCGTGTCGTTTTTAGCCCATGCTGTCATCTCAAGCTATCAGACGTGTATTTCATGTGTTGTCATGGGCCCGAACAGAGAAAATGACAACATGCCACAGAGTAGATATGAAGGGAGAATTAATCTGATCACCACCCTTTATTGTCGCCAACCTTTTTGATGACTAATTTTTATCACTAAGATTTCACTGCAGGTCGGCTGACATGAATGAGTGTGCACCTCTCAGGTTTCAGGGATTTTCGTGTACTGATATGTGCACATGCGTGTGTGCGTGTGCACAAAGTATCTCAGCACCTTCTCAGGCAGTTGTGCCTCCACCTCCTTCTTGAGCCGGCGGAGCAGGAACGGTCTGAGGACCTTGTGGAGACGCCGGATGATCAGGATGGTCTCCTCCTCGTTCAGGTCCACCTGTGCGGAAGCGGACCCACAGTTCACAGACTCATCCGCACCCCACACGCCTTGAGCGCCCCCCTACCCGTCCTCAGATGTGCCCCTCACCTTCTCCCCGGTCATGGCGAACGGCGCGTTGAACCACTGCTCGAAGGTGCTGCAGCTCTTGAAAATGGTGGGCAGCAGGAAGTTGAGCAGGGCCCAGAGCTCAGGCAGTTTGTTCTGCAGAGGCGTGCCCGTCAGCAGGACGCGCCGTGGAGCCAGGTAGTGTGTATTTAACACCTGTGTCAGTTTGCAGTGGTGGTTCTTCATACGGTGGCCTTCATCCACAATCATGTACTTCCAGCGGATCTGAGGGTGACATCAGGAGACTGTTAACTGCATTACAACATACAATAAAAGTAGCAGCACCCATTAACAGCTAGTTACCCGTTAAGATAAGATAGCTATCTACTTCAGACAGTCACACCTGATGGTTGCCGTCATACCTTAGCCAGCACCTGCTTGTCCTTGATGATGTACTCATAGGTGGTGAGAAGCACATTGAACTTGCCACTTCGCAGTTGGGGTACAAAGGCTCGCCTCGCGGCTGGGGAGCCCTAGACAGGGGGGACGGATGCAGCCCTGAGATCTCACAGCCCTTCTTTGCTGAACGGACCCACCTGCTGCTGCTCAGATGTCACCAGTCCACATCTACAGGCTTCTAAGGAGCCTCACACGTACCTTGTAAGATACTTTCACCACAGAGGGTGCCCACTTGTCAAACTCATACACCCAGTTGGAAAGGGTCCTGTAAAAGGAACAAGAAGCCCATTCAGGGTTAATCACCACCCATATCAAAATGCTTCTGTGGACCAAAAAGAGACAGAGGAATGTATGTCTCCGGTGACAGACAAACACAGCAGAGAAGGTTCCGGTACTGGGTCACTCACGAGAGCGGCACGATGATGAGGAAGGGACCGTTGATGCGCTTGTATTCCATGAGGTAGGTGATGAGTGCAATGGTCTGGATGGTCTTTCCTAGGCCCATCTCGTCCGCCAGGATGCCATTCAGGTTGTTGTTGTACAGGGACACCAGCCACTCCAAGCCCTTGATCTGAGAGATGTCGAAAGGAACGACTCCTGAGGCTCAGGCGGAACAGGCCAGCAGCATCATTCTACACGTCCTCCGGCATCACAATCATGGCTGGTGTTCTCAAAGGAACTGGACGCCAGATATTACAGGACTGAAGACCCTTACAGAAACTGTGGGACATAGTTTAGTTTCTACAGCAATTATCCACTTAAAAACCCTACAAGTCAGACTAAAAACAGCCCCTACATTGGCCTGAATGAGATAAAGGAGAGTATGAACAGGGCAGGCCAACCTAAATGTGTAGGTGTGCAGAAGCTCCTACCTGGTACTGCTTCAGCTGCCCGTTCACAAGGAGGGAGGATTGACGGTCCACCCTCTCCGTGACGGCGTGGGCTACCGCGTAGTAGGACTGCAGGCCGCGGGCGAAGGCCGCGCCACTGTACTCGTCGTCGACGTCCTGCTTGGCGTGCCTATCGCAGAAGAGTGTGGAGGGGCGGTGCTTCGGTTCAGACAGCCATCTACAGCCCACTAAAGTCCGTCAAGGCATATTCACACGCTGAATACAGCAACACGGCGTTTATGCTGAGGAACTCTATAACAATAGTCTGCCCCATCCTGCAAGAGGCACCCTTACTCGATGATGTGGCGAACATCAACTTCTGATACGTCTTCACTATCTGGATCTGGAATCTTCTTCTTCTCCTCCACAGGGGCTTGTGATGGATGAGGTTGATCCTCGTCATATTCCTATAGGTAGGGAAATGATAGCTGTCAAACAATCAGCAAAGGGAGGCAATCACAGCCATTTAAAAATCATCAACCAATAAAAACCAAGGACAAGGAGCAACAACCAATGAATACACAGAAGGCCTAGTGATCATTGTTGCTGTATGTACAGAAGACATCCTCATTCTAGGGGGGACCAAGAATGAACAGGATCTTAAACAGGACATCACACTAATCTAGAAATTAAATTATTATGCCTTAGTCATCCCCGTGGGGAAGTTTTCATCTTGCTCTCCGTAGATGAGAGCAAGCTCACTGAAGGGCAGCCATCCATAGCAGCACCCAGGGAGCTGCTGGTTAAAGGCCTTGGTCAAGGACCTACAGATGTGCCAAGGCTGGGCTTGAACCAGCAACCTTCCGGTCACAGACCCAGAGGCTTAGCTGTCTGAGCCACACGCTGCCCAATCTTGGGGTTTGATGTATAGCTCAAGGCTAGCAGACTGTTTCTCAGTTTAAGGAGGGAAAATACTACGAACCAAAATGCAAGAGCATGATCGTGGCGAGACAATCATGCAGCAATTTAATGTCTATCAGAAATCTGCTGAAAGACAATGCAGGGGCCGAGAACCCGAGCAGAACGACACGGCACCTCGTCATCGTCTGAGCCGCTGTCCTCACTGTCGGACCGGGGGGCCACTTCGTACCTATAGGAGGACGGCAGAATTTAGATGCAAATCCAACAAAAAGTGAATACAAGTAAAATGAAAATGCTCCACAGCAGCGGCTGGCAGGAACAGAAGCTGGATGCCACAGGGCCGATTTCTGACCATCTGGCAGCGGAAGGCATCCACTCACCCAGGGTTCATCTCCAGCCAGGCCTCCAGCTGGCCAGCTTTGGGGGCGTCCACCCCCGTCAGGATCTTGCCGCTGTCCACATGGATGACCTTGACGGGCAGGTCGCTCATCTGGCTGGTCTCATCCAGAGGCTGTAGGGCCAGCAGAAGAACCAACAGCTTAGCAGTGAGTTTGGGTCAAGGGACTAGACCGGTGTTTCCCAATCTGGTTCTCAGGGACCCACAGTCCTCAGTTTTGCTTCCTGTGGCCTGTCTGGCAGAGAGCTCGGAGGGAACAAAAACACGGATGGACTATGGGTCCCCGAAAACTGGATTTTGGAAACACTGTACTTGACCATTAAAAGCTACTTCTATGCAATAAATATCAGTAATGTTTTAAGGCAGAAGGCTGAAACAGGTGTAACTTCACAGCTGTACATCAAAACATGGACTAAATAAGGCCATTTTTGGTGTGTCTGTTGCATATAAACAAAGACTGTCTACCAACATTTCCAGCATTAGAGCCTCTGACCATGAAGAGACCAAAAGCCCAAACTAGCCCTCAGGGCCTGCGCGCTCACCTCGCCATCAGGTCCCAGACCTGCTGCCTGGCCCTCCGAGTTCTCGAGCTTCTGTCAAGACACCAATCCTTGCTGGTTAGGTTCAAGAATGAGAAATAAAGATCTCCCAGTGCATGGAGACAAACCTTATCCAGGACAAGGAGCATAGTCTGTCCCATTTACACAAAAGGCTCCCTACCCAGAATGCAGCACTGATCTTGTAAAACAAAGTTATAAAGCAGAACGACTTGTAGGACCCGTAGACCCCTCCATTACAGACCTTCTTCCTCCTCCTCTTCTTCTTCTTCTCCTTGAGGGCCTGCACGGCCTGGTGGGCCCTCACCAGCTCCGTGAGGTTGGCCACATACTCGTCCGTCTGCTGTAGCAGGTAGGCCAGACGCTTATCTTTCTTCTGGTCGATCAGCTTCCTGTAACCCTCCTCATCTTCAGCCTGGGCAGGGTTAAGGCATTGGTTCACACATGTCCGTCTCACCACCCCTTACGTCTGAAACACCAGCCCATCATGAGCCCTCATGGACCTCCTCACCATCAGCCTCCTCATTCTCTCCTTCTCAATGCGCTCGTTCTCCTTCTTCTGCTCACGCTCCGTGTTGGCATGGTAGGTGGCCACAGCCTTGGTCAGCTTCTGGATCTTGCCCGTGTTGGACCGGTGGTACTCCTTGAAGTCCTTGGCATGCTGAAGGATGCTGTTGAGGTATTCCTAGAAATGGAATGCAAGCTCTACATAAGAACCAATTTCATAGTTCAGGCTGTGGTTCCATCTCCATGGTAACGCACATTTTTTTTTCTTATATGGATGAAATATGTCCAAAAAGCACAACACCAAAGGAGAAACCCAAAGCTGACACCGGGTTTCCTACTTCACAACATGAGGTATAATCCACCAGATGCAGAAGAGAACGAGACTCCATCCCTCATACCTGGTGCTTCTGACGCCGTTTGCGCTCCTGCTCGATCTTCTGCTGTTTCTCCAGTTTCTCGGTGATGCGTGCCTCCCGCAGGGACTGCCGCTTGCTGCGCTTGTAGGCCTTGGCGTTGAGGGCCGTCTCCAGAGCCGTGTCACGGCGCATGCACACCACCACCTCCTGACGCAGCTGCGGGACGAGACATTGCTCCATGGCAGCTCCCTCTTTTCACCGTATCTGACGCATTTCCATCAAGAAACTGAAATGACACCCATGTGGGCAGCTGGGTCGGGGCCCTACCTGTCTCTGGAAGTTAAGTAGCCGGAGGGCCTTGAGCTCTATGTTGGCCTTGGTCCGCAGGTCGCCCGGAAGCGAGCCGGGGAGGTTCTCTAACTCCTGGATGCGGTGGGCGATACGTGCCTGGAGCCTGAAGGGACCACATGGTACAGAAAGTGGCTGCTTATTGGACAGAAAGTGGGTGGCTACCTCTCAGGCAGCAAGAGGACAAAGAGGACCATGGACCTCAAAGGTATGCAGGTCCTGCAAAGGTATGCAACACATTCAGACATGAGTCCCATAGAAAAGTCAGCATATTCAACCTCCAAAGTCAACAAGGGTGGAGCAAACACCTGCCATCACTGAAAACCACATAGGAGCAAATACTCATGGGCGCCCCCTAGTGTCCACCTAAAAGACTTCCCCTGTCTCCCCACCCCTTTATCAGCATGCCTGCAAAGGAGTGACCACATGTGAATGGCAACAGGATGTTGGGGGGGGGGTTCCAGACCTGTACTCGCGCTCCTGCAGGATTTCGACAGGGTCCAGCCCCCGAGGCTTCTGGATGGGCGTGATGCGGTTCTGTTTCTGGTGCAGCACCATGGGTGTGGGCTGAGTGGGCTGTCCGGGGGACTGTGTCTGTGGCGGCATGACAGGCGAGGCGGCTGGCGGCATGGAGGGGGGCGCCGGAGAGGGCCGGCCCGTGGGCTGCGGGGGCACCAGCTTCTGCGGGGCGCTGGATGGGGCGGCTGCGTTCACCATTGGTCCTTTTAAGAGTGGGCGGGGCATGGGAAGCAGCAGTTTAATCCATTAACCAAGAGTTTCCCAATCTGGTTCTCAGGGACCTGCGGAGAGTCCATGATTTTTGCTCCCTCCCAGCTCCCGGCTAAAAAACACGTGGACTGGGGGTCCCTGAGGCTGGGAAACACTGCTTTAACTTCACACTTCGCCTCACATGTAATGTCAGGTGGCCAACATCTCCACGGCGGCCATTTCCGAGTCTGACATTAACACCAGCCCCCCCCCCACCCACCCCCATAAAAAGCCACTTGGAAGTTGAGTGGTAAACCAGTGAAGTACAGACATCCTACACACCCCCCCTCCACCTTACCCTCAGGCCAGGCTTTTGGGGGGCCATTGGATGCCTGACCCTGCATTCCTGGTGGTACACCGGATGGTCCTGGGGGTGGCATATTGGGTCCCACCATACCTGCCCAAGACAACACAGGCCCCCAAGTTACATAGCAATAAAGCCAGACTGTCAAGAAAACAAGGCGACTCCCGTATAACTAGAACATACAACATATGGTTCAGAAAACATGAGAACTGAATTTTATTTACATTTCATCTACATTTATAAAAATCAGCAGGAACCATTATGAATGCAAGTAGACCTTCAGAAATTAGGACAATAAATTATTATTATAATCCTGCCATTTTTAAAATGCTGACCAACAGAGGGCACTATAACCCTGGAATGGCTTTTATTTTTTAACTATCAAATTGGAAATTAATCTGATTTTCATGCAAATACTAACAGCACAGTCGGTGTGAAAAGCACCCGCACACGGTGCCAATGCGCTCACCGTGAGGTCTGTTGTAGTTGGAAGGTGCCGGTCCCGGTCCGGATACGGGGCCTGTCCCGGGACCCGGGGCCGGTGCCATGTTAGCCATGGGGGGTTGCTGCATGCCCGGCATGGGCCGCTTGCCCTGCACTGCCATCTGCAGGTGGTCTGGCAGGGGCTGCCCGCGGGCCAGCATTTTATAAGCCATGATCTGGGCCCGCAGCTGGTGTAGCTGGTTCTGGTTGAAGGGTGTGGGCCCGGCAGCACCTCCGGCCCCTGCTGCCCCCGCGCCCGCCGGAACCGGCCCGGCGTTGGCGCCACTCTGAACCGCACCGCGGGCCTGTGGGCCCAGAGACTGGGGATCGCCGCCGTCGAGGGGCACCCCACCAGGGCCAGAGGGCATCATCGGACCAGAGGGAGGGCCGTTGGCTGGAACGGGGCTGGGAGCGTGCTCGGAACCCCCCAGGGGAGACGGGTAACCTGGGAGAAGAAGCCAACTCGTTACTTAGTTGATGGGGGGTATTAACTAGGGCTATATTCACGGAGTAACAGAGTAAGGAAACAAAAAGAAAACCTTGGTAAATAACCGTAAAACGTTACAACCAGTTGAAACAATTTCAATAAGGCGAGTATGATTAGCCATCAATTTAAAAAAAAAAAAAAAAAACATCTATAAAGCCTCTGTCTTCACTTTCTTGACAACCTCTTTTAAACCGTGAGTAAATCAGTAACTTCACCCAAGGGAGTTAAAAGGAGGACAACATCCAGCCGGTCACTAACATCACAGCTAAAACTGCCGTTCATTCACGGAGAACCCCGAACCATAACACATGCAAAAAACAATACAAGGCCGTCTGCCAGTCAGGGCGCGAGTATTAAAGCACAAATGGAAATATAGAAATACGAGTATGCAGGATGTGTCAACATGGGGGGGGGGAGCAGGTATGACAACAAAATCGCTACCCACACGGCGACCTAGAGAAGGACAATGAGTCAGAGACACCCAGCGCAGCCTTCGATCTCAGCCCCTCAGAGTAAACGAAGGAACACAAACGCGTCCCTCAGCCACACAACCATCAGCTGCTCTTTGTCGCTTCCCGATTAATGCACATTTTCTAGAACGTTCCACTGTTCCTCTAATAGGAAAGGGCAGACGGCTGCTCCAGCTGCAAGACAGCACCTGGGAAACGCCAATGAAAGACACTGGCAACATCTGGGGGGATTCCAGCCAGCACAGCTGGATTGAGGAAGCAGGCGCCACGTAGAAGACGAGCAGCGAGCCCTGAATAGCTGCTAAACAGACACCCTGATCAGCAGGAAGTAGACGGCGGGGGAGAGGACCTTATTATGACCTCATCACCTACCACTAACTGACCACCCACCCCACCATCGCCACAGACCTAGAGTGTCAGCCCTACATACCCTGGGAGTGTTGGTCCATGGGGCTGGGCGGGGGCCCCATTCCACTGTGCCCCCCCGGCCGCATGCCCATTCCTTTCATCTGGCCATAGCGGGGGTCGTCAGGCATGCCCTTCTCCAGCATCCCCTCCATCGGCTGTGGGAAGACAAGACGGCAGTCAGTGACTGAGCTCCGACATCAGCATGCGGTAAAACAGAGGCACTAAGGAGAGGCAGCGGAGGCTGAACCAGGGCGCTGAGACAGTGTACCCCAACCCGGTCCCCGGGGACCCGCAGACAGTCCACGTTTTTGCTCCCTCCCAGCCCCTGGTCCAAAAACATAGACTGTCTGGCAGGGAGCAAAAACATGGACTGTCTATGAGTCCCTGTGGACTGGATTGGAAAAAACACGCTAAGGTGGCAGGAGAAAGGCACCATATCTGGACATGGGGTCAGTATAACTGCCTCCAAAAAGCCACAATACTCAATTACTATGATGCTGATCCTAAAGGCAGTTCTGACGCTGACAGCCGTTACCATGACTTACTTTGTGCATGGGATGCATGCCGTCCGGGGGATACCCCGTGGGTCCCTGAGATGGGAGGGGGTGACCTGAGGAAGGAGGTCCAGGACTGGGTCCCATCATGCTGTGGGTAGATCCAGGAGAGGGGCCCGGGCTGGGACCCAGCATGGCCCCCGGGGAGGGTCCAGGACCTGGGGAGGGACCTGGCCGGGGAGTCCCTCCCATAGAGGGGTCCGGAGTGGACATTTCTCAGCGGACACTGTTTTGCGGGGAAGGAGAGAGAGACTGGAGGTCAGACCACTAACACCTCAGCTAACAGGCTAACGTCTTACTTTCAGGGGGTCCAGAGTACCATTCACAGGGCGCCACTCACATTATGACCAACAGCGCCATCCACTGGAGAAGCCATGCCACAGCAGGTCACGTTCCAGCCATTCTAACATGTAGCAACCTGCCTCAGTACCCAGGAGTCGGCACCATTAAACCCACATGATCTTCGACACAAATATCACCGTTTTTACTCATTTATTCCCTAAACTCTTAGCGAGAGCTACTGTCATTTAGCACATCTGTCTAAAAGTGACCAACAGAGCACGCATTTTACTAACGCAAGCCCCTTATTATACACATGGTGTGTATATAGATAGTTGTGAATATGCTGCATAATATACAGGACAGAATGCACTAAAGTTGGCGAGTATTAGGAGGCATAAAAATGACAGCACTACATTTCACAATAGCTGCGCGAGAAAATAATGCGGCTGCAAGAAAGCAGTAGGAACAAAACTACGTAACTGAATGATGTTTCTGTGTGGATTAAAGGACTCGTTAAGGCACTGAATGCGAACGTCATCGCAGACTGACTCATCGGCTCAGTACAGAGCCGCCTTTCCAGATCACACTACAAACCAGGGGCCCAGACTACAAAGGGGTTTGCGGAGAAATATGGACGACGGGATGACATCAGAAGCGGAGTTCAAAAACAAAAGGAGGATATTAAACAGAGCAGGTGAGCCGGTCCTGAGCAGGTGTACTGCAGGTGGCATGAAACCTCAGAACGCAGCGTAGGGGAACGGCCAGGAAAGAGGGCAGGAAGGGGGCCGGCACAGGGGGGTTCGTGTCCTGCCAGTCAGCAGGAAGGGTAATTCACGCATGTTTGTTTATGTTCACCAGAAAGAAAATAAGACGCTGTGGAATGGCTCTCTGGCTGCGTGAGAGATTTTCCGTACAATTTATGTCCTGATCAAAATCAATATTAAAAAGTGAACAGCTCAAAAGTTATAGCTCAACAATCCGTTTTAAAAATACTGGAAAAAGTTATATATAAAAAAATAACCACACACAAAAAGCACAAATATGTGGATAAGCTACTTTAACTGAATGTGACACGCCGACTGATTATTAAAATAAAAATAAATATCTTATCGTTCGCTTTCGGGTGGTACCCAAGTCATGCGCTCTCGAGACGGGAGGGTTCAGCATCCCGGAGACTCCATCCATTCATAAGCTTCTGCTTTAACCCAGCCAACAAATTTTACTTGTTTTATATCTACATCAATATAGCTCGAGGCAAGGATTAAAAAGACACCAAATATTAACAATTTCTTCTTATATCGTAAAATACATAAATATTATTTGTCTGGTAGACCGACTACAAACCATACTTTCCAAGCTAATGGTAACTAGATAACCTTAACAAGACAGCAAAATTATAACGATAATAAAAAACGATAAAAGTTGTCCAGAAAAAAAAAACATAAGATTAATTCAGAAGGCTAAATCAATAACAACTACATAAGTTAATGCTAATGTTTAATATTTTTGTTTTTAAACAAAGCCGGGATTAAAAAAACTGGGGCACTCTAGGTTACATATGATGAAGGAAACAAGTTGATTAAACTACACGAATCTATTGTTACATTGCTATAAGCTAAACACATACAAAATTATTTACTTTTTCGGAAACTTTTATTTCGCCTTGACTTTGTCACATTTTCTGTTTAATGATGATTATTAGGTTAGCCGTCCAGCCAGAACACAATGCAGCCCTCTTAGATTGCTCCCCGCAAATGATTTTTAAAGTTAAATTCGTTTCCAAATCATTTCCCGTCCGGGGTGAAACAGTAACGCCGGCGCTCTTCGATCAGCAGACAGCATGGTCCGGTCACACCATATTCAACTTAATTAATAAAAATTAAAAGAAAATGGGAAAATGGGAGAAAAAAAAACACAAAGAGGTACCTATTAAGCAAGCCGGCCATGCTGTTTTCCTCCATTACAGAGAGAAGGACTCCGGCTTCCCCGCGATCGGGCTTCAACTGTGAAGCCCAAGGAGTTAAAAAAGTATGATTTCGCCGCTCAGCTGATTGATCCAACGCGCGTCCCGTACCCTTGGCTCGGTCCCCCGCTCCCGTTACATTCCCAAAAAGAATAATTCATTCATTGCGCCCCGGCCGCCGCACAAACTAGTGGAGCTGCCCGTAATGTCGGTTCTCTTGCCGCTCGGCGAAAAAAGGCAGATCAAACCATTAGAGAGGACTACAGCAACAAAAAGACGCTAAACTCTTCGGTAAAGCACCGGGGAGACGCGCTAAAACGTTTTCGGGTAACTTACCGACAGTAAATTTTCCTTTCACCGGTATCTCCCCCTTGCCGTCTAGAGCTAGCGAGAAACAAAGGGCGACTCAAGCAGCTCGCGTTTTTTTGCCTCTCACCACCACCCCCCCTCCTGCTCCTGCTTTCGGCAGATTGTATCGCCGGAGCGCTGCTCGGCTCCGCCAGCGACTACAGCGGCAGAGAGGATACAGCGCCCCCCTTCAGCACGCCGGCGCTGCACGCCGGCCGACCGGCGAGTCACTGCGCATGCGCGTCCGAGGCCCCACTGCAGGGGAGGAATGCGGGCGAAGTGCGGCCGTGGGGGATGGGAGCGCCGGGCGGTTATTCGAAAGGAAACGCGATATTGTAACACAGTCGCCGGGGCGACCGTATGTTTGCTTTTCGGTCCTTGCGAACACGTGCATTTCGGTCCAGTAAACGTATTTAATTTCGCGCAGGTTTCATTTTAGCTTGCGCTCCGCTAGCTGTGCCGAGAGTTCATCTCGCGGCGCCTTCTGACATTGCCATAGTTTGCGGTTTGCACCATTCCGTCGAAGAGAAACCTAAGACATAATAACACCACTTAATTGGGGACACATAGAGTTGAGCGCATAAAATGTATGTGGCTGTAAAAAAATAAAACAACGTGTTTTGTTTGTTGTTATTCGTTCAGTGCAGTCACTGACTCTCAGACCTACTTCCTCCTTTTGGTTGGATGGGGCACATTATTGTTTACGCTTCCGTCAATCAGCATGTTCGCCTCATTCTGTATGGGCGGCCTTTTAGCCAATGGGATGCCTTGTTTATATCTCCCTATGAATAAATTCCTCGTGTCATATTTGCGTGGCAGCTGCCTTTGGTCGCCGATCGTTATTTATGGGGCGGGACAGTTTCCGCGTACCTGTGACGTTTTTTAACGACGCCCTCTTAGATTGAAAAAATATACAGAAGTTGTAGTGAAATTTTATTTTACCCACCCAAGTTTTTCTTGATGAATATCACTGATTTAAATGCAAATCGAAAGTTTAATGTCATGGTTGTTTTCAAAGGCTGAACCAAATGCAAACATAATAATTTTAGTTATTTTAAATATGTATGTAAAATATTACTTTTTAAATATTATTCCTGATATATTTAGCACCATTTATACCAAAGTGTTATGCGCTATCAAGTCCCAAAATAAATCTCTGTGTTAAAAGTGTAACTAATAAAAATACTTTGTCTTCATATTTTCCACATCATCGTCACAAATCATCTCAGACTCATATGTGGTACGGAAGGCAATGGAAGCTCACAGATATTCACATGTAGAATGAGGCACAAAACTGTCCTCTGCTTTCACATGATGAGCCAGAGATTCTGCAACTGCAGCCAGAGTCTTTTTTTGAGCCAGATTAAGGAGGTGAGATGAGGTTATAAGTTCTTAAAGCTTCCGAACGGTCCGCTCTCATCTCCGGAGTCACGGATGCAGTCTCTGGCGTTTGGAGCACTAAGACTACAACGCAAAGACAGAGGGAGTATTGTTGGCCCTTAGACAGAAAATGACTCTCCACTGGTTCTATGTTCTGCTCTGGAGACACCATGTGACGATGTTCCTAGCATCCTTGGCAGTCACACTAATGCTCATACTCTGAGGTTCCCGCTATCTTCTGTGTCCAAGTTAAGGGCTCAGTCTCTCACCCAGGGTACCAGCCTCCAATTCTGCTTCTTCTGCTATTCTGATGCGCTAGTGACTTAATTCTGTTAATATTCACTTAGCTCATCAGAAGCAAGGAAGTAAGCAACATATACAACACAAATATTACCAGACAATTTGTGGTTTGGAATTTGTTATAGGAATGTAAGGGATTGTCAGTCGTTGGATTAGCTGATTAGAATCAGACAAAGTCGGCCATTTTGTTTATGCGACTTTGGCTTCAGCTGCCTGAGAGCGACAGACGCGATTGGCAGGAGTCCCGTATAGTTGTCTTTTTGTGAACATTTCCTCAGTTCTGGCCCTTCTCATTTCCTACTGACAGCCCCCGTTTTTAACACAGGGTCAGACATGCAGCACTTGGGTTGGGGAGGATTTCTCACAGGTCGCACGGGCGTAACCAACATGGCCCCTACTGACAGAGGAAAGGGGGGCCTCGCGTTCAGGCTGCGCCCCCCTCCCAACTCCAGCGGACGCTTCGCAGGGAGGAAAAGGGGACACCTCCCTCCGGTGGCCTTCATCACGACTCACAAGACGGGCAGCAGCACTGCGCAGAGCTGACTCCGCCACCATCCTGGGATATGAACTGCGGCGAAACCTCACTGCCCCAGAGCAGGAGATCTGTGTGCGGCTATTACTGCCTTAGCTCCAGTGCCACTCTTACCTGTACTTCCAGCAGTACGGCCGTGACATCAGGTCTATTCCCACAAATTAACCTACATGCATTTCTTGCCATAAAGATGCCTTTAGATACTCTTTGTCTGATCTATCCACATTCCTTTAATGCAATACATATAGCAAGAAAAAGTATATACTATTATATATTTTTAGAATATATTTTCTATAATTATATATCACAGAAATTACATATCTTTTCTTTTTACTCCATAAGTCACATAACACAACAGGGTCATACAACCTGAAATGCAATTGGTTTGAATTTGGCACACGGTTTCCTGGACTAGCTTCTGTGATTGGCCAGCTGGTGATTTCCCACACAGCAGGTGTCGGCTGTAAGCCACTATGTGCATCACATGACCTGAGGTGTCTGGGTATATTGGTATTGCTCTGAAGCGCTCCCCATCACGACTCACACAGAGGGCAGCCTCCTAACCAGTAAGGCCAACAAGTACAAGTCAAGGCTTTACCAGGACGAGCCAGAGTGCATCCAAGAATCGCATATTTTATTCAAAATAAAATGGTCAGACAATAAAGCTAAATTCCTGATCAATTACTCTTTCGTTTCGTCTGTCATTTTTTCAATCCCCGCTCCTGGTACCTTTACTTTTTCCAGGATAATGTTCTTCTTCATGTAACAGAAATAATACTATTATTTTTAACTGTTCTATTCGTTCAGCTCAATTTCAGAAATCTCTCAAACACAGCACAACATTTTGTTTGGCATGTTAAAGCAAGAGTTCTATAAATTAACGTATATCAAATGTAGCTATTTATGAATCCTAAATGGCACTATGCCGCGGTGACTGACGTGTGAATATGAAGAAATGACACAGGTTTCTGTCATTTTATCCGATTTTTATTACATTTTACTGCACATAGTGAACTCTCTGTATCATATTCACAATAAGCACAATAACAGTGCCATTAAAACATACAAGCGTAAAATGATTCTACTGGGACAGTCGGTGGGAATACATCACCCACAGCACGCAAAAATGTAGACGGAAAACCAGAAACGGCATTCTCTCACCAGCACTGCAGCAATAGATAATACAGTATGAAAAATGCCCCAGACTTCATAAAGATAAATACATGAACGTGTCAGGTAAAGTGCATTTAAAACTTTTTAAAATAAAAAACTGACGCACATCACAATTATGAGGCTTCGAGCTGCTTAGAAATGTGAGCTACACAGTTTTAGCGGTAAAGTGAAGCATTTCGTCCCTTCTCCACAGGACAGTGTATTACCTGCTCTACTCAGGACAACCACAGTTTCAGTTCACCAATATCACACTAATATTCATGACCCATCGATAAAAAATAAATAATAATTTAATCTATTTTTACAGCATTAAAATATGTCTTTTTTTTCAATCTGTGAAATTGCTGCCTTATGAAAATAACAAAACCAGAAAGCAGCTGTGAGAAATCATAACATAAACACACCAAAAGAAACACACTGACGTGCTTTGAGCACGAGTTCTCAGCTCTTGACTCTGCTTTGTGTGATGCAGTAATGACAGGTCTATCCAAAAGACAGGCTTTGTTTTAAAGGGCGTTATTTACCACTAGAGGGCAGTAAGTCATAGCTAAGCAACGGAAAAGGCCAACATTTACCACAGGAAAAATAACCTGAAGCTAACTAGTCAAAAGACCTTTGCATATTATTACGCATATTGTAAACAGCACTTGACTAAAACACTGACACTAAATTTCAGACATCTCATATATGGAAAGTGTTTTGCATACAACTGAGGACAAAAAACAGTTTTAAGCCAGTCAGTATTTTTTTTTTTGTTTTTGCACACAACAGTTAGAGCGAATTCTAATAACAAAGCCATGTGAGACTATGTTCTTTTACAGAAATATTTTTGGTGCTAGTCCTGGCAAAGATATTCACGTGTTCACCTTTCCTAGAATTTCAAGTAACTCCATTTCAAAGCCTATAGACTTTCAACGCTTTCATTGTATGGATAGTTCATTATACAGAGATTCATAGTGATTCATTACTGTAACATTCACAAAGGAGAAAGGGGTCGACATTCCCTTTCTGTAACCTCCACTGTAACCTCCACCAAACCACATTCTTTATTTGCACGAATCCAGATTTAGCCCTTGGAGATGCACGGTCACCCAAATTCTGGAGTTAAAATGTCTCACATCTACAGAAAAGTCTGAAGTGAATCACACACCAGAACAAAACTCTACAAAGGTCAAATACTTTATTAACAGCTTTGAGTCGATCTTTTTAAAAACTCTACGCAGATATCACGCTAGTATCCCTGCCATTTCTGTCGTACGCTTTGAACTTTGGAATTAGGAATAGTTATGTGGCATTTCTTTTTTCTAAAGAAAATATAGCAGATTAAGCCAAAATGCCTGATATGTAAGGTAGTGATTAATTACCCACTGCATGACTGAGTTCAGTTCACTGCACCAGCTGAGTTAAACCAAGATGTCCACAGGTTGCGGCCTCCTAGGGCCCTAGTGCAAGCCCAGCCCTGTAAGCACACTAACACACCACTAGGCAACACCACTGCAACACTGCCCTGCCTGCTATATGAACTGTGATCTTCAGCCAGACAAAAGCGACAGGCAGAGGTCACATGGGAAGCTTTCCACCAATCAGATTCCGCCTCTCAAAAATGGGTCTGTCCCCAGTTCCTCAGACGCTTCGATTCTCTGCTAGAATTCGGCTATAACTAGACGCAGAAACGGAAGGTTTTGCCGCCAACCCGCAACTTTCATATTTGTCTGCATTTGTCTAAGTAATGGTGCGAATGACGCAGTATTAAGAAGCACCTTGACAGTTGGGTTTTGGCTACTTGTTTCGATATACATTTATTTACACTTTGCATTTTATTGTTAAGTTACATTTTTTTCCCCTTGACTGGAATGTTTAAGGGCTTGAAATTGTGCTGTGTTCTGTGATTGATTCTCAGTAAACCCCGCCCCTGACCCCGCCCTCGAAGCCCCTGGCCAATCCACTGGCACTCACAGGTGCAGTCTGGAGGAGCTCCGGTCAGTGTTGGAGACGCTGAGCGGCGCCACCTGGGCCTGCCGTCGCCGTGGGATCGGCTGGCGGACCCTCAGAGGAATCCCCCGTCTGACCGGCAGGGCTGGCTCTCCTCCCACCCACCCCCTTAGCGCTCCCTTTTCCCAGGGCTGCCTCCTGAGTACCAGGCCCCAGCACAGTCTTTACCATGCTGGCTGTGTGGGTTGCAGAGCTGGCCTTGGCACAGGGGGAGATAGGCTGGCAGGGGCAGGAAGACGTATTGCGCTCCTCTGCCACCTCAAGGAGACTCTTGTCCTCTGGAACTGGGCCTGAGCCCTTGTCCATGTTCAGCTTGGCTGATGCCAGTGCAGGAGATGAGCCTGGAGCTACAGCAGGACCAGAAGCTACAAGGGTGGCGCTTTTAGCCCTGGTTTCTGCATCAGAGTGACTGATATGTAGGTTTTCATTCTTAGTCTCTGCCAGTCTGGTTTCAGCCCTGTCCGTTGTGGAGACCGCGTCCCCCTGCAGGCTGGACCCCATGGGCTCCATTAATCTGCCAGCCCCCTGCTTCCTCTCTTTTTGCTCCTCCGTCTTTCCCGCCTTGCAGGCTGGGAGGGTCTCCTGTAGCCGGTCCCACTGCTTGTGGTCTAAGGTGGCCACACTCTGGACCAGGCCAGATGCCACAAGCTTCTCTGAGGTGTTTGAGACTGGAAGGTTCAGGTCCACAGGCTTACTGACAGGGGTGGATCTCTGATCCCTCACTAGGGGGAGCACTGTTTGGCCAGTCAGGGACTCTGCTGTCACTGGGGGCATACAGCCAGGCAGGGCCTGGGCGAGCTGAACCCCCTCAGTGAGTTTTTCCGGCTCTGTCTTGGTGCGCCCCTCCTCTGGTTCTTTTCTCAATCTCTCCATCTCTGCCAGCAGGACTTCGTGGCTCAGAGGTGACTCCTGCCTCCCTAATTTCCGCATGGGTTTGGGAGGGGCTGCCCTCTGGGTGGTGGGCCCTGGGGTGGAGGTGGCAGGACCCTCGGCCTCCGTCTCCAGCAGGCTCTGCAGGGGCAGTTCGCTGTGAAAGGGCTCCTTGCGGTGCTCCGGGTGAAGGGACTCCAGGCCGTGCTTGCGTCCGCCCATTCCTGTGGCCCCACCCATTCCAATGACCCCGCCCATTCCAGTGACCCCACCCACTTTCTTGTCCTGGGAGCAGGGGAAGGGTGGGGCCACTTTCTCGGCAGACTGAACGCGCTTCAGCAGTGGGGAGCGGGGCGGTTCGGCACTCCTGGGCCGCGGACGGGTCACCGGAGGCGAGGAGTGCAGCTTGGCCGGGAAGGCCTGCGTGGTGTTGGAGCTGCCCACCAAGTGGCCCGGCAGTGGCGGTGGCGGCGAGCAGGCCGTGGGCGAGGGCGTGTGCGCCAGCGGCGACAGTGGGATGTTGCCGGCGGACTTGCAGCGGGCCGAGCGGTACTGCCGGTGCAGCTTGGGCGACAGGCCATGCAGTGAGCTGGGTCGCGCGTGCTGGGACGCCGCCGGAGAGTTGGGTGTGCTGGAGGACGGGGAGCTGCTCTGGGAGGAGGTGCCTAGGAGGAGGGGGGAGACAGGAGGAGTATAGGAGGCCATTCTGTATTGATTTCAGTGGCAAACAAGTATATGGTGTGGAGAACTGTCTCAAGTGGTGGGTCGTCATGAAAAACTGTTACTGCAATATGCTGCATTTAATATCCATCCATCCATCTGTTTTCTGTAACCACTTGTCCTGTGCAGGGTTGTGGGGGTTTAGTGTCCTAGAAGCTATGGGCGTAAGACAGGAAATAACCCAGGAGGGGGTACCAACCCATCGCAAGGCACACGCACACATTCACACCAAAACACAGCACTAAAGAGACCATCAAATTCGAACAGTAAGGGGAAATGTGTGACCAATCATGTGTTGGGGGCCTGAGGCAGAGGGGGGCGGCCTCACCTAGGTAGGCGGAGTCAGGGGTGGAGCGGAAGCTCTGAGTGGGCGAGCGGGCAGACAGGCCATGCGTGGGCGAGCCGGGGAGGCTGTCACTGGAGGACAAGGAGCGGTTGAGGGAAGACAGACTGTGGCTGGTGTGCAGCAGGTTGGCCTGCTTGGTGATCTTCCGGAACAGAGAGCTGCGCTTCTTACTGTGGGGAAAATGGGGCGAGAACGAGGAGGGCGATGGAGCAGGTGGATGAAGATCAGACTGACTGAAAGGGATCTGCCGCAGCTGGCTCTCACCTCTCCTGCCCCTCCTTGGACATGGTTCTCTTGCTGCATCGCGCCATCTTTGATTTGTAGCTGGATCTGCGGGCGGGTCCTATCTTGATGGAGGTGTTCTCAAAGGGCGTGGTGGTGACCATCACCTTGTTTCCGCTCTGAGGAAGGAGAAGTGGCACTTACTACAGGCTTGAACAGCTGAGCTCACTTAAAAAAAAGGCCCTACCCTTCTCTACCTTCAAAATGAGCTCCACGACTTCTGTGTGGACCAATCCGTGGACCGACTCCCCGTTCACGTGTGTGATGAGGTCACCGGCACAGAGGCCCGCCTCCTGGGCGGGGCCACCGTCTTCCACATGCTGTGATTGGGCAAGAAGGCTCCTCCTCAGTGTCGGCTCAGACAAAAATGGACACGCATGTGCTACTCAAAGACCAGAGTAGTACAGGTTACTTTGGGACTGCTTTATAAAGTAAGGTGACCCACTGGACAGAGCGGAGTGCAGCCAGGGCTACTGGTAAACAGAGGGCTAAAGAAGCGTGAACGAAGGAGCTGATCAAAAGATGGGGTGATGAGCCACAGATGGCGTGGTAGAGGACTGCACTTCACACACACGCACGTGCACACATGCCGGGTAAACATATCCTTATGGGGACCGCTCATTCATTTCTATGGGAAAAATGCTAACGCTAACTATTACAACCTTAACCCCTACCCAGCCATAACCATAAATAACCGAGCAAAATACAATAGTTTTTGCATTTTTAGTTTTTTTCATTGCAGTCACAGATTTTTATTAAATTCAGTTTTCCCTTATGGGGACCAGGAAACTAAACGGGTATTCGTCACGTTGTGGGGACATTGTTTCCCCACAAGGTAAGGTATACCTGCTCGCGTGCACACACACACACACACACACACACACGCACACACACACACACACACACACTACTTTCTAACCCTATATATTCCTGGTGGCAGCAGAGCAGCCAGTTCACCTTGGACCTCCCAGGATTTTCCCTTCTATACAAAAATATGGAGTTTTGTTTTCCTCTGTTTTCTGGCTCCAGAATGAATGACTACTGTTTACTATTGTTATCCTAAACTGTTCTATGTCAGTTAGTGACACTGTCTTTTAGCCCTTTACATGCTATTAAGGGGCAGCGTGTGGCTCAGTGGGCTAAGCCTCTGTGTCTGTAATCAGAAGGTTGCCAGTTCAAACCCAGCCTGAAGGCCCTTAACCCCCAGCTCCCTGGGCGCCGCTACGGGTAGCTGCCCTTCGCGGACAACTTACTCTACAAAAAAGAGCAAGTTGAGGGAGACAAAGACAATTTCCCCACGGGGATCAATAAACTATCAGTTATTATTTAAGGGAAACTTTGCTGGGTACAGCACTATACATAAATAAATTAAAGTGAATTCATTTATTCTTTGTAATTGGGGAATTAAATAATCCAAACAATGGCTTTAAATGAACTAGTGCTAAAACAAATACCTGCATGACCTGCACACTGGTGCACGGCACATATTGTGTCAAAAGCCACCTATACTTTTTGTGGGTCATAAAACAGGTCAGCCAGCACCCGTCTAGCAGCTGAGGTTAAGGGTCCAGCGGTGATACTCTGCCAACTATGGGACTTGAACCAGCAACTTTCTGTACATGGCCACAGATCTGTAAAGCGCTGAGCAGTATCCTGCCTATTTAGGGCTGATGTTCCAGCATTAATGTAAAGGCGGAGGCGTATCTGCGAGTCCCGGAGGCGGCCCGACTCTCACCCAGACCATGTGGTGCACGCTGTAGACGTCGCTGTCACCCATGTAGACGCGGATGGCACGCAGCGTGAAGCCATACTTCTTGCCTGAGCGGTGGATGGTGATGGGTGAACGTGGCGCGCTGACAGCGGGGCAGCAGTCGCGGCTGGGGGAGGAGTCCCGCGACGACGGGTTGGAGGAGAGTGAGCGAGGGGACATGGGACTGGCCAGTGGGGATGTTCCATGTGGCTCCACTGAGTGTGTGAAGGAAGTAAGGGACAAATAAACGACAATCACAAAATTCAGGCAAACGGGCTGGGCTACCGGCCGCATCATTTCCTGTGTCTGTAAGGCCCCCTGGGAGCCTGACTTCCTGTGTGGGCCCTACCTGAGGGGATGATGACGGACAGGGCTGTGGCCGAGGCTGACTTGATAACCTTGCCCCCGGCCCGCTGGCCCTGCTTCTCTCCGTCTCCCAGCAGCGGCTGCCGCGTGTGACGCAGGACAAGGTCCCTGGGGGCCCCCGCAGCCACAGCAGCGACTGCTGGACCTGCCAATTCTCCAGCTGTCCTCATAATGTCTAGAAAACCAGGAGGCCATGGATAATAAAACAGGCATAACATGAAACTTTCATTATCTTTCTTGAACCCTAGCAAGAGGCTAATTGTCTCACTTGCATTATAATTTATACTTTATTTATACAGCTATTTGGTTTTGCTGTCTTCTTTGTGTGCAATAAACTGTTCCCCACAGCTTCTTCCTTTCCTCTGCACCTTCTTTCCTCTTCCTCCCCAGAGCTCTCACCTCCCATGGCACCCCCGACGTCCTCCTTTAGGGGGGCACTCTGTTCGGCCTGAGCGGTGGAGGTGGCCGCTACCCCCTCGAAGGACTTTCCCCTGGTCTTAACTGGATGCTGGCGAGGCTGTTGCTCAGGGTCGCCCTCCAGTGGTGAGGACAGGCGGTGCGTGTCCATAAGGGCCGAGAAACGGCGGCGGGCACCAAGTGGAGGGCTGGAGTCACTCTCCATGTAGGACAGCTCGGAGCAGGACAGGCGCTTCCTGATAATCGAGAAGGACACAAGTGTTACAGGGCATCATGCATATAATAAACCGCATATACATACATATGAAAAACGGTCTCTGCGATGCTAACCAAGATACGTGGTTGGAAGATGGGTAGATAAATGGGTATCTATAACAGTAATAACAGTAGCAACAGCCTCAGTCTCTCATACGTTATTCGCAACATTTGAACAAGTTTGTTAATTGTTTCCTATCACCTTCTGTTGCCAAATCTTCTTCAATTTCTCAGCTGTTGACTGAATGAAGCTTCATGAACCACTTTCCATATGTTTGATTCCCACTTCATGGCACTCTTGGTCTGAGTTGTGGCATGAATTGAGTTTTTTTTTTTAATAGAGAGCACCATCTAGTGGTGTCAGAAGATACAGCAATTGGTTCATGAAGCTTCATTTGGCCATCACTATTTAGAAGCACCACCGACAGCGATTTCCAATATCTTCTGTCATCTGCTTGAAGGTAAAGGCATCCCCTAAGGCCTGTGGGTCACATCACCCATGACCCTGCACTGGATAAGTGCTTGGAAGATGGATGGATGGATAGATAATAGGATAACACTTTACTTGAGGGGGCACAAATACTTAGTACTAACTCAGTTAATACTGAATTACAAATCACGAACAAATATAGTAGGTACTTGAGATAAAAGATGCGTCACGATGCATTAATGATGAACAAGCACAAGATCAGTATTTTACTTGTGTTATTCATGACTTGTTCCTTTAGTAATTCATAAACGTTTACAGAATTAACAGATATAGTAACAAATATAGTAAATGCTTGAGATAAAAGATGTCATGATTCATTAATGATGAATGAACATGAGATCAGTATGTAACTAATACTTAGTTTGTGGTTAATTAATACATAAGTAATGGCATAGTACTATATTATTTGTGCCCCTCAAGTAAAGTGTTACTGATCATAGGTCACGTCCTCCTCAGAATCCTTCAAAGGGGAGCCAATAGGAGTACAGGCACCATGCGTTGCCGTGGGGACGCCGTACTCACATGTCAGGAGAGCCCACCCTCCAGCTGCGGTCACGCAGCCCCAGGGCGCTCAGGCTGCCCAGACTCTCCCTCTTGGGCCGCCGGTCCTCCTGTGGGCCCTTGCGTTCCCGCCTGGTCACCGTGGACAGTTTCGGCTCCAGCTGTGAGAGGTGCTCCATGCTGCTGTACACCTGCGCGCCCCAGACATATATTTACACAGTCACTATGGCCCCTTTTGAAGAACGCGCACTATCACCCATGGTTTTTGTGCTGCTAGCTACCTTCTACCCACAATCCTCTGGTCCTCATTCATCATCTTTCTTCCCAGGTGTTAACTTATTTAGCTATTTTCTCTGTAAACCACGGGGCCTTCCCTCATTCTGAATTTGACTTGCTGCCTGCGAGTGCCTGCATGTGGGTACGGGGTCAGTAAGGGGTGTTTATGAACCCGAAAACAGAATAACCATGTAAAATGACAATGATGTCAACAAACTGGCATCACTGCAGGAATCTGAATCTCCCTTTGTAATTCTGCCTGCTTCATTTGTATCCGTTTTCAAAGCTCCACTGCAGTGTGATGTGATGAACCCAAGGCCAAGTTTACTTTGAAGAAGGCGCTTGTTGTGAAGAAGATCGAGGGAGGCGAGGTCAGGACGACAACAGTGACGGGAAGGACTTAAACTAACTCTCACTCTGGGTTAATTAGTAGTTTATTTAAGTTGTGAATGTGACACATTTAAGGTGATGTGATTGGTTGCTGCTATGTTAGAAGGGTTAGAAATAAGGCGACATGATAGGTTACTGTTATGGTTGAGAAAAAAACTGGGCTGTTATTTTAGCAATTTTGGGGCTTTTCGGGGGAACTGAGTGATGGATAGAGATGTTTGGATAGCTGTATGTAAACTATCCATCCATCCATCCATCCATGTATGTAAACTATGATCAGCATAATGTTCTGCATGTCCTCCATATTTCTCCAGGGCCTGATACCTCTAAATAGTCATCGATGTCCCACACAGTCCAAAGAGAAACATGTGAAGGGGTTCAGTGAGCTCGTGTGCAGAGGCCGAGGAAGCTGACCTTGCTGAACCGGGGGGAGCAGGACGAAAACTGTCGGATCTCCACTGGCTCATCGTCGTTGGTGTCGTCCTCATCGTACGAGTTGATATGATGGTAGCGTTCCGACCGCGCTGGTCGTGAGAATGTCAGGGGAGCAAATGTTGAGAAAAAAGCAACAAGGAAAATGACAAATTTGAATCTAGAGAGAACACGGCTAACCGTTAATTAAGCCTTTTATTGTTTAGTCTTCAGCGTGTGCGACACCTCCTGGTTGCTAGGGGGCGCTGAAAGGGAGTACTCACAGTCAAAGTAGCTGGTGTCCTCCTCTGATTCTAAGTGAGGAATGAACTCTGCCTTCTGTCTTAGCAGACTGTTCCAGTTCAGCTCGGAGAAGAATGAGTGCTGCTTCACCTCAGCAGCGCCACCTAGTGACAGAAGAGGAAAAAAATCTCACTTGCAGCAAGTAGCATTTTTCTGAGGAAATACCCCAATAGGATGAAGAGCTTGCAAGAGCTTGGCTCACCTGTGCCCAACCGAATCAATGGGCTTGTCTGCAGAAGAGCTGAAATGAGGCTTTGGGCATCAGCAGGAAGGGCCTCCTCCTCCTCAGGCCAGGCAATGGCATCTGAGCACATGGACAAACATGGAGAGGAGCAGGAATGCGGAGGATGATGAGAAATGAAAGAACCACCAGTTGAGTTACGGGATGATATCGGTTATCGATGAGAACGATATCGATTGTGGGACTGGTCAAGGTTTGGATAATAATGAGGCATGACATCACAACGAGGAATGACATCACAACAAGGAATGACATCACAACGAGGAATGACATCACAGTCCCAGGCCACACCCCTAACCTGTGATCACTTGTCCGAAGAGTTCCTCAGGGGTGTCGCCGAAAAAGGGCACGCAGCCCACCAGGAACTCATACAGGATGATGCCCATGGCCCACCAGTCCACCGGCTTGCCATAGCCCTGCCGAAGGATCACCTCTGGGGCAATGTACTCCGGGGTGCCACACACCTGAGGGGTCAAAGTTCACTGCTCATATGCAAGACAGACGAACAGTCATGGGACAAGAACTACAAAGACGATGCTATGTTAGGCAATGTGACCGCCTGCAGAATTCCGGTTGGTGTAAACAGTAAATTACTCAAAGAATAACAGGATTGTTACACTGGCTGCTATCTCACACGGTGGCGTGATGATAAGCCAGTGCACAAGCCACGGAGCAGCACACGTGAACAGGACTGCGTAGCCCCCACCAGAGATACGTTCCCCCACCACCCCCATGGAGGATTGCTGCCAATTATGTTTCTGTGCTGCAGAACCCTTAGTCGGAGCCCAGAGATCAGAGTCACAGGAGTCACGGGGGCGCTCGCAGCAGGCCGAGATCGTTACCATGGCGGCACGGGGCCCAGGAGACCGAGATGCTCACTGCACCGGGGGGGGGGGTACTTTAAGGGACTGTCTCGAAATAAACCATGAAAGGGGCTCAGCTGGTTTTCATGTGCAGATGGGAGGGAGTTCATTAAACGGGGGCAGATGGCTGGGCTGAAAGGGAACCATCGGCAGATAATAACTGCACATCTAATTGGACGCACAGACACAAACAAACATATTACAAAACCGATCCCCAAAGTAAGGGCTTTTCCCGTTGCGTCAGAATGAAATAGCCAGTTGGAGTCGGTTAGGTGGTTTGGAGCCGGCTGTGATTGGCTGTGCGCAGCTCAGCAAGCTCAACAAAGAACAAAGTGTAAACTCTCAAGGACAGGTGAGCCCTGCAGAGGAAATGCGTCACCTGCTTGTCCAGGAACTCGCGGGTGTCCTTCTCGATGTGCTCCTCGTACAGGTTGGTGGTCAGGTTCATCAGACCGATCTTGGACAGGCCAAAGTCTGTGAGCTTGATGTGTCCCATGGCTGTGATCAGCAGGCTAGGGAAGGGAAAGCAGATCCTTTCATCTGATGCCAGTCCTCTCTGGCAGACAGAGTCATCACGTTCGATGCTTATTACAGATCAGGGAAAACATGTTCTCACCGCAAAGCTGTACTGGAGAAGTTGCCAGTTTTTAGATGGACAGATGAGAAGTTGGAGTGGCTCATTCCATGAATCACATATTTTTATTAAAATATCCAAACGATTATAATTACATAATAAAGCAAATTTGTTTGGAATTCCTCACCACTTCCCTTTCATCTGTCCATCTTTTCCCACTTATCCACCACAGACCACAGGGAGTCTGGAGCCTATCCCAGGCACCAGGCAGGGGAACATCCTGGATGGGGTGTGTATGGATGTGTCATCTTCCAATTTTAGACATTCTAATTCCCCGACAGGGGAGCCTTACTTGTCTGGCTTGAGGTCACGATGCACTATGCCGTAGTTGTGAATGTACTCCAGTGCCAGGACGCTCTCAGCGAAGTACATGCGTGCCATCTCCACGGGCAGGGCGCCAATGTTCTTCAGCAGAGTGGCACAGTCTCCCCCTGGCCGGGCACACTCACATGTCAGCGTGGAGAAGCCTCGCATCCCAGCCTCCTTTTTAGCATGTTAATCAACAGCTATGCCTTCTGCAGAAGTACTGAGCTAAGATATGCTGATTCAAAATAAGATATGAAGCTCGACCTGATTAAATACCACTCTCCTCTGCTTCCGACATCAAGAAAAACACTGCTAGCTGATGATATAACCCAGCTTTAATAGGGGTTCCCCTTCCACACAAGCCTAAGCCCTTCTCCTGCATAGATTATTATTGGAAGACCCTCCTATATAAGATGAAGCCCCACCCTAAATAATCTGCATCAACCAGAAGCTCCTCCTACACATGGCAAAGCCCCACCCCCAACAGCCTTTTTATGGCCTGAAGCCCCTCCTATATAGGCTGAAGCGCCACCCCAAACGGCTCGTTCTGCCCCCTCACCAGTGCCATATCACTCACCCTCCACATACTCCATGACCATGCAGAGGTGCCGGCGTGTCTCAAAGGAGCAGAACATGCCAACCACAAACGGGTTCTCCGCAAAGGTCAGGATGTCCCTCTCCACGAAGGCCTGTTGGATCTGGTTCCTCAGGATCAGGTTTTGCTTGTTGATCTTCTTCATGGCAAAGCGCTGCCGCGTCTCCAGGTGTCGGACCAGGTACACCGCGCTAAGCAACAAGAAGAGTGGAGGTGGAGAGGTACTGGTTGGAGAGATGTTGGTAAACCTTGGAGTGGTATGATATTGGACTACTTTATATCAATGGACCAGGGGTCTCCAACTCCGGTCCTGGAGAGCTACTATCCAGTACGTTTTCCATCCTACTTGGCTTCTGATGAGCCACACCTGGCCCTGGTATTTACCTGAGAACAGGTGTGGCTCATCAGAAGCCAGATACGATTGAAAACCGACTGGATAGTAGCTCTCCAGGACCGGAGTTGGAGACCCCTGGAATGGACCACCCATTAAATTATACACCACCAATCACCTAGAGCACAAGTGGACAAGTCAATGAGTAATGTGCTGGCAGGTTCACATTTCCATTTTGAGTGGATGAAGAACTCATGGATGTGAGGCAGGAGACATGGCCATTGGTCTGCAGTCAGTCAATCCACTTACCCATAGGCGCCGTGGCTGATCAGTTTGATATTCTGGAAGTCGCTTTCACTGGGTGGCTTAATAGCCTTCATCTTGCCCTGGAGAGACACGCCAGGCAACATTAGTGACTAAGAGGACGCTGATTAAAATGCACAGATGGCAGCCTGCCTCCGAGAGGCTCCATGGGGGGGGGACATATCTCGTATCTGCCAGCCGCCTTGACAGCCTCACCAGCCCCAACCCTACAAGCTCATAAGACGGTAAAAGCCTTATGGATCTAATTGGTGGGATTAATCACGTCTTGTTCCCATGCTGATTAGCGTCGGATCAATGCAGGGGCAAGCGAGCGAGCAGATGGACCCTGGCAGCTGGACCTTCAGGCAGCTGTGCCTCCCTCAACTTCCAGAAATAAGGAGGTCTCACCTCGGAGTCCTCTGTCTCCGGGGTGTGGGACCCCGCACTGTCGCAGCTTTCAAGGTGAACCATCTCTGGAAGCCAGAAACACAGGAAGAGGGTGTGAGTCCCCAGGGACCCAAGATAATGGAGGCAATGTGGCGTGGTGATGAGATCCCTCCTCCTCGTCTCGTACCCTTTCCCTCTCATAAACTGCCTCTATAACTATCCTATTACAGGTTACTCCGGTATCATTTTGCGCTCAAGGGAATTTTACTTGCATAAAAATGTTCTGAGAGCAGAATGAAAAATGATTGGTTATCTCTCTGAACCAATCAGCTTGTAGAGGATGTGGGTCCAAGCAACTACATGAGGCGGGACCAACTAATCAGATGCCTTGGTTCCACCTCCTCTAGATGCTTGGAACCACCTCCGCTACAGTCTGATTGGTTATCTCTCTGAACCAATCATTTTTCATTCTGCCCTCAGATCATTTTTGTGTAAGTATAACTCCCACGAGCCTTTTTGGGCACCACTGCTGGTCCCATCTCTATCCTTTTGGCCATCCTGCCCTCACCCTCCAGGGGGTCCCTGGTAAGCCCAAGCTGGCTAATGATGTAGCGGGGGATGTCCGTCTTCATCAGGTGACCCTCTTTGGCGTGATCTTCTGCAGCCTCCAGGAGGTGGTAGAACTGCTCGGGGTTGAACTCCTGCCAGGGAGGCCATATAGGGCATGACTCCCCACATCGCAGAATCAAGCAAACATCCCCTTTTCACCAGCCTTTGATATAAATTTAGTCAAATGTTTTGTCTGCTTCATACAACCCAAACACAACAGATGGTTAAATTTTAAGGGCCTTTTTGCAATTCTTGAAGAGCCATATGTTCATAGGTCAAGATTAGTGGCCCATAAACAAGACTGCAGGTGCAGGAAGTTTGGTGTAGCTTGACGTGAGCTTGAGTACAGTGGACAGAGACTGAGATGCAGCAGGTAACCTTCAACCGGCCTCTGTCTGACTCAAGCACTACCTGTCATTCACAGCAACCACCTGTCAATGCAGTGGCTGTTACCGTCCTAATCATCTAGGGCAGTGTTCCCCAATCCGATAGACCAGTGAATCCCAATCCGGTCCTCGGGGACCCACAGTCGTTCCACATTTTTGCTCCCTCTGAGCTCCCTGCCAGACAGTCTCCAGTAGGGAGCAAAAATGTCTGTGGGTCCCCAAGGACCGGATTGAGAAACACTGGTCTAATGGCCAGTCCTACTTGCCTTAAGTGACACACACCAAGGGAATTGAGGATGTCGGGAAAAGAAACTATTGCTTTCTAAACAAAAAAACTTCAGCTTGAAGGGATGGACAATTATCTCCTCGGTAAATGTTTTGATTTAATGATCTGCTTAAAGTACTATATTTTCTTGAACAAAGAAAGAACAAGGGATCTTAACGATTAGAGTCCGACCTACCAGGCACTCGAGGAGTCTGGCGGGGCGAGAGATGATGATGAGGAGTTTCTTCACCAGCTCTGTGACAAACGTCAGCTCTGAGCTCTCAGAGCGTTCATACGCCTGCCGGGGAGGGCCGTAAACAGAGAGCAGGAGAATAACTATTTTGCAGCATTCAGTGTAGACGCGGAAAAGCGGTCTGTTGTTGCCAAAGACTCACGTCCTGCAGCAGCCTCTCCAGGCTCTCCTGCAGCTCGATGAAGTAGATGCTGGAGATGAGGGCACCACGTGCCTTGGCCAGGCAGTCGCGGGACAGCTCCACGATCTGGTGGTGGATGAAGCTGAGGACCCCGTCAGCCAGGGGCAGCACGTTCTCCGGGGAGTAGGCCTGGATGAAGTCGGCTAAGCGCTCCTCCATTTGTGCCGTGGCCTAAGGCAAGCAGGTAAGCATGCGGACAGTCAGAGAGGCGGACAGACAGAAAAAGGCAGCAATGCAGGCTGTTAGATCTAAATGGACAGGAGATCGACATCCTGTATGTTCATATGCCGAATTGCTCTCCATCTTCCATCCAGACTGCATAACCTACCACAAAAAATGGCCAATAATCAGTGTCCTATAACCAGTTTGTTGCCTGGTGCACTGAATTAATCTGACTCAGGCAGAATGGAGACTCACTCCACCACTAATGCCTGACTACAATGTCTGGTGGTGTGAGAGCCGCGTCCGTGCGTGGGTGCTCGTGCGTGGGCGTGTGTGTGTGTGTATGTGTGTGTGTGTGTGTGCATGTATGCATGCAGTGGTGGCGTCTGACCTTAGGGAAGCGGTCCTTGTAGACGTGGTTCATCATCACAATCTCATTGTCGAAGCAGGAGGGTGATCGACCGGGGCTGGTGTGGGGAAAGGGAAAGGAGGACTTTGACCTTTGACCTTTGCTGTTGACCAACCCTTCTGTTTTACAGTGTATTTCTGAAGAACCCCTCTTCATCATCATCATCATCATCATGCATGTGTGTGGAGGAAGGGCGGCCCCACCTGAGGCTACGGGACCGGGGCCTGACGTGGGGAGAGCGGCGCCCCCCAGGGTCGTCCGCGATGCTCTCCGTGCTGCCAAAGTGCTTCGACAGGAAGTGCAACTCGTCCATGGTGGGCTGGAAGGGAAGCTGGTGCAGCCGTTCCTGGGAAGAGCTGGAGGACTGGGGGAGGGGGTTACGGTAGGGAATAAGAAGAGGAAAGAGGTAAAGGGAGAGATTAGGGCAATAAAACACGCAGAGCCAATGAGCCCTGAAGGATGACATCATCACTGCAACCCAACCTTCACCAATGGGAGCAAAACATAAAGAGCCAACCGCAAGTTTGGGTTCTGTCTGCATGGTGCTCTCCCTTATATAATCTCTCCTTCCCCAGACATCACTGAGCCACCCATGTGGTCTCTCGTGGTCTTTAATCATCTCTCCAGCTTAGGTTACACTCTCCTTTTGAACCCCTGCCTCCCTGAAAGCTAGTGGTACGGCCCATAACCGTGGCTGTATTATTTAAGGGAGGGCTGCAGGAAAGTATGCGAAGTGGGTGGTCATTAATGTGGCCCAAACAGGTCTTTGCTCATCCAAACTGTTCTGCACCTAGCAAAATCATTTCTTGTACAAGCAGTTATACTCTCACATATACTAATTTTATTTAGCAGATGCAATATGCGTTTTTTTGAGAAGGCTGGGTCATCCAGTTGCTGGAGCAATTTCAGGTTCAGGGTCTTGCTCCGTGGCCCAACAATGTAATCACTCTGCTGGATTTGAACCAGCAACCTTCCGATCACAGCCATCATAACCCACTGAGGAACACATCACCACCTCAAATGGTGTATGGTTCACTGTTCAGGGCTGGAATCAGCCTCATTAAAACGATGACAGTCACCCTTGTGTGTCTGCAGCATCAGGGTATATATTGGCACTTCTCCACTGGCATATAGGAACCAACCTGTACTCAAGCCGTACCACGAAGAGGGACTAGCTACAGCGCGGTTCCAGATCGCTTTAGTTTGCCACCGTAGCAGGGTCGGCTCGGTAACGGTGTTGCCGGGTTTGGAGAGCGACAGTGACATAAAACCGAAGAGATGCTTATTTACTGTGCATACGACGTACATCACGGTTCACTATGTGCAAATGTCCGCTAGCATGCCTGCGAGAATCACCATCTTCTGTTAGCATCAAACGCTAGCGGAATTAGTATTCACTTGTGTCAATTTGCATTACAAATCCATTCTGATCAGCTGTTTTTAAATAGGATGTTAGAAATGTTTGTGTTCTGAGTTATCGGGAATAGATCACAATGTGCAATACTACTAGTAATGAATAATATACAGAATACACCCTTTTTCCTTCAAATAATCTATGCATATCGACACAGATCACTGGTATCTCCATGAATTCAGATGGTGGTACTGCAATCAGCTTGGTTTGGCCACACTTTCGGCCCAGCTTAAAGCGCGGTACGGCTCGGGTCCAGCTTGTATACAATGGAAATCTGGTTTTTGGTAGCAGTGGAAAAGCGCCACATAAGTGTGTTAATTCGTGTGCCTCTTTGCGTGGACATGGCCTGCTGTGGCCTTTTGGGGCCCCTGGGACGGTCACACAGCCCGTACCGTCGAGCTGGGGGTGTTGGTTCCATATCCCGAGGAGGGCAGGGAGGCCAGAGACCATCTCCTGCCATCTGCCCTAAGGAGTGGAAGGAGGAGCAAAGGACATGTCAAACTCGGGCGGGGGACCTCGATATGGTTACTAACGAGGTCTGGAAGGAGTGCCGACGTTACCTCCTGGAGGAGGCGAAGGAGAAGTGAGCGGGGTTGCTGGGGGTGAAGGTCCGAGGGCTATCCAGCGGACTGCTTCCTGCAAATGACACACACGGGTAGGCGGGGAAGAGTGAGAGACGGACATAACGGGCGTCCAATCAGGAGAAAGGCCGCACACCTGTACCTACCAAGATGTCCCGGGAGGGGCGAGTGTGGGCGGGGCAGAGTGGGCGACGTGCTTGTCAGGATCAGACTCTTCCTGTTACTGGCTCTGCAGCTGAGGGCACAGCGAGATGGAGGGTTTTAATGCGGCGTGCAAATGAGGGGCTTCTCCGTCCAAAGCCCCCAAAATAACCACGAAGCTACAGCCACGATAAGCCGTTTAACCGAAGCAGAATGGAATGCAGGTGCATATTAACATATTAAGAGAGGATAAGGGACTCTCTTATCCTCCCTAAACGGCAGCTCTGCGTATCGTCCGTGTCCTACAAGCGTGCATGTTTCTGTCACGTTCCTCGGCTCCGGCTGAGCACGACTCTCACGGGCACTGTCCCCCCCCCCAGCTGTCGGTCAGGGGTGCAGGAGAGACTGAAATCCTCCTCATGCCCAACGGACAGCAGCTCCTCGTCCAGTGGCCCCCGCCGTCTCCCCAAGGCGGTTGACAGGCTCTGATTAAAATCCCGGCTCCAAATAAACCCCGAAAACTGAAACATGCGTGCAGAACAGGCCCCGGGGCAGGAAGATGCCGCGCAGATGAGCTTGTGATCAAAGTGAGCTCCCTACTCGTGCATTTGACCCCATTTACGTCAACAGGCGTCACCCAGCCTCTCTCGGTTTATGTGAGGGCAGCTTCCGGGGGGGGGGGGGGGTGGGGGGTTCAGAGACCAAACACCTCCGTCAGTGTGTGTGGGGGCTGTGAAGGGCAGCTTACCCCTGTGAGCAGATGTGGTGGAGAATCGGCCATGCTGGCTTAAATGGATTAGTGTCTGACACATGTTCTACACATCTATCTTCTTCAAGAACAACAGTAGTTCACTTCCTGCCACAGGGACTCGCAAGGCCTGACCACCTACTGGTTCATGGTGAGCAGGAAATGTATTCCTCTCTGCTGCCCCCTAGTGGTAGGACGTCCTGGCGCCAGAGGACCCCGGTAAGATGATAAGCAAACAGGCAGTGGCAGAAGTGCAAGCGTAGGGATGTCAGGAAGCATATCGCAAGCCGGATGAAAGCCTGGCTCAGCCGTTTCGTTGCTGCTAAAAATGATGAAACTGCACTGTGTGTAGTTACTCCCATAATTTCAAGAACCTTCATCGCAAAAAAAAACCAACTATGAAAATAATAAAAGGATGACCCCGGCAAGGCCACCCCAGGGGCTCCCTGGCGCACAGCAACCTGCTGGACAGCGCCCCCCCCAGGAGCATGGCAGTGATTTCCAGCCTTTAACTGGCCCCTTCAGTTACTTTCCAACACAGTCCTGAATTCAGACAGCTGGGCGACGATCATTAGTAACGCCTGCTAGTGACTGAAGCGTGAGACGGACACGGACTGAGGACTCGCTAGGGAGTCTGTACTTCCTCACAGGTGTCCCGCCTTTAAAATGGAGGATGCCGGTCCCTTTAGACTGCAATGTCAGTGGGCGGGCATGTGGACGCCTGTGAGGTGAGCTGGGGGCTCTCTCTGCGGCTGGATGTGGAACCGGACACCGCACATGCACTCCGGCGTCCCTTGTGCTGAGTCACCGCGGCGACCCGAGGCTCGCTGGCCAATGGCACGGCACCAGGCTCAGAGAGGGCGGGCACTGACCTTGGCTGACCTTTCCTGACATTGTGTCCCGAGCGGGGCAGGGCCGCTGTGTCCGCACTCCCACACGCGTGTGCGTCTGCATGCATGTCCTTAAGATAGGGGGGTTTCCCCAGTTCATACCGATATCGACGTTTGGCCAGTGGTCACCCTCAGCATCCAGCTTCAGGGATCAAAGCACAAAACCGCTTTTTAAGCCAGATGGAACAATAACAGGATACGTCACCATCACTTCCCACCCCTGGGGGGGGGGGGACAGGCAACAGCCATGGGTAAGGTTGTGCCACAGCAGGGTTGAGCCACATGGCCTCTGGTTGCTAGGAGACACAGATTGAGGATGACACCAGTGATGTTGGAGCCGGTACGGGGGGGGGGGGACTGAACTAAGAGGGAGCGTAACAGTGCAGTAGAAATAGAGTAACGAAGGAGTGAGAAGCGGAGGAGAGGAACAGGAGATGAGTGAGGTGGCCAGCGTCGGGTCTTTCAGGAGCCTCGTGTGACAGGGGCGGTCAGAGGGCACGACTCGCCGGCGCCCCCTGGGGACTAACTGGATTACATGTAGCCGGGCTCCGGCACGGCTCAGAGGTGACACGGCTTAAACGGGCCCCATCGCTCACTCCAGTGTCACTCCGACTGCGGGCAGCACGTTAATGACAGAGTGAGCCTCAAGCCTTTCAGAAACTGATACTGAGCCACGTGCAAGGCTGGGGGGGGGGGGTTGCTGACGGCAACCGGAAGGTCATTCAGCAGTGTCTCCCTCCAGGTGTCGAGAGATGCCTGCCTGCGTCTGTGTAACCAGGCACCGCGTTTGGCACTCAGACACCCCCCGACACACTGCTACACCTTCAGACGACACAACTGAGGGTCTGGACAGAGGTATGTCCAGCCCTGGGATTCAACCTCACACAGTTGCGGCTGTAAGTCTCTGTGCTTACAGACATTCACAAATTCTCTCAGCCTATAATCAGTGGATTATAAATGTAAAGAACAGAAGCTTATTTTTAAGAAGTACATGCACACTAACATTAAACTTTGCCCTCAAAGTCTTTCTGTAATGATTCGGGATGGTTGTAGGTTTGTTTTTTTTACCCGTTTCCCCAGCAACTGAAACAGCTGGACGCAAACCGACCTGCAAAACCACGCGCTAAAACACCAGCCACATGTAAAGTCAGGAAGGCAGAGAATTTCAGTCATGATACCCAGAATTCCATGGGGCAGGGGCCGGACAACAAGCTACTGCTTCGGTTCTGCCCAGTTCAGCAGCGGCCGGTGAGTGATACCAGGCTGGTGCCCCTCTCAGAACCACAGAAGGCCGTGCCGGGGGAGGCTACTCGCGTGCGTCCGGCTGTTTGTTTTCTGCTCCTGACACACCTGAGCCGCCCCCCCGGAGGACACGGGCTCGTCATTCGCCTGCCAGCCCACCTCCCCCCTTCCTCACACAAAGGGCTGAAAAACACCAAGGCTTCGAGTGACACACGTCCTGCATCTGTCCCCGAGAGCGGGCACCATGGCGTACGGTGAACCCCACGCGCACGCCGTAAGGCCGCGTCCTCGTCCCCGGGGCCGCTGCCCCGCCCCCTGCAATGCTGGCCGACCCGCTGATGGTTTCAAGAAAGGCAGTAGGTCACGGCAACCACTCCCCCATCACCCACGCCCTGACCGAGGGGGTCCAGCAGCATTTCCGCAAAAAGTCAGTTACAGTAAGCGTCAGGAACACGAGGCGGGAGGGGGGACGGTGGGGGATGGGGGGGGGGCACATAGGATGAGACCAAAAGATGGACAGAGAAGGATGGAGAGGAAGAGGGAGGTGAAGTGGGCGCAGCGCGGATCATTAGCGGAGTCTCTGTTTACCTTTTGGTGCGGCGAAACATGGTGCAGCACTGGAGAAGGAATAGGAGGAGAGGTGATGTGGCGCCACGGAAATGCCGCGCCGCTCTGCCGACGAGCGCCGCCGTCTACGTGTCTGTCACCGCGAGCGCGCCGCAAACATCAGCGGAGAGAGAGAGGCAGGGACAGAGCAGGGTGGCTGCCACCGCCTGCATAAAGCTGCCGTGGGGAATTACTGGAGCCAGCCTCAGGGGAGACGGGGGCAGAGGGAGCGTGTGTGTGTGTGTGTGTCTGTGTGTGTGTAAATGCCAGCCCTTAAGGACACAGACCTTTGTAAAGTGGGTAATGCAGATAAGGAAGAGGAGGGGTAGGGAGGGAGCTGAAGGGCAGCCTGAGGATGACAGAGTACCAAAGGGTGAGGAAGACAGTGAGCGACAGTGAGGAAGAGCAATGGGCCACGACGGGATGGAGAGGCGTGATCCCACGGAGACGCAGACTGAGAGAGGGGGGGGACAGGGGAGGCTGCAGACCCGGCCACTGATGAAAGGCTGCACTCACAGTCACAGAACCGGCAGAGCCTGATTCCTTTAAATGTCATTTGGATACAGGCTTGGGTTTCGCCAATAAATCACAATATCTAAAGAGCACCCTAAGAATATTCATTCATTATTTCTCAAGGAAACCCATGAATGAGTCATGATGAGGAAATGTCCTCTGGTCCCCAGTTAATGATCTCCTGTAGTACTGGTGTTCCTTTAATGTACACATGAAACACACAGGCTCTATAGGCTCATTCTCCCTCAACTCAGCTACTCTGTGTAACTGTGACCTAAGGAAGCCACCATCCAGGACCATGGACAGCGACCAGACAAGAGAATGTGGCCTCTCGCTGTCACACTGAGGCCCCAACCTCAAGTCTCCACCCCCAGCAGACTACTGATGGAGATATATTGCCCTACACCAGGTGTGGGGAACCTGATCCACAGAGGGCCAGTACGGGTTTTTGGGATGACCTCTGAATCAGCCAATAAGAGTGGATCCCCAGGACTGGAGTTGAGAGCCACTGCTTTATTATTGGTTGATTGAGAGGTCATCCCAAAAACCCACACCAGCCATCCATGGAACAGATTCTCACCCCTGCCTTAGAAGTTGAATCCTAACTAATCTGAATTTCCTCTTTGCCCATTTACACAATCCCATTTTCTCATACTGATAATCTACTCCATCCATTTCCCATAACTACTCATCCACTACAGGTTGGATGCGGGGTCACGGTGAAGATCCTCAGGAACTTCAGGAATCATCTGAGAAGCCTTCGTGAACCTCAGAAAGCACAGCTGGGCAAGGCAGGAGACACTGAGGATGGGATGCCAGTCCAGCACATGGCACACATTCAGATCAAATGCAATTTAAAAAAAGACAACAGATGACCTTAAACAACTACTCTGGAAACTGGAGACCTACACGCAGACGAAGCTGAGAGAGCCAGTGCTGGAACCAAACTCACCATCTTGGAGGTGTGAGACCACAGTGTTACTCACTGAGTCACTGAGCTGCCCTGGATGAATCAATGATGAATTCAGTAATTACCTGTCAGTGGATGCCAGAGTGTTTCACAGACTGAGCCAGCACCTGTGCAGCAAGCAGTCACCTCAGGCGGGCTAAAGGCTTTGAGAATACGTCACTACGCACCCTCAAGAAAGCAAGAAATGGGCGCACTCACCTGCTACTTTTGCGTGGAAGTGGAAGATCCTTCTAGAAAGAGAGTCAAAAAAAAAATAAAGATCAGGTTGACTTCTACGTAAGGGCATCAACCATCAACACCAACCCAGACCTGTTGCCCTATGAAGATGAAAGCAGGTTTGCACTTGTGCAGAAGCCCTATATCTGTGGAACAGTGACTGTTGGCCCATTTGGAGATTCAGAGGATGTCAGAAACATTAAATACCTCGGCATATGCGGTACTGCAGATGCGTAAACTGCAAGTTTGGTTGGACAAAATCATCTGCCGGGTGAAATAATGTAAACGTAGAGTACACCAAAGTTCTCCTATACCCTCAAGCGAGACACTTAATTTAATTGCATCAGAAAGTCCTTTTCGCTTGCACTGGGTAAAATGTTTTGCTGAGCAAATACATAACGCAGTGTAATGTAATATCCAGACAGTGCTTCAGGAAGTCTGATGTGACAGATCAGCAGTGGAGCCTGCTCCTTCAGCTCCTGCTCTTGCTCAGTCTTGCGGTGATGTGCAAAATATGCCCTGAAGAGAATGTGTAAAAGGAAAAGGCATTCAGGTGGCACCTACAGGACCTAACTGGTACCAAGAGGTACGAGATGGTGCACAAAGGGATGAGGAGTAGAGGCTGAATGAGTAACATCAACACGAGGGTGGATTCAGGATCTCCAAGGAGAACGGATGTTCTTGAGGGACCCCACTAAGTCATTGGAGTCCATAATGATGGTCTAAGCTAGTTTTTCCTAACCCAGTCCTTGGGGACCCACAGAGATTCCACATTTTTGCTCCTTCCCAGCTCCCAGTAGGCCCTACACAACGCAACGGTATCATAATTACGATGCAGGGACATTTTTTAAGCACAGACCAAAACAAGATTGGTGGCACACATTGATTAATAGATAAGGATCTTAACTGTCATTGTCACTTGACAACGAAATTGAGAGGTGGAGATTCCCACATTTGGGGAATTCGCAGGGGTCAGAACAACCGCAGTACAGTGACTGGGCCTCACTCTGGCTGACCCACCTTCGTGATCATGGTATCTCCCCTGCCAGCTAAGTATCAGTAATAATAGAAATAGAGCCACAAATAATAGAAATACAAAGTAAGAGTGCCACTCTTCTAGTAGGAATCTGGGAGGGAGCAAAAATGTGGACCGTCTACGGGTCCCAGAGGGCCGGGTTGGGAAACACTGCTCCGTGTGCATCTACACCATGAGTGACATTATGGGATGCCTTAATCTTTCACCCGACATCAGCTCACTTCTAAACTTTCATCCCAAACGTCCCTTGTGGATGTTCCATACTCTCCCGTCCGAAGTAATTGCTCAGAAATACCTGAAACTACATTAATCTGAAATGACAGGCTTACAAATCCCACAGAGAAATAGAATCTCCTGGGCAGGAGATAGAGAGTAGCACAATATCAGGAATTACCCACAAAGGGGCCACCTAGCAGCTACCCGACCATCTGCTTCAGTACGCTGCTGAATCGCCTTTCCCCGCACACAGATCCGTTCTGTCTCTTCCAGCATTTCCTGTCCACATTAGCGGTGCTCGCTTTCAAATGCCTCTTAAAAGGTCTTACAGGGACGGATCATGACAAGGGAAGGATAGATGCATTAACCGCTACCCAGGATGAGTCTGCATAGAGACTCGTGGGATGGAATGATCGATTCCTTAACATTACTGCGTGGAGATAAGGTCCCTGGGGACAGTGTGGTCCTTGGGAGAAAAGCGAAGCGAACTAGAAGAAACACACTGTAAATAATGCGTTTCTCTCACATTGACACTATTTATCGACGTGTGCTAACATTCTTGTTTTGGTCTGTGCTTAAAAAATGGCCCTGCATCGTAATTATGACACCGTCATGTTGAATAGGGCCATAAAATGGTTGTGAAAGCATGTAACAAAGGCTGGGAAAGCACAATTTGGCAAAGAAATAGGCTTCCACTTGTTGAACATCTGGTGCCTAACAGGCCTTTATTGCTCTTATCCAATGGGAGCCTCACAATCTTTTTTCCTCTTTTAACTGAGTGCAGCATAAACAACTGAAAGCCAGTGTTACCTATGCCTGCTCACAGCCCCCCCCCGGCCTTCATTGTCCTCAAAGAAGCCCTACCCTTTGACCCGAGTTCTCCGGGTGCCCCGTGTGCCGCCATCTGGCACTGAAAAAGGACCCGAATGGGCTTTAAATGGCTTTCACTCAGATCTGTATAGTAACACATCCACAGCCCACCTGCCACCTCTTGGAAGAATAATGCCATTACTTTGTAATTAGGCTGGCTGTGGTCCTCAAACGTCACAGCCGGCGCCCCCACGGTCTCTGAAATCTCCCTGCCCTTTCCTCTGCATGTGTGTCATTGTGCTTCTGGCTTGGGAATGAGGAAGGATACTGAGCAGGAAACTGAAGAGGGAGCAAAATAACTCATAATCTCCCCCAAGGACGACGGTGGGGATTTTGGTACCCATAATGCATTTCAGCCCCAGTGTCCCTGCTTTTGATTCCATGTGTCTCCCCAAGCCTATCTGCACCCTGTTCTCAATTCTGGATGATCCTAAAACAATAAGATCAACAATGCAAGATATATTTACTGGCATAATTCATATATCTGAGGAGTAAAAACATAGATTAACAACTTTAAGTAAGATTATCAATATCATTTATCTATTGAGTTCACTGTAAAATTGACCATAAGATGTAAATCATTGTGCACCTCACACACCCACACACACACACACGCAGACACACACGTTTGTTTTCATAACTTTGTGGTGACTTTCCATTCATATCTATGGGAAAAACCCTAATCCCAGCAATGACAACCCTAACCCCCACCCAGCCATAACCTTAACCATAAGCAAGCAAACAAAATAAAAGACTTTTGATGTTTTAATTTTTTTGATTACAAGTCACTGTTTTTATAAAATCGTTTTCCCCCTTAAAGGGACTGAAAAAATGGTCACAACGTCAGAGGTTTTTTTTAATAATCACATTGTGGGTCCCCACAATGCACTATAAACATATCTCTCTCTCTCTCTCTCTCTCTCTCTCTCTCTCACACACACACACACACACACACACACAGACATGCACAGTTTCAGTTACTGTTTGGTTAAACACCAGAATGGCTCAGATGCATGACCTAGGCTATTTTGAATATGGTGTAATTGTTGGTGGTACCATGGGACTTTCACACACTACAGTATTTTTCGTTTACACGGCATGATGCAACAAACACAAAATACCCAGTCAATGGCTTTTCTGTGGACAAAAGCACCTTGTTTATGACAGAGGTCAGAGGAGAATGGGCAGACACATTAATACTAACGGGAAGGCCACAAGTGCAACAATAACAGCTCAGTACAAGCTGTGAGCAGAAACGCTTCTCTGAAAGCGTAACTCGTCTACCCTTGAACCGGTTCTGGGAGCAAAAACGGGGTCCTATCCGGTAGGTGTACATAACATAGTTCCAGTGACCGTGTGTATTAAAGATGGGTATAAATATCACTTATATTAAGAATTATACGATGCATGCATTTGTAGTTTAACAATAGCACAGCTCATGCAAAGATCTCACCTGCAACCTCCTTCTCCGAATGATCCCCGAGTCGTCCATAGCGAGATCGCGGGCGGACACCTGGAGGAGCAGACCTCGGAGGGTTTATTTCTTTCTTTTACGCTACCGGGCCCGGAACCAAAGGCGTCCTGGTGTGACTCTGCGGCACGCACAGGCGCCCTGCTGCATCCCAGCAGCGCCGGTACGAGAGATTTCTCAGCCGGACTCAGAGGCACCCGAGCCGTGGGTGAACACTACCGAGGCTATCGGATGCCAGGGCGCGCACCCAGAGCAAAAAATAAAAATAACCACAAAGGAGCACTTCCTATTAGAAAAATGGCTGATCTATTATTAACGACTTATAATTTCAGCACAGACCGAAAGCCTATTAGTGCGGTGAATTAAATACATGCCACTCGATGTGCGACCCCCCATGTTTTGTCATCACACATTAGGAAAAAATGTTAACAGTTTCATTCACCAATAACTGGTTTTTAGCTGTTTATCGTATTTAATTCGGTGACACGGCAGTCTTTAATATCACCGTGACTCCCGCTTCGTTCCCCGCCTGGGTGACATTACGTTCCCTCGGATCCCTCCCGTGTGATTCCGCTTCGCTTTCCAATCATTTCGTTCTGCTGCTATTTCCAGATCTATGTCCCACAAATGTAACCACCGGTTTACCAAAATACATAAGCAGAGGCATTTTATTCCCCTAGAAACCTTAAGCATTCCGTTCTACATTTTTACCTGTGCTCGACCTGGATCAGGATTTTTTCCCACTGAAAACGTAAAGAAAGTCTATCGACCTTACGCCGCAGATTCGTCCATTTCACACTCAGATTTCCTCGGATGCCAAACTCTCATCAAGCCCGTCCGGGTCTGTTTGTCGTTGTCATTTATAAGATTAAAGCAGAATAATGCTACATATTACAAGCAGAAACGTTTTTACCCAGCTATGTGACCGCACGCATCGATCCTAAGAGAATGACAGAGCAAACGTGTTAACGTGTAACCAGGGGCTTCTCTTCTTGGACAAAAAAGAGGAAAATGAGATACAGCTGTTATCATGTGTAGCATTACTTGTAAGGTAGCATTACTTGTAAGCCCGTACAAACCGCCGCGAACTTGAAACTAAATGAAATTTAGATTCTGGATCCAATCCACACAGGTTTTAGAGACAACCCCTGGTCCTGAATGAGCCGCAGAAAAAAATGCATGTCTGTTATTCCCTTCCTAATTCAGGGATGCCTGTCCCTCGACACCGTTTTCATTCACCCCTCTGTTCCCTACCTCCCACTTCCTACAGACCCTATAGTTTAACCCTTTATCGCCCCCCACCACGACCTAGGGATGCAATTCACTGAATGAAAATTTGGAATTTGCGAGAATTAAATACGTATCTGGTACAGTACGTTTCTTTTATTATTATTTAGTGGGAGGCTGAGTGTGTGTTTTTTGGGCGGGGGGGGGGGGGGGGGGGCACTGTAATTTGGTGTGGAATCCTTCCCTGGGTTATATATTTCTGCACAGGGTACATGAGAAATGCCAAGATTGAGGATAAGACCCTAGGGCAGATCATTTTTAATAATTTGACTTTGCATTTATCAGTTATCCCTTTTAAACTATTCTCTAAGTGTCGCACAATGGTCGCCAGGAGTTGACATTGATTTGAAGGCACCTAATAATGAATAATTATCACATAAATTCATCAACGGGCGAACCACGAACACGCAAACCCTTAACATAACCTTTGTAGTCTGCGAGAGCCCAAATACAACATAACACAAAGAATGAAACAAACTCTATAACGCAATACGCAGAAGGCATTTGCAGTGAAATTCGCAGCGCCCCCTACCAGCAGGCTGTCACAAGATATCAAACAAAAGTCTCTTGGAACGTGTTATTTTAGTAGTAATAATAATAATAATATAGCACCATGTAATTTAACAGATAATGAACACATACGGCATAATAAAGTTGATTGGTCGAGTCCAGTTTTTCATCTCGGTACCCACCGGCGACGCAGTGAGATCGCCCCGCGGCAGAAGTCAGCAAACAGGCGAGCTTCATTCTTCTCTGAAATAAGTCTCACGAATCACTCAACTGAGGCGCCATTTGTTCTTTCTCCCTTCGGGGCCGTTTCAGTTCGGTTTTACAACTGCAGTTTCTATCGTCTATTCTTATTCTCTGGAGACACTTAGGTGACAGACGGGAAACAAACAACATGCAGGAGTAATTTAGAACAACACAAGCCATAGGGCCTAATCCTCCTGGGAATCGAAGATTATCAAGAATCAATTCTACTTTCTGCCTACAAATGACATTTTTTACTATATGTATGCATGCTGACAGGGTGGACTGCAATTCCAAGGGCACATACAAAATCTGTAATATGAAATTGAAAAATGCAACTAACATATCAAAAGACTTGAACTATGTAATATCTTGTTTATAACCTAAAGAAAAATATTTTACGCTTTTGCTATTTAATCACTTAAAATACATATTGAAAATATCCAAGTGGCACTTGGGACGTGAAAATCCTCCACATTGCATCAAAATGCTATAAAATGCATTTTAAAACCAATACCTTTAGACTGATGGGGTGCCCCCCCCCCCGGCCCTGAACAGGAAAAGCGGTTTCAGAGAATGGACGAAGGGACATTCATAAATATTTACCCATTCAGAATAAACCTTGAAAAAAAAAAAAACAGTGTTTTGCAATATTTGTACGAAATCTGATTCACGATACAGAGGACGCCAAAGCCGGCATGTATTGAGAATGACACAAACATATTTACAGAACAGTGACCAGCGTAGTGCAGCATAGTGTGCATTTGTGGAGAAGTGATTCTTGCAGGTTCAGTTCTGAATAGCAGAACTGTACCGCACAGCACTTTCTAGTACGGTGTTCAGTCTGGACTGCTTCATACAAAATGTCTGTGGTTACAACATAAAGGGTTCCCTTTCAATCCATCATTCCAGCCCCCTCCCCCCCACCTGGTCTTACTCTGAAAAGGGAGACATTTGTAATTTAACATGGCCGCATGCTTCTATTTACCATTACATCTACATAATCCCTCGTCACTGGTAAATGCCCCCATCACACAAACAAACACCCCCCACGGCTGTATTTCTGCTCCCTGCCTGGTCTCTCCATCTGATTGATATAGAGATATGGCTCAGTGAGGACAGTGCTGGGGGGGGATAATGCAGATTGGCACCTATGGCAAGCATACAGAAGCTCCGTGGTCAGGAATGTGCCCAAGTCAGAATCTCACCCCTCCGTGTAGGAATTACTGTAATACCAGCCAAGAATCAAAATGCATTTACTTGGTTTAATATGCCTACCCTCTCTCTATGTCATAATTTGTATCTATGGCTGGATGTTGAAGGAGGTCTCCATGGATTAATAAAGTCTGGGTGTGTGAGACTGTATATATTTAAGGTTCATCATTTTATTTTGGCTTGTTCTGCCAATTTATTGTGTCGTCTGTCATGGCCGTAAGACAATCTAGGATTAGTCCATAAATAGCTATATGTGTCACACACAGCAGCCTTTATTCTGATAAATCCCCTCTTATTGGATTTCTGGATTCCCAGCTAATCACAGGAAACACAGATGGCTGCTAGAAACTGCAAGAAATTAGCACAGAAAAAGCAAACGATCGATGCAGATTTCTTTTTCGCTTTAGATTGTTTCGGGTTGATCCTTTGCTTAAGGAGTTTTCTCAAAGACGCACAAACGGCTTTGTTTCCAACAGAGAGCAGCCTGACTCACAGCTTATTCATTTAGCTCATGCATAGAGCCACTTAAATTACTCACTCCCGGTCAACAGATGCACTTCTAAGAGATTCATCAATGATTCAGCAGTTAAGGCTTGTGTTTTAAAAACACTTGAGTGCAGTTTAATGCCAGGTATTACCGCAAGACAGCATATTGTTTAAAGAATTGGGTTTACCAACACAAAACTGCTAGTTTGCCAGAGTAATTTGACAACCCCAAATAGCATCAACACAATATTAAGCTCTATAAATGAGTAAAGTGTGACGCTCCAGGTCATGTAAATGATCCCAAGGCATTCACAATAATATCAAAACACAATTTTACCAATTTATACTGCTGCAGCAAATCACTCCCCCACGCTGGTACAAGAGATTGCAGCTTTCTGGCTGCATGTCCATTTCATTAACCTATCAAAATGATTGACCAATTATGCCTCGACATTCAAAGCAATGCAGTGACGTGCATTTCAGCCACTCCAGATCTGTATCACATCCTTGTCATGTAAAAGCTTGACCGGAGGTGCCGGAAGCGCAGCCTCCAAAACAAACACACTGCACTCTTTGTGAGCCACACAGCTAACAAAGCGAGTGCATGCAGTATCCAGGACAGCAGTCTCCGCATTCAGGAACAGCGTGTACATGACAGAACCATCCGTTGTCAACCCCCCGACTTTGTGATTCAATGGTTATACATTATTCTCAATTTATCTTTTAACTTTCTATACAGGTATATGTTTGCCAGTGTCACTGAGGCTGAGTACCGTACTTCAGAGGGCCATAGAAAACCCTCTTGTGGGATCGATACCTTCTGGTCATGCAATTGCCCCAAGCTATGCTGTCATAAATGGTTATCAGAATACAGCTCATTGACTCGTATACAATGAATGACATTCACATTTCAGGGCCAGGGGAATATATGTCTACTTTTGATACAAAAGAAATACACACCACTGAAATATGCCAGCATATTCCAGTAATAATAAAATTCAAACTTATTTTTCCTGGAAAATAGTGTACTAAATCTACAATGTAGATATTGTTATCTCCATATGTTTAAATTAGGTCTAATTAACTGATAAAGGATAACATATTTGGATAAAACTGAATTTTAAAAATATGCAGAATAGAAGTTTCGGTGCCTTGACCCGGAAGTAAACACAGGATGACCTTCTGCAGCGTCAGAGATCTTCCTGTCTATGCAGGTGTTGCCCGTCTTGTCTTCGTCCTTGGTGCTGAACGAATTATATGTGCATTTCGTTCCTGTTACTGATAATATTCGTGTTACTTGAAGATTATTAAGTAATTATCCTAACGTCACGGTGTCTTGTGTTAAAATTACTATTTTAAGATGTAGGTTTTCAGATTTTGGTTTATTGCCTGGCGACATACAGCTTGTCATGGACTCCTCTTTGTAGGGGGTTCAGTATGACTTTTCAGGAGCCATCTGTGAAATCCCATTGACGCAGGAGGAGATTCGACTAATTCGATGATCTGACGTGAATACCGATGGGATGGCTGTGTAAATGTGTACTACGGGGACATTTCCAGAGACACGACAGCCGAGAGGGTTACAAGAACATCCGAAACAGCTGATAACAAAACGTCAGAAACTTCAGTGGATATTGTCACCATCGCTCAGAACAGGGTGCTGTCTTTCCTGGCACTTACGCATTCCTGTAACCCGTTACTGACAGTCACTAAAGCAGACTCTTACTGTAGAAAGAGACAGGGCTGCCAGCTCTCCCGCACCTGGCGTAACACTCACGCTTTCACAGTCTCATGCTCACGCAAGAAATCTTACGGCAAATCTATATAATTCCATTACAAACCTAAAATTGCCACATCGAATGCGTTGGTGACACTGAAGAGATAGCTGAAAGCCTTAAAAGCAAAAACATCCACTGTTGCGATTCGGTAGCTCGCCAGAGTATTTTATTATTATAACAAAAGAATTTTTTAATAAAAAATTCTTTTATAAAGAAAGAAATAAAATGTTTCGGCACACCTCCTTTAAACTATCACCCCCCATGTCCGCATGTAGGTACCCTGACAGATTGGGGGGGGGGCATTCGGCAGAATCTATCGAGGTGGACCTGCTGAGGGGGAGCCCACCTTTGGCACTCGGCAAATCTACAGTGGGACCCGTATTTCTTCAGATTAAAGTTGAAAGTGCAGCCAACCCAAGTGAGGGACCAAATGCAGACCAAATGTGTGCTACAAAACTTCATCATCTTTAATGAACATTACTGCAATAGCGGCCAATTTTCTACTTCGTTTTCTACTTACATTTTTTTCAATTGCCCAGTAAAACTATAACTGTCCCTTTATACTAAGAAAATGGGCCTGTATGTGTTGCTAATGCAGATCTTGTATAATGATTATTACTGTGAAGACGGCACGAACATTCACATTCGCAGGGCAGTGACATTC